AAATAAACAAAGGGAAGAAAGAAATAACTGAAATAACATCACAATTTCTTCTCTTCTTGGATAAATATTGTTTCATATCCAATTTAAGCATGCAGATGTTTCTTGTTTTCCATTTAAGCCACAACCAACATTCAGTTATGTTATTAACAGTTAATTCGAAGGGCTCCACGAATCCATCTCGTGGATAGAAAATACAGTTCTTTGGCACAGTTTGTACCAAATTGTAATACAGGAGGAGGGCTACTAATGTTATTAAAAAAACAAGACTTAAAGTAATAGTGCAGTACTTTCAATGAAATCATAAAATGGACTATGATTCACAAACCAACAGGTAAGAAGAAACTAATTCCTCAGCAAGGATCTGACAATTTGTAATGAATCAATTTAATAAGAACGTTCGTCAGCAAGGATTCACAGATTACAAAATCCCTCCCTCCCAGATATACATTGCTCCCATGAAACAGTAGGATGAAGGAAACTATGAGAAAAAACATCCAAATCTGGAATGATACTTAAGGAGATTTTTATTTAAACAATTGTTTTCATCAATCTGGATGAATACGGTACATGTTGTTGACAGATACTGGTACTCCTTAGTACTGAATGAAATTTGACTGAACATATCTTTTATATTTTTGTTTACAAAGATGTAACAATGATTTATACTTTCATGCAGACTCACACGAGCAACTTTGGATCACATAGATTTAAAATGAATGTAGAATTGAGGGCAAATATTTGTTCTGGCAATGAATTCAATTCTGGACAGTTAGTCCCTAAAACTATAATCTTTCAATGCAGGACAAGAGGAAATTGAATTTCTATACAAACTTTAACAGGTTCAAGGTCACAATCCATGGCTGTCTTTAAGACAGAGTCCAGCAAACTGGCTGCATAGGACATTCATAGAGAGACTTTCAACAACATCATCAACATCCCAGAGAGAGCTTTTTTGCAAGAAAACCAAACGAAGACTGTACCAATTGGGTCAACTTGCCGTTCTTCCCAATAGGAATGTTACGTAGATTGTCTGGAGTTCAGGGATGAGAGGCAACAAAAAACAAAATTCTAATGAAATGGAACCTTCGGGAGTCCAACTTGGAAGTTAAAAGGATAAACAGAGGTTTACCTTCATGTGTTTTCTCATACTTCTGTTCCGCGTCAGATTTTGAAAAGCCAGTTCTAATAGCTACTCGAGTGCATTCCATGTTCATGCATATCTCAGCTCAACACAAGATACTGCTAAATTCAAGGATGAAGAAATTAAGAATTGGAATGTTAGGTTGATCTTAGAATATCAGCAAATTAATTTCTCGCACTCACCAGCGTGCTTGAACTCCTGCACTTCCTTAAAGCCCATCCATGGCCATGGCTTCATCCAGACTTTTGCTTCGTAAAGCTTCTTCTTTCCGGAATCGATGGCCTCGATCGTCAGATGGTGCAGAGTTCCAGCAAACTCAAGCAGAGCATTCTGCAAGAATTTCAGTTAATTGCTTAATAATCTAATTAATTAAAATTCCAGCATAATATTGAAGAAATTAAAAGGCAAAAAAGAGTACAGACCTCCGTGTTGTTGTGGTCTTGGACGGGAAAGCGAGCGAGGTCTTCGGTTTCGGGGCTGTTCTGGGAGGCATGGGATTCGTGGACTCAGCCGAGAGTGGCCATGTTTTGGAGTTGGGAGGGATTTGATTCTTCTGCCAAGGATGAGAATGCGAGGAAAGGTAAGAGGACGAAGAGGTTGAGTAGCATAAACAGACGCAAGGAGGAAGAAGAAGAAGATTTCGATTTCAATTCCGCTGTAGGACACTTGTAGGACAGATGGGAATTTATCTCTTTCCCTGCCCGGAGTCTTTTTGTATACGTGTCATACACGTGTTGCTTTGAGTATTTATCTTTGCTTAGTTGGTAAGGCCCGTTTGGTATCCGATTTGGATCCAATTTTTTAAATTCAAAAACATATTTGTCCCAAAAATCTGTTTGGTATGCCCATTTTTAAAAATCCAAACCTAAAAAAAATTCAAAAACACCCCTATTATTAAAAATAATAATAATAATTGTGGGAGCAAAAATTAAAGCCTAAATAACAAACCACTTCCTATGAACCCTGCATTTAGGGAGTGGAGGGAATTAAATAACATGATATTCACTACCATTGCTTGGACATGATATATGTCTTTTGAAATTACTACTTGGCACATGGTTTTTTCCGCACTAACGTCATTGATTCTTATATAGAATGTTCAAAGGCATATTTATCAAGGCCAGCGAAGGTGACTGGCATTGGGCTCAAACATTGTCCCCATTGGAATTCAACAGCGAATTGCGTGATTTGCAACAAGCCAATAGCGAAGCTATTAGCATTTGAGTGATAAAGAATGATGATCTTGGTCTTATGACTCATGAGCTTATGGTATGTCTAGTGCGATTTTACAAACAGCTAATTCTTTTATTGTTGGTGAAGTCATGGCCTCAGGAGGCGTATGATCAGAAGCTTTTAAATTGATTATATACATTTGACACATGCCAATGTATTTTACTTATTCCTCTTGCATTTTGGGAGATGAGAACAGTTGCATGTATGGCTCTATAAAACGCCTGAATTTGAATCTAGTCATATGCTGCTCAATATCTAGATACTACTAAGCCTACATATTGATTCGTACATGGTGAAACTTTACTGTACATTGAAACTGATTTTTGTTGATGAAATTAACATTATTATTGTATGGTTAGAATTTGGCAGCCTGTTAACCTCTTGACTACATTTGCGTGGTGGAGGCAGCTACAGCACCACTCAAGATAAGCCATAAGCCTGTTTCTATATGGCAATTTATGAAGCCCAACTAACCACAAAATCAACATAAACAGAGGCTGAGCGAGAGCCACAATGTGTAGTTAGTAAACTGCCAATACTCAATTGATGCTTGTGATTGAAAGTCAAATTCAAGTGGTCGAAGACCATGATTGTGAAAGAAATTCAAGCTCATGTGGCTGAAAGCCATAGTTGTGACTGAAAGTCAAATACATAGTTGAAGACTATACGACCGAAGCCCAACTCAAAAGCTTGATCGAAGATCATATTCATGGTCGAAGACCACACTAATGGCTAAAGGCCGAATTCGTGATCGAAGATAATATTCATAGTTGAAATCCATACTCGTGAAACTGCACATGTTTATGATCGAAGATCGTACAAGTCAAGTCACCACATAAAATTCTACACACAGTGAATTCCCACAAAGAATATTTTCTCTCTCTACACCCGAGACACGTGTCCAAAGAGAGAAAAGGGGGCAGATGTGGGAGCAAAAATTAAGGCCCAAGTAACAAGCCACTTCCCATGAACCCTACATTTAGGGAGTGGAGGGAATTAAATAACATGATATCCACTACCATTGAGCATGGAGATAAGTAAGGGATATGGGACTTGCAGTCCAAGGGTTCAATGCCTATAAAAGGCTAACTAATCCCCCAGCTTAAGGGGGGAGAGATATGAGATTATTCTTACTATACGCATATTCCTGAACGAACACTGACTTGAGCGTCGGAGTGTTTTCTTGCAGGTACTTCCCTCTCATTGGTGGTAATCGAAGATGGTGTCCGGCTTCTCAACATAGAATATAAATCACTTGTTGGAGGACCCGAAATTTCATGCTCCAACAAAAAGGTTTTAGAATTTTTTTTCTTTCTTTCCTCCCTCTCTATCTTCTCTCTCTCTCTCTCTCTCTCTCTCTCTCTCTCTCTCTCTCAATTTTTTTAGATCTTAAAATCACTATTTGAAAACTCATGTTTTTAAAAAGAATCACAATTTTTAGTTTTTTTATTTTTGAATAGGATACCAAACAAGGCCTAAGCTTTTGTTTTCTTTTTTCTACTTTTCTTTTTCTTTAATTCAAGCGTAGTCTGTAAGCAAACAATAATAAAAATAAAACCCAACCCCAACAAACAAAAAAAAAAAAAAAAAAAAAAAAACATTCTTTTTTGGAAAAAAAAACTTATGACATGTTTAGGATATGTTTGGTATCTTATTTGGATCCAATTCTATAAATTGAAAAACAAATTTTAAATCTAAAGCCACAAAAGCCCATTTGGTAGGTCCATTTTAAAAAACTCAAAAACTCCCCATTATTAAAAACAAAAAAGATATTTAATTTTATATTTTTTTTTTTTAATCTCTCTCCTCCCTCTCTCCACGCTCTCTATCTCCTCCCTCTCTCATCTCTCTCTTCCTCTGCCTAAACCCTCCCCCGTCTCTCCATCTCTCTCCCACTCCCGTCTCTTTCTCTCTCCTTTCCTCTCTCTCTCTCTCTCTCTCTCCTCTCTCCTCTCTCTCTCTAAATTGTTTTGGGGCTGCTCGTTTTTTTTTTTTTTTTTTTTTTTTTTTTTTTTTTTTTTTTTTTTTTTTTTTTTTTTTTTTTTTTTTTTTTTTTTTTTTTTTTTTTTTTTTTTTTTTTTTTTTTTTTTTTTTTTTTTTTTTTTTTTTTTTTTTTTTTTTTTTTTTTTTTTTTTTTTTTTTTTTTTTTTTTTTTTTTTTTTTTTTTTTTTTTTTTTTTTTTTTTTTTTTTTTTTTTTTTTTTTTTTTTTTTTTTTTTTTTTTTTTTTTTTTTTTTTTTTTTTTTTTTTTTTTTTTTTTTTTTTTTTTTTTTTTTTTTTTTTTTTTTTTTTTTTTTTTTTTTTTTTTTTTTTTTTTTTTTTTTTTTTTTTTTTTTTTTTTTTTTTTTTTTTTTTTTTTTTTTTTTTTTTTTAGAAGCAACGCCCACAGCTGTGGGGACCGCCCACTCGGCACTTGGGCAACGACCCGCACGTCGGGGAGGAACATCCCGCACGCGTGTGTCGTGGAAACAGGTGAGCCAGATCGCTCACGGACCCACTGTCGCGGAGCATATCATCATGACCTCCAAGCTCGTCAGCAAGAGGGGCTTAGGGGAGCATCCCTTAGTGGCGCATACCGCCACTCTTCTTGCTGTCTGCACACCACAAGATGTTTGACACCCTGGCAGATGAGGCGGGAACAACTCCTACTTGGATTTTCTCGCAGCAAGGGCGCTTTGGCTTCTTCTCCGCAATGGGAGACACGTTCCTGCTCGCCCGTTGAAGAGGTAGCTTGAGTTCTCGGCGACTTACTTCAACCTCCTTTTTGATGGGGTTCAGCAGAGCATCCCTCTTGTTCACATACCGTCATCAGGGTCCGACCATTCTGCTTCCATCTTTCGACACTCCTCGGCTGGGGTGCAGACCACCGTCCCTCCTCCCGATACTCGCTCAACAGCCAACGCCACTCACGGAACTTTTGGGGGATGTTCAAAGCGCGGCGGACCTTAGCCTGTCCGGCTCAAGCTCCAATTTCTTGCTGATGTCGTCCGCTACAACAGAAGACAAAGTTAGTCAGCTACGCTTCAAGAATTCAAACAAAAAAGAGCATATCAAACCAAAAGAAAAAGATTACCGTTGCAATAGGTGATGGAACAAGTGGACCATCACCAACATCACCTTCCCACCGTCCGCTGACTTCCAACACATCATCATGCCACACGTGATCCTTGGCTAAACTGTCAAACAGCTTGACATTGCAGGTGCGAAGTTGTGCGTACTCCTTGAAACACTCACTTCAAAAAGTAAAGACTCTCGCACTGTTAGCTCCAACGTGAAGAAACGGCTTAGATTCTCAAAGCACATGATCTCCCTATAAACATTGGAGTACACTGGCTCGGAGCACACCCCATGGCGCAAAACACCTCCTTGAAGAGCTTCGACAACGGAATTTGAAGCCCAATGAGAAGTAAAAGGGACGGAAGTGATGATTCTCGCATTTGGATCATTCGCATCCCCGCAAGGCATGTTGTCAGTCAAAGGCTTCGCCAGCTTGATATGCCATCCTTAGGAATTGCAGAAGCATAAGCAGCCCGCCACCTCTGGAATTGATCTTCATTTGTAACGCGGCGCAGGTTGGCCACAAACCTCTTCTTGTACACCTCGGAACCTCCCCACACATACAAAGGCACCTGAGAGCTTGAAGCCTTGCTACCGTCTCTGGAAGGCATGGTTAGTCCACGAACAACTGCAAGAAGAGAAGAAAATTCCACAAGTTAGAACCCCAAACAAAACAAAAAAAGAAAAAAAAAAAAAAACAAAACAAAAAGGGAAAGGAAAAGCTGGCAGCAAACAGAAAAGAAAAAAAAAGAGCAGCCCAGCATGAGCAGCCCGTCATTCCTTCCAGCCCAGCGCACGCAGCCCAGCGCCTCCAGCCCAGCGCAGCGCAGCCCAGCGCGCATGCGGCCCGACTCCAGCCTGGCCCGGTTCTCCCGCTCCAGCACGCAAGGCCTGCTTGCCCAGCGCAAGCCCACGACGCGCAAGGCCCAGCGCCTCTCCGCCTCTGCTCCAAATCCCAGCTCCTTTGTCTCTTTGAGCCCAGTGCATGTGCCAGCCCTGCATCACGCCAGCTCCAGCCCAGGCCAGGTAGCTCCAAGACCAGCATGCGCCTCATGCTCCATTTGATTCCAGCACGAATTCTCCAGCTTTTGTCACCACATGCACGAACTTGCAACCCATGCTGGACCACCTCCTTGCTGCCAAAAATCAGAAAATATATATATATGCGCATATATATTTTCACGAGCTCGACTTACTCTGGATGCACGGAAATTCCTCTCTTCAAACAAAGCAGTACAAATTCTCTAATATCTTTCTCAAGCTAGAAGGTAGAGAAGTTAAGTTTGTGATGTGAGAAAGAGTGAAGAAAAGCCATGTATTTATACAAGTTGGACAACCCAGGTCAAGGAGGGATCGCAAGCTCTTTCCTACTGGGAATCCAACTCCAACACACAGTCAGAAGCCTACACCAATTGAGAATCTGATCTACAAAAGGAGTCCAACTCACAGAAGAAAGCCCAGACTCAGTTGGAGAGCCCGAAAAAATAATTTCATCTCCTACATGCCACACAAGCGCCATGCAGAAGCTGGGGGGCATTTGTGGGAGCAAATATTTTCGTCTCCAATCACAGCGCGCCACGTGGAAAAGAAGATTATCTCTTTTAATTAATTAATTGAACCGGTTTATCTGGCCAATTAATTAATTGGGATAAACATCTTAATTAACATGATATTATCTTTATTTAATAAGATAATATCATTAATTAGGTATTATCCTAATAAAGAGAAGATAATGTCATTATCTCATATATTATCTTCATAAAAAGAGATAATATCATTTAATTTAGATATTATCTCCATAAAAAGAGATAATATCATTAAATCAGATATTATCTCAGTCCGACTCGATCCCTACGAATTTGGGTAGAGAATAAACTCAGCATATTCTCTACGAAACCCTAGCCCCGAGGCTCCTATAAATAGATGACTTCATTCATCATTCAAGGTACATCTAAACCTACTCCTAAACCCGAGAAAATACCCGAAGCTCTCTCTTCCCTCTCCACTCCCTCTCCATATTTTCTCCACACGGCTCCGGCCACCACACACGGCTCCGGCCGCCCGTTTCACACCCTACATAAACACTACTCCGTACCCTTTGCTTAGCTATTGTTTTCCTACAAACACTCGAACTAACTTAGGCATCGGAGGGCCTTTGGCCAACACCCCCCGGTGTGGTCTATTTACTCCAATCTTTTTTACAGGAATCGAGGAAGAGAGAGAAGGAAGATCGAAGGTTGAAGGATCTAGAAGCGAATATTCTCCCGTGAGATTATTTGCACAAACAATTACTTTGAGAGAATTGATGGCATGCTGTTTAAAGATGGTTTCCTGTACAAGGCAGTATCGATGAAATCAATTAGCTCTCAAAGCATACGTCCCACTTTGGATGAACTTGAAAAATTCCGGAAACCCGGGGAGAACGGTGCCCGTTTGTCAACTTTATTTTCAGACAGAAAGAAGGGACCCTTTATGAAGGGTAATACAGTTATTGTTGTCAAGGGAGATCTTAAAAATTGAAAGGATGGGTTGAGAAAGTTGAGGAAGAGATTGTTCATATCAGGCCCGAAATGAAACAGCTTCCAAAAACTCTTGCCTTAAACGAAAAAGAACTTTGCAAATACTTTGAACCCGGGAATCATGTGAAAGTTGTATCTGGTACTCTGGAAGGTGCAACTGGTATGGTTGTTAAGGTTGAGCAGCATGTGCTCATCATTTTATCTGATATAACCAAGGAACATATCCCTGTGTTTGCTGATGATGTTGTGGAGAGTTCTGAGGTGACATCTGCTAGTTGCTGTTCTGATGCAGGAGCATCTACAAGGCTCTCCAAGAGTCCTTGGGCCCGTTAGTCTATTCTTTTACTAGGTTTTCTTTGAATTTCCTGTTTTGGTTTAATTTTCCAGAGAGTTGATTAGCATCCAACCTTAAGTCACTTAGGTTTACTAGTTGACAAGGTTCAGATGGCATGTATCCTTGCAATACTCGTAGTCTTTTTCTCAATTTTATTCAGAAATTACTGGTTATAGAATTTTCTTTTCGATTTCTTTGCCCTAGAACTCAATTATCTTCGTTCCAACTTTTATTCTATTGCTTTATCCTTCTATTCTCCGTATAGAAGTATAGTGGGAGCCGTAAGTCTCAAAAGTAATATATAAAAATTTATGTTAAAATAATAATTTAAATAAACAATAAAAAGGAATTTTAACCGCAATTCCAACTAATTTTTTAGTTTCTGTCTTCGTCCAACTCTCATACTGACATCGACAACAGTAGGCGGAAGCTGCGGTTGTAGCTAGGAACAGAAAGGGCTTGGCTGTGGGTTCTGACCCAAAAACCCAAAAAAAACTAGTGTCGAAATGGTCGACAGCAGTCGAAAGGTTACCTAGGCAAGGGAGTAAGAATCCCTCACGCGTCTGAGGCAGGAATAGGGATAGAGAACTTTGTTATGGTTGGTAGGGACGAGAATGCGATGGGCAAATCGAAGCCATTCCAGGAGTGAGAGGGGAATTGAAAGAAAAGATAAGTAGCAATAGCATTATTACACATACACATACAGTTCGGAAACACAACCACACACCAAAGTGTTGGTATCAGGACATAAAAAGTTATACAAACAGCAACCAAAGCAATTGTACACTCAGTTAGTTCCAGAACATTTGCTTGCTACAAACTTGCTATATCTTAACTAGGAGTGATCTGCCTCCATCTGGTTCAGTTTGAAGGCGCCTTCATTGTTCTTATGCACTTCAACTTTAAACTTCTCTTCTTTGTCTCCCCTCTTCAACTTCAGAAGCATGTTAAACTTGGCATGTTCTTCTATCACCTGCTCTCACACAGACAGTTCAAACATATGCAAATCAGTACAAACCCATTGATCTCAGAACAGAAACAAATGAAGAAAAGAAGAAATTAGAAGATTCCTGTGCACTATACAGAACAATTTGAGTTCAAATGCACATTTAAAACCAACAACATGCATTTCAATCTTCTGAACCATCTAAAGACTATACCCCAATACCAATTCAATTCAATCAAATATTACCTATCCTCCAATACCCAATTCTCCTTGCCACCCAATTGAAAACAACCAAATTTAACCCACCGAACCTCAATTCTCCAAAATGCATTTTAAATTGATTTTTAACACCCAATTCAGCACAACCAAACACTGCCCCAAAAACCCAATACGAAGTGAAAAAGCACAAGAAATGGGAAGGGCACAAACCTCAGCCTTAGCGTGAACAACTTCTTGAAGCTCATAAGGAAACAGAGAATTAGACCTTTGCTGGAGGCTCTTAACAGCATGATTTGCAGCATCCTGAACCTGAGGATCGTGTGGCGGCACAGATTGCCACCCGGGACCATGCCCACCTTCCTTAACACCAAGATCGGAAGGGGGTAAACGACGGCGTTTCATTACAGTCACCGGCGTGCTTGAACTCCTGCACTTCCTTAAAACCCATCCATGGCTTCACCCAGACTTTGGCTTCGTAAAGCTTCTTCTTTCCGGCATCGATTGCCTCGATCGTCAGATGGTGCAGAGTGCCAGCAACCACCTGCTCCTTCGCCTTCACCACCCTCACAAACTCAAGCAGAGCATTCTGCAAAATTTTCAATTAATTGAAATTCCAGCATAATATTGTAGAAATTAAAAGGCAAAAAAGAGTAAAGACCTCCTTGTTGTTGTGATCTTGGACGGCGAAGCGAGCGAGGTCTTCGGTTTCGAGGCTGTTCTGGGAGGCATGGGATTCGTGGACTCCGCCGAGAGTGGCCATGTTTTGGAAATGGGAGGGATTTGATTCTTCTGCGAAGGATGAGAATGCGAGGAAAGGTAAGAGGACGAAGAAGATGAGTTGCATAAACAGACACAAGAAGGAAGAAGAAGAAGAAGAAGATTTCGATTTCAATTTCATCTGCTTTTGTTTTGTGTTTGGGTTTCTGACACTTTGTAAGACAGATTGGAATTTATCTCTTTCGCTGCTCGGAGTCTTTTTGTATACGTGTTATACACGTGTCGCTTTGAGTATCTTTCTTTGCTTAGTCGGTAAGCTTTTCTTTTCCTTTTTCTATTTACTCTTTTCTTTTTCTTTAATTCAAGCGTTGTCTGTAAGCAAACAAAAACAAAAATAAAATCCCAAACCAACGGAGAAAAAAAATACTCTTTTTGTTCAGAACAAAAAAAACTGAAAAACAAATTTTAAGTCCAAAGCCATCAAAACCAATTTAGTAGGCTCATTTTTAAAAACTCAAAAACACCCCATTATTAAAAACAAAAAATCATATTTTTTTTTTTTTTTTTTTTTTTTTTTTTTTTTTTTTTTATCTCTCCTCCTCCTCCCCTCTCTCTCTATCTCCTCTCCTCTCTCATCTCTCTCTCTCTCTCTCTCTCTCTCTCTACCTCTCCCCCGTCTCTCCATCTCTCGCTCTCCCTCTCCCATTTCTATCATCTCTCCTTCCACTCTCTCTCTCTCTCTCTCTTAGCATGTCTAAACTGTCTAAACTTTTGTAATGGTGTTCATTGAGGATGTCTAAAATTTTTAATTAGAAAAAAGAAGAAGGTGGACTCGGTTTGGGTGGGCTGAGGGAATTTGTGTGTGGAAGCTAGGTGTGCCAAAGTAGAGAGAGGAGGAAGGGGTAGAGGGAAAGGGAAATGGAGGAATGGTCTATGAAGAGAGAAGGGGGAATGGATTTCAAGGTGGGCAAAGTTGGTTGGAGCTGTCGATGACACACAGGGATCGGGGAAGGCGATTTATTTATTTATTTCAATTTTAATTGTTTAAAAGATATAATTTTTTTTTATAATGAACTTTCCATGTTTGAAATACCCTTGAAAATAGAAAGATTAAAATACCCTTAAAATATATGGAAATTGGATAATGTTAAAGTCAGACAACAAATCATGACTTTTGAAAAATTAAAGGGACATTTCTCTTAAATTTTTCTTTCAGGTGACAAATTGAAACTGAATTATAAGTTCAACTGACATTTCTACAAATTGAAATGAGGTATGATTATGGAGAAACAGTAGAGTTTTTAATGCTGAAGCTGAGTTGCCTTTTCACCCTAAAAGGATTATTGCTTCTGCAGTTTCTGAGTGGCTCAAGGCTTGTCCTAATTCCATCTCCAAAAGGACTCAAGTGCAGGTTATGTTGGCTTGGGAGCCCCCTATGAATGGTGTGTTCAAGTTAAATGTTGATGGTTCTCGCAAGGGTGGTATTGGTTGTATTGGTGCTGGTGGTATCATCCGTGATTCCTTTGGGGACTGGATGGGTGGGTTTGCTGTCAACTTGGGTATTGGGCAAACTCTGGATGCTGAGCTCTGGGGGTTATTCTTTGGTTTGAAGCTTGCTGTGGCTAAAGGGGTGGCTAGGCTTTCTATTGAAATGGATTCTATGACTGCTGTTCAGCTTATCAAGCAGCATGTTCCTAGTTGTCATCATCCTTGTGCTGGGGTGATTGCAAGTTGTGTTGCTTTGATGAGGAAGTTCGAGTCTGTTGAGCTTACTCATGTTTATAGGGAAAGGAATGCTGCTGCAGATTGCTTGGCTAATTGGAGTCTGAATATGGATATGGGGGTCTGCTATTTTGAGGATGCTCCAATTTGGATTAGCTCTATTTTGATTGATGATATGTTGGGGGCTGTGAAGCCTCGGATGTTTAGTTTTAGCTAAGTTGTTTTTTGCTTCTGGGGTTTTTTTCCCCCATTGTTCATCAAAAAATGAGGTATTATTAGCATTTGTCTTAAAATTGTTGAGCGTTAGCAAGCAAAACATACATTCACTCATGGAAATAAGAAAGAGAAGGTATAAAATAAAATCAGTGTCAATATATTTCCATGCACAACTACTTTAATTTTTAAGTGCATGTTTATTTACTTGTTAACGCTCAAAATTTTAGGAGATGTTATGATCAGTTGTGCATGTAGCATTCTACTTTTTATATCCCAACTCCAAAGCGTCTTCTAATTTGCTTAAGTGGAGGCATGATATTGTGATTGTCATGGGAACAAGGAAGAGAAGGGTCATAACAATCTATAAAAACAGAACACGGAAATAATGGTAACATGAGCAGCTTATCCCATAGTATAGACAACCTCAGAAGATTCATATTGAACTTCAATGAATGACCGTTTGCTTGTCAAAATTCTTGAAATATATGCAGAGACAAAGCTTTTGTTGGAAACAACAATCAGTATCAAACTGGCCGTCCTTGAAGAATTCATAGACAAAGCTATAATCTTTCAATGCGGGACAAGAGGAAATTGAACTTCAACAATACGAGCTTTAACATCAGTTTATCATCAGTTTAACGTTGTTTTTCTTGCAAGAAAACCAAACAAACACGTGCCCCCAGTGTTTAACATCAGTTTATCTTGTTTGAGATGAAGAATTCTTCATCAACACAAAGAGAGCTTTTCCATGTGGTCAGATCAGATGAAGGCTGCCCCTCCAAACACAAATGAACTATCTGCAGGACAAGATAGCTCTGATCAAAGAGCTAATAGAAAGCATATAATAAGGATGTTAAGTTTATTGCTGTCGTTAAGTATCCCTTTACTAAAAAACATGTGCCCCTTCCACTGCCGTCAAGGGACCTTGTAAATTATCAAAAAGAATAAGATGGATGGTTCCGAGCAACGGTCTAATGCAAAGAATATAAACAAAGGTGCCAACTTTCAAATATAAAAAAGCAAACTTACTTTTCTTTTTCGATTTCACTAAGGTCAATTGGCAAACCTCCCCAAAATCATCTGCAAGATCATGTGATGATGGTCAGTAATGAATAATCCTGTAAGCTTCATAATACAAGGAACAGAGATTGTGAGAGAGTGGAGCAATACCTTGGAGAGATCTCAGCCCTATGTTTTCTGCTACAGCTTTCATTCTTTCTCGAAATCTTCAACTTCAACACATCAGAGCATGCATTTCTCGAGTTTGTTGGAAGATGATAAGGTCATTCTACCATAAAAGAGCATGCAATGCGCTTTAGTTTCTTCTGTTGTAAATTTAAATAGAATGTAAAATTGTTATTCCCTAAGAATTAACAAGTGAAAGAAGGAGGGCTTCCATTGGGAATCTTACGCAGAGAGTCTAGAGATACAACAAAGAAAAAAAAATTCTAATGAAATGGAACTGTAGTTCGATTAATTGCAGCAAGCAAACCTTTCGGATGTGAAAGGCACAGAAAAGGACCAACAGAATTTTACCTTCATGTGTTTTCTCATACTTTTGTTCCTCATCAGATTTTGAAAAGCCAGTGAGGATTTCAACTCGATTGCTTTCCATTTTCATGCATATCTCAGCTCAACAAGATACTCCTAAGTTCAAGACATTAAGAATTGGATCGTTAGATTCATCTTAGAATATGAACAAACTAATTTCTGTGGTAACCCCAACTCATGTAGCTTCTGAAAACTAATTTCCAACCAACAAGTATGTACAAGAAAATAGAGATGAAAGAGACTAACTGATACACTAAAAACTTAAAGGGACGACACTGAAAGATGCATATTGAATTATCAAATGTTATAAACAATGGCATGGCAATTAGGTAGATTTATATGAATCCAATTTGTGCTTTGTTTTGAATTTGAATCATAAATATCTAGTTGTGTAATACTTTCTTAACATACCTGAAAAGTTTTTGAATTGGAAATGGCATTGTATCAAATAGGAGGACAAACAGGAACTTTGTCTCTAGTAACGAGAACAGACCTGGGCATCCATCATATATTTCTAATTCCATGTTACAAGTAGTACTGGCCCTTTCATCATGTAGAACCCCACACCACACCCGGACAACAAGCTAAGTCTTTCAAGCAAGTAAGATGAGAAGGCAAGCTTCCTCTTAGCTTCAGACTCTTGTCTAAAGTCGGGTCCTTGAGATGAGGAAAATCTGGACACCAGCCTTCTGGTCTTCATTCCTCCCACTCTGGCAAATGAGTAAATCAGATGAGAAGGCATGGATGTTATCTATTACAACAACGGGGAAGCAAAATAAATCAGGGAGAGTGCAGACGAATTGTTTGTTTATTGCCCAGTATCTCAAATTTGTGGTATGTATTATTCAGGAAGGCTGGAGTGAGTTGGCTAACATCAGAAGGGAGGAAACTCATAAATGAAGTTTTCATAAGTTATTACGTTGGGAAAGGACTTTTATGATGAAAGATTACCTAATCATGAATGGGCAGTGATGCTTGTTATGTTAGATTGAGATCTGTTTACCGCATTGTCCAAATGCTGGTCTCTTGCTAGAGCTCCACCTTGAGAACATTTCCTTCCCCTTCATTGCCGCAATTTGTTTGTAGAAATACAAACATCCATATACAATGGTAAACTCTCCTCGGGCATGGTTGCCTACACAAGTTGCTTTGACCACCAAACATGGGAAAGTTTCTCAAGTCTGCAAGTACACATCCAACATTTCAAGTGTCATCAAATAGAACTTTGTAGCTGAAGGAATGATTTGTGGGATGGAAAAAAAAATCATTTGCAGATAAGATATTATATGCATATCTACACAATCATATAGAACAAGCTACTAGTACCAGATAATGAAGCAGCAGCTGGACCAGGGAGACGGGGAAAGGAAAGTTGCCTCCTTTGAACCATGCGACTAGTATAACTTCGTCCATTAATTTTTGAAGAAGAATGGGATGAATGAACACTTTTCGTATGTAGGTTTTTATACTACTTGAATAAATTTACCATGTCAATCTTTTCAGTTGAACAAAACCATTTGGTATGTATGTACATGGCAGTATGTAAGATTTTTTTTATAAAAGTGCTAGAAAGCACACCTCCAGATCTTCCACAAAAAGATCTAATTGCGACTTTCGATTTGACACGTACTTTCATTAGAAGGAAAAAAAACATTACAAAACAGGGGACAAGTTAACACAACCTCAAAACAGAGATTAAACATCCTAACAATACATGAACGAAATTTAAACTGAGTGGGCTGAACAAATGAATATGAATTAAATATAAAAAAATGTGCTGAACAGCAGAGAGCGAGCATGATCTGGGAAGAAGCATTCGATGCAACTGCAAAGGTTAATTGGATAAAAATTGATGGCAAATTGACATAAAAATGGTTAAAATGTGTATTTCGGTTTATTTGGATAGTGAATTTCAGTTTATGTATTAAATTAGAAGAAAAGCAGTTAAAGCGGTTATTTGAAGTACATACCTGACCAGAGTTTGTTTGTCTCTATGTGAGAGAGAGAGAGGTGGTATCATCATATGATGACTTCATCATTTATCCGGATGCAAGGAATGTGAGATATGCTGGCCCAATGATCTTGTCCCGTCTTATTTTCATACCTTTTCTCCAGGCCAGAACAATTGAAGATGTACAGAGAAGAAAGAGATGGCGGCAGACCCTCTTCTGGCAGGAACTGGAGACTCGGACAGTCATGAATATAGAGTTGTTGAGAGAAGTGAGGTGTGCAAGTCCCTTTCCATCCAAAGATTTCAGAGTTGATAATGAAGAGATACTGAGAGTGTGAAGAGTGGTTGGGAGCAGCTGTTGCTTGAGCAACGTCTCCAAGATTTCATCACTTCCCCTGCCACCAATTCTAAATTGTTCAAGGGAGACAAGTGCTTGCAAACCCCAGTTACAGTAGTCTCCCACTGATGAAGATGAAGCCCTCAGTCTCTCACAATTCTCAATTCTAAAATATCGGAGGTTGGGAGGCAAACCCCCATCTTCTGCAATTGACTCCAGATTTGGAACCCTTATTTCCAAAGATCGAAGGGCTGTGAGTGTGTGAATGCATTCAGGTAATGACCTCAACTTGTCGCATCTATTAACTTGCAGCGAAGTCAGTTTGGGGGTGGGCAATCCTCCCTGGGGAAAACACACCAGATTTGGACAGCCTGAGATATATAAATTATTGAGATGACTGAGATTCTCGACCGCTCCTTCTTCTTCAATCAAGCAAAGCGATTCCAGATTCTCACAATTCTGAATATGAAGTGTCGTCAATTTGGGAAAAATGCCCAAGGGGAAGGACCTCATTGAATCACAGCTATTCTGTATCCCCAACCAGTCGAGCGATGTTAATTGGGCCAACATCTCATGAGGTAGGAATTCTAATCTCCTACAAAAGGATATGGAAAGTGAAGTCAACGAAGTGGGTAGGCCATCTTCAGGGAACGACGATAGGGTTGGACAATTCGAGAGACTCAAACTTTGAAGACGATTGATGTTGGGCAAGCACTGTATGTCATTAAAACGTCCAATGTAAAGGTAGGACAGGAGCTTTGTCTCTAGTAATGATAACAGACCTGTTTGGCATCGATCTTCTATTTCCAATTTTTCAAGAGAATTGTAGTTGAGACTAGTACTAGTACTAGTAGTAGCAGTGGCCCTTTGATCATGTAAAACCCCCACACCCTTCCACGCTAAGGTTCTTCAAGCAAGGCAGATCACAAGGCAAGCTTCCTCTTAGCTTTGGACACTTTATAAGAATCAACTCCTGGAGACGAGGAAAGTCTGGACCTTCACTTCCACTTGGTACCCATTCCTCCCACTCTGCCATCTCCCTAAACACCAGCATCTCCAGCGATTGAAATGGCCGAAATGGCTGACCATACAACTCAGGACCTATCGTCCTAAGAAATTTCATCTCACATATGAAGAGCTCCTTAAGAGCAGGTAGCTGTCCAAGCGGTGGCAACTCGAAGCAATAATGACAGCCTTCGAGGCGCATAACTTTTATTTTATTGAAGGCAGAGTCTCCCAACCAGTTTGAGAAGCTGGTCCCGCCATAAAGTGTGACGGTCAATTTCTCCAAATTCATGCAAGGTTGGAGCTTGTCAAGTACATCTTTCACCTTTTCGGAATGATCGGCATCTTTGGAGCCCCATGCCAACTCTAACTCCTTGAGATCTTGTTTGTTCTTCAAATTAGCTTGCAAGGCATCCCTACCATCAACCACATTATTAAGCTTCAAAATTGAAAGCTTTCCTCCAAGATGGGACAACTCCCCCAATTCGCCAATAGTCGACCCAGTAGATTTCCCCACAACAAAAGTAGTCAATGTTCTCAAACTTTTTAGTCTACCCATTTGCACCGGCATCTCTTCAATTTGAGTTCCACTACAATCAAGATGCCTCAAATTAATCAATTTTCTCATGTCTGCAGGCAATTCAAAAAGAGACCGACAACTTGCCAATAGTAATGTTTGTAGACTATAAAGAGTGCAAACTGTAGAAGGTAACCTTTTGATTCTAGTATTAGAGAGATTCAAGTAGCGCAAATGAATGAGGTTACCAATAGAATTGGGTAACTCAACTATATTATGATATTTTGACAATGTTAGCACCCGTAAACATGTTAAATTTGGCAATAACTCGGGTAAAACCCTTTTACTTACATAACACGGATACCCGTGTAATCCTTGAGGTAGGAAGGTTCGCAAATTCTTAACCTCATATAATGGCTCAAATTTTGCAGCACAATCAAATTGCCCTCTAGCATACGACAAATGCCGAACTCTTTTGAAAACTTCATGTGATTCGCCCCCTTCCCATCTCAAACAGGATTCCCTAGCCACAGACATAGCTAAGTCATTGATGAGATCATGCATTGTGAACTGTGATTTCACATATCTTGATCTTTGAAAAAATGATCGTGATAATAAGTCATCAAAGTATTTCTTAGTGAGCTCTTCCATTCTGTTCTCACTCTCAGCTTGTGGAATTAAACTTTCTGCCACCCAAAGTAGAACAATATCTTCCTTTTGGAATTCATAGCCCTTCGGAAAAATTGAGCAATAAGCAAAACATCGTTTTAAATGAGTTGGGAGATAATGGTAACTCAATCTTAGAGCTGGAATTGTATTACATTTTTCAGGAGGCAGCTCCCAAATATTGCTGTTTAGTATGCTATTCCATTCCTCATAATTTGTGTTGAAACGTAAGAGGCCTCCAAGTGTTTCCGCAGCTAAAGGTAAACCATTGCACTTAGTAGCAATTTTCTTACCAACTTCTTCCAGGTCCAGACGTGCACTCGAGTTTCCATTTTCAAAGGCATGTTTTGAAAGTAACAACCAGCAATCCTCATCGGACAGCTGTTTCAAAAAGTGAATCGGAACAGTGCGTATGCGGGCTGCAACACTCTCATTACGGGTTGTCACAATGACCCAACTTCCACTTGCCCCGGATGCAAAAGGACGTTGCAAGACACTCAAATCACCATAGTTCTCATTCCAAAGGTCATCCAACACAAATAAAAATTTCTTGCCCTTTATTTGTTGTCCTAGCTCAACTTGAAGAAAACTCAGGTCTTTATTATTGTAATCTTTTGAACTGACTGACTCAAGTAGAGTTTTAGTTACCCTAGTAACATCGAAATCTTCCGAAACATAAGCCCAAGTTCTAAGATTAAAATGCTCTTTCACTTTGTCATCATTATAAAGGAGCTGAGCCAGGGTTGTCTTGCCAACCCCGCCCATTCCCACTACGGTGATGACAGATACGTCCTTGTTGCTTGCTTCATCAGATAACAAGAGGTTCATCAGCTTTTCTTTATCTCCATCCCTACCGTACACGCAAGATTCATCCACCAAGGAAGTTGTTGGAGTTCTTTGAGAAACCTTCCCCCCAACAACACCTTCTCTCAGGCCAAGCACATCCTTTTGTTTTGCGAGGTGTTCTAATCTATCAAACAACTCTTGAATCCTACCATTCATGCCTTGATAAAAAGGATTAAGAGAAGTAGAGAGGAAGTTCCACACCTGAGTTTTGACGGTTCGATATTCAGCTTCCACCTTGCATCGCAGAACTTCAGCATTGATCTCATCCAGAAGGTCATCCGCATCAAAGACAGCATCTTGAAGTTTATCAAGCCACTCTTTCACGTAGCTGTTCAGGAATTGCTTCTCCTCCGCGTCATTAAGCACCGCATTAAGGCTCAACAACGTTATCTCCAGTTTCTTCACAAGCGACTCGTCCAGTTTCTTTCTCCGGAACAAGTCCATGAACTCGCTGGAACCAATCTTGTCGCACAGCACCTGCACGGAGGCAGAGAGAATAGCCTCTCCAACCAAAGCCATGTTTCGATTCTTTGCAAGGATTTGGACTTGAGTTAAGATTTGAAGCAAGTTTTGCAGCGAAGGATTAGGCTGTTGAGAAGTTGAGATTTATGTTGCTCTCAGTATCATTGACTCTGGAGTCTTCGCGTGAGAATATATTATTGCAAAAAGACAAGTGCGTTTGTATCGTGGGGAACCCACACGGTTAGACTCATCATAAAGCTGTCGTCCATTATTGTGTCCTAAGATTTTTGGTAAATAAAGCTTATAGGCTTAATTTTTGATATACCCTGAAAGTCTATTTTTGACATCAATTTATTAATTTTGAAATCTATATATAAAACTCAAATTCTAATTAAAGATATAAAACATCATAATATTCCTACATATTTACAGTATTTGCCACTAGACTTCAAATAAGTTAACTGGATAATTTTCAAGCATGTCATTAAGTCCCTTATTTTTAATTAATATTTCCTCATTTATAGCATATCAATGACTTCGATTTTCTTTTGGCATTCCCTATCTGTTGAGAGCCTATCTACCAAAAACTGAGGAAATCCCCTTTTCTCTTCCATTTTAAAAAGAAGATCTTTTGAAAGGATTTGCCGCCCATTATTAAAAGAATTATCCTACTCCAGAAAACATTTCTTATAAATACAAGAAGGAGTGAACAGGAAAAAAGGACAACGAAGCTTACAACAAAAAATTCATCACTCAATCAAACAAAGATCCTACACGGGAAAACCGTCAAATAAACAAGCCCACTTGAACTTCAAGCGAAAACCAGCTCCAAATCAGAATGCTCAGAATCCAGATTTAGGAAGCAAGTCATTCAAAACGAGACTTCTCTCGTTACAAATTTGGTTCAGCAAAAAGCCAAAACAAGCAGAGTTTGAATCTCCTCCAAGTATGGAAAACCTCAGCAAAATTCACGGAATAGCCTCTAGCTCACCAACGTCCTCAAGAACAGCCACTTCTACCCTTTCAGACTGAAGAAACCGCAGTTCTGCCCACTCAGAAGCTTCACAAAAGCTTAAGGTACATTAAAGCTCTGCCAGAATCAACCTTTGGTATCGATTTGTAGTTGAAAAGCGGACAATCAGAATCGTCAACGGTCCAGTCCAGCCCAGACGTTCCCAGTCCAGCCCATCACAGAGCCGCCCATCCAGGCAGAAATGGAGATCCAGCCATCTCTTTATCTTTCTAGCATCGACATCTGTTTCTGTAGTTTTGTAAAAGGCACTTCCGCCCAAAAAATAGCTTAAATTTCATCAGCCATTCTGGCCAGAACAGCCTCTTTATACTGAGATAAATTATTGAAGTCCTCACCAGTCTGAGGCAAGAAAAGAACTTACTTGGGAGATATTCCTCACCCAAATTCACAATCGTTTGTTTAGGAAATCAGTAACTTGGGGCGCAAGTTATCCATTCCAGACTAAGTCTGCTAGACTTTTCATTACTAGCAGTGGCACGCTCGCACACCAAAGAAAGCTGACTTGTTGACCAGTCTATGGTTCTCAAGGCAGTGGGGAACTTTGCCCTTCCATCATAGGAGTAAACACAAAACGGGTGAACAAGTAGAGAGAGGAGGAAGGGGTAGAGGAAAGAGGAAATGGAGGAAGGGTCTGTGAAGAGAGAAGGGGAATGGATTTCAAGGTGGGCAAAGTTGGTTGGAGCTGTCGGTGACACACAGGGATCGGGGAAGGTGATTTATTTATTTTTTTCAATTTTAATTGTTTAAAAGATATACAATTTTTTTTTATAATGAACTTTCCATGTTTGAAATACCCTTGAAAATAGAAAGATTAAAATACCCTTAAAAATATATGGAAAATTGGATAATGTTAAAGTCAGACAACAAATCATGAAAAATTAAAGTGACATTTCTCTTAAATTTTTCTTTAAGGTGACAAATTGAAACTGAGGTATAAGTTCAGTTGACATTTCTACAAATTGAACTGAGGTATGATTAGCATTTGTCTTAAAATTGTTGAGCGTTAGCAAGCAAAACATACATTCACTCATGGAAATAAGAAAGAGAAGGTATAAAATAAAATCAGTGTCAATATATTTCCATGCACAACTACTTTAATTTTTAAGTGCATGTTTATTTACTTGTTAACGCTCAAAAATTTTAAGAGATGTTATGATCAGTTGTGCATGTAGCATTCTACTTTTAATATCCCAACTCCAAAGTGTCTTCTAATTTGCTTAAGTGGAGGCATAACATTGTGATTGTCATGGGAACAAGGAAGAGAAGGGTCATAACAATCTATAAAAACAGAACACGGAAATAATGGTAACTTGAGCAGCTTATCCCATAGCATAGACAACCTCAGAAGATTTCATATTGAACTTCAATGAATGACCGTCTGCTTGTCAAAATTCTTGAAATGTATGGAAACATTGAATATATGTAACATTCGACGAATAAGCTATAATGTGTATAGACAAAGCTTTTGTTGGAAACAACAATCAGTATCAAACTGGCTGTCCTTGAAGGATTCATAGATAAAGCTCTAATCTTTCAATGCGGGACAAGAGGAAATTGAACTTCAACAATACGAGCTTTAACATCAGTTTATCATCAGTTTAACGTTGTTTTTCTTGCAAGAAAACCAAACAAAGACGTGCCCCCAGTGTTTAACATCAGTTTATCTTGTTTGAGATGAAGAATTCTTCATCAACACAGAGAGCTTTTCCATGTGGTCAGATCAGATGAAGGCTGCCCCTCCAAACACAAATGAACTATCTGCAGGACAAGATAGCTCTGATCAAAGAGCTAATAGAAAGCATATAATAAGGATGTTAAGTTTATTGCTGTCGTTAAGTATCCGTTTACTAAAAAACATGTGCCCCTTCCACTGCCGTCAAGGGACCTTGTAAATTATCAAAAAGAATAAGATGGATGGTTCCGAGCAACGGTCTAATGCAAAGAATATAAACAAAGGTGCCAACTTTCAAATATAAAAAAGCAAACTTACTTTTCTTTTTCGATTTCACTAAGGTCAATTGGCAAACCTCCCCAAAATCATCTGCAAGATCATGTGATGATGGTCAGTAATGAGTAATCCTGTAAGCTTCATAATACAAGGAACAGAGATTGTGAGAGAGTGGAGCAATACCTTGGAGAGATCTCAGCCCTATGTTTTCTGCTACAGCTTTCATTCTTTCTCGAAATCTTCAACTTCAACACATCAAAGCATGCATTTCTCGAGTTTGTTGGAAGATGATAAGGTCATTCTACCATAAAAGAGCATGCAATGCGCTTTAGTTTTCTTCCGTTGTAAATTTAAATAGAGTGTAAAATTGTTATTCCCTAAGAATTAACAAGTGAAAGAAGGAGGGCTTCCATTGGGAATCTTACGCAGAGAGTCTAGAGATACAACAAAGAAAAAAAAATTCTAATGAAATGGAACTGTAGTTCGATTAATTGCAGCAAGCAAACCTTTCGGATGTGAAAGGCACAGAAAAGGACCAGCAGAATTTTACCTTCATGTGTTTTCTCATACGTTTGTTCCTCATCAGATTTTGAAAAGCCAGTGAGGATTTCAACTCGATTGCTTTCCATTTTCATGCATATCTCAGCTCAACAAGATACTCCTAAGTTCAAGACATTAACAATTGGATCATTAGATTCATCTTAGAATATGAACAAACTAATTTCTCTAGTTAACCCCAACTCATGTAGGTTCTGAAAACTAATTTCCAACCAACAAGTATGTACAAGAAAATAGAGATGAAAGAGACTAACTGATACACTAAAAACTTAAAGGGGACGACACTGAAAGATGCATATTCAATTATCAAATGTTATAAACAATGGCATGGCAATTAGGTAGATTTATATGAATCCAATTTGTGCTTTGTTTTGAATTTGAATCATAAATATCTAGTTGTGTAATACTTCTTAACATACCTGAAAAGTTTTTGAATTGGAAATGGCATTGTATCAAATAGGAGGACAAACAGGAACTTTGTCTCTAGTAACGAGAACAGACCTGGGCATCCATCATATATTTCTAATTCCATGTTACAAGTAGTACTGGCCCTTTCATCATGTAGAACCCCACACCACACCCGGACAACAAGCTAAGTCTTTCAAGCAAGTAAGATGAGAAGGCAAGCTTCCTCTTAGCTTCAGACTCTTGTCTAAAGTCGGGTCCTTGAGATGAGGAAAATCTGGACACCAGCCTTCTGGTCTTCATTCCTCCCACTCTGGCAAATGAGTAAATCAGATGAGAAGGCATGGATGTTATCTATTACAACAACGGGGAAGCAAATAAATCAGGGAGAGTGCAGACGAATTGTTTGTTTATTGCCCAGTATCTCAAATTTGTGGTATGTATTATTCAGGAAGGCTGGAGTGAGTTGGCTAACATCAGAAGGGGAGGAAACTCATAAATGACGTTTTCATAAGTTATTACGTTGGGAAAGGACTTTTATGATGAAAGATTACCTAATCATGAATGGCAGTGATGCTTGTTATGTTAGATTGAGATCTGTTTACCGCATTGTCCAAATGCTGGTCTCTTGCTAGAGCTCCACCTTGAGAACATTTCCTTCCCCTTCTTTGCCGCAATTTGTTTGTAGAAATACAAACATCCATATACAATGGTAAACTCTCCTCGGGCATGGTTGCCTACACAAGTTGCTTTGACCTCCAAACATGGGAAAGTTTCTCAAGTCTGCAAGTACACATCCAACATTTCAAGTCTCATCAAATAGAACTTTGTAGCTGAAGGAATGATTTGTGGGATGGAAAAAAAATATCATTTGCAGATAAGATATTATATGCATATCTACACAATCATATAGAACAAGCTACTAGTACCAGATAATGAAGCAGCAGATGGACCAGGGAGACGGGGACAAGGAAAGTTGCCTCCTTTGAACCATGCGACTAGTATAATTAATTTTTGAAGAAGAATGGGATGAATGAACACTTTTCGTATGTATGTAGGTTTTATACTACTTGAATAAATTTACCATGTCAATCTTTTCAGTTGAACAAAACCATTTGGTATGTATGTACATGGCAGTATGTAAGATTTTTTTTATAAAAGTGCTAGAAAGCACACCTCCAGATCTTCCACAAAAAGATCTAATTGCGACTTTCGATTTGACACGTACTTTCATTAGAAGGAAAAAAAAACATTACAAAACAGGGGACAAGTTAACACAACCTCAAAACAGAGATTAAACATCCTAACAATACATGAACGAAATTTAAACTGAGTGGGCTGAACAAATGAATATGAATTAAATATAAAAAAATGTGCTGAACAGCAGAGAGCGAGCATGATCTGGGAAGAAGCATTCGATGCAACTGCAAAGGTTAATTGGATGCAAAATTGATGGCAAATTTGGGTCAATTGACATAAAAATTGTTAAAATGTGTATTTCGGTTTATTTGGATAGTGAATTTCAGTTTTTGTATTGAATTAGAAGAAAAGCAGTTAAAGCGGTTATTTGAAGTACATACCTGACCAAAGTTAGTTTGTCTCTATGTGAGAGAGAGAGGTGGTATCATCATATGATGACTTCATCATTTATCCGGATGCAAGGAATGTGAGATATGCTGGCCCAATGATCTTGTCCCGTCTTATTCTGATACCTTTTCTCCAGGCCAGAACAATTGTAGATTCACAGAGAAGAAAGAGATGGCGGCAGACCCTCTTCTGGCAGGAATGGAGACTCGGACAGTAAATATATAGCTTTGAAAGAGAAGTGAGGTGTTGAAGTCCCTCTCCCTGGCAGGAATCCATACCAATAGATAGCTCGAGAAAAGTAAGTGTGCAAGTCCCTTTCCATCCAAAGATTTCAGAGTTGATAATGAAGAGATGCTGAGAGCGTGAAGAGTGGTAGGGAGCAGCTGTTGCTTGAGCAACGTCTCCAAGATTTCATCACTTCCCCTGCCACCAATTGTAAATTCTTCAAGGGAGACAAGTGCTTGCAAACCCCAGTTACAGTAGTCTCCCACTGATGAAGATGGAGCCCTCAGTCTCTCACAATTCTCAATGCTAAAATATCGGAGGTTGGGAGGCAAACCCCCATCCTCTGCAATTGACTCCAGATTTGGAAGATCCCATATATACAAATATCTTAAGGGCTGTGAGGGTGTGAATGCGTTCAGGTAATGACTTCAACTTCTCGCATCTGCTGAATTCCAAAGAAGTCAGGTTGGGAGTGGGCAATCCTCCCTGGGGAAAACACACCAGATTTGGACAGCCAGAGATAGTCAATCCATTGAGATGACTGAGAATCACTCCTTCTTCTTCAATGAAGGATAGTGATTCCAGATTCTCACAATTCACAATATAAAGTGTCCCTCAATTTGGGAAAAATGCCCAAGGGGAAGGACCTCATTGAATCACAGCTATTCTCTAAACTCAATAGCGGAGCGATGTTAATTGAACCAACGTCTGAGGTAGGAATTCTAATCTCCTACAAAAGGATATTTAAGTGAAGTCAACGAAGTGGGTAGGCCATCTTCAGGGAACGACGATAGGGTTGGACAATTCGAGAGACTCAAACTTTCGAAGACGATTGATGTTGGGCAAGCACTGTATGTCATTAAAACGTCCAATGTGAAGTTTGGACAGGAGCTTTGTCTCTAGTAATGATAACAGACCTGTTTGGCATCCATCTTCTATTTCCAATTTTTCAAGAGAATTGTAGTTGAGACTAGTACTAGTACTAGTAGTAGCAGTGGCCCTTTGATCATGTAAAACCCCACACCCTTTCACGCTAAGCTTCTTCAAGCAAGGCAGATCACAAGGCAAGCTTCCTCTTAGCTTTGGACACTTTTCTAGAATCAGCTCCTGGAGACGAGGAAAGTCTGGACCTCCACTTACACTTGATACCCATTCCTCCCACTCTGGCATCTCCTCAAACTCCAGCTTCTCCAGTGATTGAAATGACTGAAATGACTGACCATACAACTCAGGACCTAACGTCCTAAGAAATTTCATCTCACATATGAAGAGCTCCTTAAGAGCAGGTAGCTGTCCAAGCGGTGGCAACTCGAAGCAATAATGACAGCCTACAAGGCGCATAACTTTTATTTTATTGAAGGCAGAGTCTCCCAACCAGTTTGAGAAGCTGGTCCCGCCATAAAGTGTGACGGTCAATTTCTCCAAATTCATGCAAGGTTGGAGTTTGTCAAGTACATCTTTCACCTTTTCGGAATGATCGGCATCTTTGGAGCCCCATGCCAACTCTAACTCCTTGAGATCTTGTTTGTTCTTCAAATTAGCTTGCAAGGCATCCCTACCATCAACCACATTATTAAGCTTCAAAATTGAAAGCTTTCCTCCAAGATGGGACAACTCCCCCAATTCGCCAATAGTCGACCCAGTAGATTTCCCCACAACAAAAGTAGTCAATGTTCTCAAACTTTTTAGTCTACCCATTTGCACCGGCATCTCTTCAATTTGAGTTCCACTACAATCAAGATGCCTCAAATTAATCAATTTTCTCATGTCTGCAGGCAATTCAAAAAGAGACCGACAACTTGCCAATAGTAATGTTTGTAGACTATAAAGAGTGCAAACTGTAGAAGGTAACCTTTTGATTCTAGTATTAGAGAGATTCAAGTAGCGCAAATGAATGAGGTTACCAATAGAATTGGGTAACTCAACTATATTATGATATTTTGACAATGTTAGCACCCGTAAACATGTTAAATTTGGCAATAACTCGGGTAAAACCCTTTTACTTACATAACACGGATACCCGTGTAATCCTTGAGGTAGGAAGGTTCGCAAATTCTTAACCTCATATAATGGCTCAAATTTTGCAGCACAATCAAATTGCCCTCTAGCATACGACAAATGCCGAACTCTTTTGAAAACTTCATGTGATTCGCCCCCTTCCCATCTCAAACAGGATTCCCTAGCCACAGACATAGCTAAGTCATTGATGAGATCATGCATTGTGAACTGTGATTTCACATATCTTGATCTTTGAAAAAATGATCGTGATAATAAGTCATCAAAGTATTTCTTAGTGAGCTCTTCCATTCTGTTCTCACTCTCAGCTTGTGGAATTAAACTTTCTGCCACCCAAAGTAGAACAATATCTTCCTTTTGGAATTCATAGCCCTTCGGAAAAATTGAGCAATAAGCAAAACATCGTTTTAAATGAGTTGGGAGATAATGGTAACTCAATCTTAGAGCTGGAATTGTATTACATTTTTCAGGAGGCAGCTCCCAAATATTGCTGTTTAGTATGCTATTCCATTCCTCATAATTTGTGTTGAAACGTAAGAGGCCTCCAAGTGTTTCCGCAGCTAAAGGTAAACCATTGCACTTAGTAGCAATTTTCTTACCAACTTCTTCCAGGTCCAGACGTGCACTCGAGTTTCCATTTTCAAAGGCATGTTTTGAAAGTAACAACCAGCAATCCTCATCGGACAGCTGTTTCAAAAAGTGAATCGGAACAGTGCGTATGCGGGCTGCAACACTCTCATTACGGGTTGTCACAATGACCCAACTTCCACTTGCCCCGGATGCAAAAGGACGTTGCAAGACACTCAAATCACCATAGTTCTCATTCCAAAGGTCATCCAACACAAATAAAAATTTCTTGCCCTTTATTTGTTGTCCTAGCTCAACTTGAAGAAAACTCAGGTCTTTATTATTGTAATCTTTTGAACTGACTGACTCAAGTAGAGTTTTAGTTACCCTAGTAACATCGAAATCTTCCGAAACATAAGCCCAAGTTCTAAGATTAAAATGCTCTTTCACTTTGTCATCATTATAAAGGAGCTGAGCCAGGGTTGTCTTGCCAACCCCGCCCATTCCCACTACGGTGATGACAGATACGTCCTTGTTGCTTGCTTCATCAGATAACAAGAGGTTCATCAGCTTTTCTTTATCTCCATCCCTACCGTACACGCAAGATTCATCCACCAAGGAAGTTGTTGGAGTTCTTTGAGAAACCTTCCCCCCAACAACACCTTCTCTCAGGCCAAGCACATCCTTTTGTTTTGCGAGGTGTTCTAATCTATCAAACAACTCTTGAATCCTACCATTCATGCCTTGATAAAAAGGATTAAGAGAAGTAGAGAGGAAGTTCCACACCTGAGTTTTGACGGTTCGATATTCAGCTTCCACCTTGCATCGCAGAACTTCAGCATTGATCTCATCCAGAAGGTCATCCGCATCAAAGACAGCATCTTGAAGTTTATCAAGCCACTCTTTCACGTAGCTGTTCAGGAATTGCTTCTCCTCCGCGTCATTAAGCACCGCATTAAGGCTCAACAACGTTATCTCCAGTTTCTTCACAAGCGACTCGTCCAGTTTCTTTCTCCGGAACAAGTCCATGAACTCGCTGGAACCAATCTTGTCGCACAGCACCTGCACGGAGGCAGAGAGAATAGCCTCTCCAACCAAAGCCATGTTTCGATTCTTTGCAAGGATTTGGACTTGAGTTAAGATTTGAAGCAAGTTTTGCAGCGAAGGATTAGGCTGTTGAGAAGTTGAGATTTATGTTGCTCTCAGTATCATTGACTCTGGAGTCTTCGCGTGAGAATATATTATTGCAAAAAGACAAGTGCGTTTGTATCGTGGGGAACCCACACGGTTAGACTCATCATAAAGCTGTCGTCCATTATTGTGTCCTAAGATTTTTGGTAAATAAAGCTTATAGGCTTAATTTTTGATATACCCTGAAAGTCTATTTTTGACATCAATTTATTAATTTTGAAATCTATATATAAAACTCAAATTCTAATTAAAGATATAAAACATCATAATATTCCTACATATTTACAGTATTTGCCACTAGACTTCAAATAAGTTAACTGGATAATTTTCAAGCATGTCATTAAGTCCCTTATTTTTAATTAATATTTCCTCATTTATAGCATATCAATGACTTCGATTTTCTTTTGGCATTCCCTCTAATCCCTGAAATTTCGACTAAAAAAAAAATTTGGGTTGATGTTTATTTACTTGGAGTTGGGAGTCGTCGAGTGAAATTATTACTGCCTAAAACTTTTGGACTTTTGTTAGACATCCTCAATGAACAAAAAACAAATGCTTTTGTAACATGGGGGAACCCACACGGTTAGGCTCATCATAATTCATAAAGCTGTCGTCCATTATTGAGGAGCATGAATTATAAAAAGAAAAGTTACCATCTGTTAGAAGATTTTTGGTAAATAAAGCTTTTATTTTTATGAACTTTATCAAAAGTGACTTGAGTAGGTTGGTCATTGTGTTAATGGAGTGATTGAGTAGGCTGGTCATTGTAGTGGGAACTCATATGTCAAAAATGACTGAAATGTTTGAATACAACACAAAACTATCAAGGTACGGGGTATGAAACTTGAGACTATTAGTTTAGAAGTCAAGACATTTTTCCACTAAACTAGACCCAGTTAACGTTTTGTTATGAAGAAAACGTTAGATTTCAGTTTAATAGTTATAATGCCACGTGTCTTAATACCTGACAAGTGACACGTGATATTTCAATACCACTGTATAATTTCTCTAGTACATTAATCTCCTCATATATCTGCTCTCCCTCGTGGATTGTCCTTTTGTTCATATTGAATACCAACTAATTTTTATATGGTCATGGTTTCAAGTTCTTCCTTTTGTTTATATTTAATACCAACTAATTTTTATTATTGCTTTTATGTCTACACTTTATTCAAAAATTGAAATAAAAAATATTAAAATCATTTATAACTCCTTAAAGCAAGGAGTATGGTTAAAATAACTTTCTAGTATGTTTAGTTAAATTTAACTATAAAATAAAGAGCATGATTGTTGATGCTCCTAAGCCCGATCATTTTCAGTTTAATAGGTTGTAATACTACATGTCTTGATACCTGGCAGGTGCCAGGTGGTATTCCAGTATCACTGACATTAATCACCTCATATATCTGCTCTCCCTCGTGGATTGTCCCAAGAATGCAGCTCAAACTTTCTTTTTGAAGCAAAAGGAAGTTCATCTCGTAATCTTAAGCTAATTCTTAATCTTCTGAATGCATACAATTAGAAATGAGATGATTAAGCTAATTTATATCTGCTCTAAGCTAATTAAGATTACAAGATGAACTTCCTTTTGCTTCCTTTTGCTTCAAAAGGAAAAGATGAAGTTATAATGATAGCCCCAGTGCTTCAAAGACTATTTTAGAACCGTCATGCTATAAAACCAGCACCTGGGCTATTTCTAAAAACAGAGGAAAAAACACGAGCCATAAAACTCACTCTGTAACATCCTCTCATCCTGTAAGTGCGGAATGCAAAAACATATGACAGAAACAAAACATTTTATCCACAACGCAGACTTTTCTGCTTCCTCATTATTTCAGCTGTCCCTATTTACAAAAAGGAGCTGTGAACTAGAAGGATGCTGAAAAACACAGTTGTTTGGTTTTGGATTATCCTCAGCTGCTCTCTGGAGCTTTATCTGTAATATAGTAACATTTAAACATTAGACTTACAAAGAGATATATATATATATATATATATATGGCATAAATTGAAAAATAATAATAATAATCATGCAGTTTTTTGGTCAATGAAATACACCTCTAAGGACAAACAAATAAACAAAGTGAAGAAAGAAATAACTGAAATAACATCACAATTTCTTCTCTTCTTGGATAAATATTGTTTCATATCCAATTTGAGCATGCAGATGCTTCTTGTTTTCCATTTAAGCCACAACCAACATTCAGTTATGTTATTAACAGTTAATTCGTAGGGCGGCACGAATCCATCTCGTGGATAGAAAATACAGTTCTTTGGCACAGTTTGTACCAAATTGTAATACAGGAGGAGGGCTACTAATGTTATAAACAAAAAAACAAGAATTAAAGTAATAGTGCAGTACTTCCAATGAAATCGTAAAATGGAGTATGATTCACAACCTAACAGATAAGAAGAAACTAATTCCTCAGCAAGGATCTGACAATTTGTAATGAATCAATTTAATAAGAACATTCCTCAGCAAGGATTCACAAATTACAAAATCCCTCCCTCCCAGATATACATTGCTCCCATGAAACAGTAGGATGAAGGAAACTATGAGAAAAACATCTAAATCTGGAATGAAACTTGAAGGAGATTTTTATTTAATCAATTGTTTACTAATTAACCAATATAATGGGATATACTTAAGCGCATGATAGGTTTTCATCAATCAGGATGAATACAGTACATGTTGTTGACAGATACTGGTACTCCTTAGTACTGAATGAAATTTGACTGAACATATCTTTTATATTTTTGTTTACAAAGATGTAACAATGATTTATACTTTCATGCAGACTCACATGAGCAAGTTCGGATCACATAGATTTAAAATGAATGTAGAATTGAGGGCAAATATTTGTTCTGGAAATGAATTCAATTCTGGACAGTTAGTCCCTAAAACTACAATCTTTCAATGCAGGACAAGAGGAAATTGAATTTTTATACAAACTTTAACAGGTTTAAGGTCACAATCCATGGCTGTCTTTAAGATAGATGAAGTTAAAAGGATAAACAGAGGTTTACCTTCATGTGTTTTCTCATACTTCTGTTCCGCGTCAGATTCTGAAAAGCCAGTTCTAATAGCTACTTGAGTGCATTCTATGTTCATGCATATCTCAGCCCAACACAAAATACTGCTAAATTCAAGGATGAGGAAATTAAGAATTGGAATGTTAGGTTGATCTTAGAATATCAGCAAATCAATTTCTCGCACTCACCAGCGTGCTTGAACTCCTGCACTTCCTTAAAGCCCATCCATGGCTTCACGCAGACTTTGGCTTTGTAAAGCTTCTTCTTTCCGGCATCGATGGCCTCGATCGTCAGATGGAGCAGAGTTCCAGCAACCACTTGATCCTCGATCGTCAGATGGAGCGAAGCAAGCGAGGTGTTCGGTTTCGAGGCTGTTCTGGGAGGCATGGGATTCGTGGACTCCGCCGAGAGTGGCCATGTTTTGGAGTTGGGAGGGATTTGATTCTTCTGCGAAGGATGAGAATGCAAGGAAAGGTAAGAAGACGAAGAGGTTGAGTTGCATAAACAGACGCAAGGAGGAAGAAGAAGATAATTTCGATTTCAATTTCGCCGGAGGACACTTGTAGGACGGATGGGAATTTATCTCTTTCGCTGCTCGGAGTCTTTTTGTATACGTGCACGTGTCGCTTTGAGTATCTATCTTTGCTTAGTAAGTAAGGGCCTATCCTATTTTGATCAAATTTTTTAAACTCAAAAACAGATTTGTCCCAAAAATCTGTTTGGTATGCCCATTTTTAAAAATCCAAACCCAAAAAAAATTCACAAACACCCCTATTATTTATAAAAATAAAATGGGTTAATGACCTAAATGGTCCCCCAACTATCGCTCGATTATCATTTTGGTCCGTCAACTAAAATTTTCAATTCAAACGTCCTTAAACTTTTTATATTGTACCAAAATCGTCCTTTCGTAACAGATTCTGTCACTTTCGATCACGCGATGACCACGTGATTGAGTTTTGAAGGGTATATGCGACTTTTTGAAAAACCCTATCGCTCAAAACCAAAATCCCTCCAAAATACGTCCACTTTTTGAGAAGCCCTCTCATTTCCCGCAATAACCATTGAGTGGAAGGGATTCTAATGCGAGTTGCTGAATTGGTCGATGCTGTAGTAGTGTGCGAGTCTCTGAATTGGTGAAGTTAGTGTGTAATTTCAGTGTTAGTTTTGGAGTTCGAATTTGGGAGTTTGGGTTAGGGTTTGATTTTGGGGATTTTGGAGATTTTGGGAAATTCACTAGTTTCTGATAATGGAGTACAAATTCCGTTCGGGTGGAAAGACTCCCAAATACGGTAAGGGCTTCTATAATGCATTTTATGTTGTTTTTGTTTGGAAATGGATGAAATGGATGAGTTGTCCTTGTCCGGAACTGTGATTTCTTTATAAAGATTCTTTTTTCTGTGTTTGTGTTCGGCTTTTTGGTTGTTTTATGTTTAAAGTAAGGGTAAAGAAATCGTTTTCTTGTATGTGGATGTGGATTGGATTTGGCTTTTGCTACATTGACAGTAGAGTGTAAGCTTTATGTCTGTGGTCCCTTGGTTGTGGTTCCTGTATGTTGAATATGGTGTTTTTTTTAAAATGGCTGTGGTCCCTTGGTTGTCCGGTTCACACCCAACTCAGTAATTGTTGCCCTTGTTGTCGTTAGCATTAACAACAAAACTATGACTTTAGAATAACATATTGTTGTTTCAATTTTGCAGCTAACAATGGAATGTGCACTCTAGAATCACTACAAGAAAACAGGTCTTTTGTGAAGACGAGTAGCTGTCACCTAAACATGTAAATTCGTCACAGTTGACAATATGTGACGCATTTTCGGCGTCACAAGGTTCGTCACCTATACCCCTTCACAGATTGTTTGACGTGACTAATTTACGATTCGTCACATACGGGTTCTATATGTGATGAATGTTTTGTCACATATAGTACCTTTGCACAAGACATCTTTCGTCACTTATTGTATCTATCGGTGACAAGCCGCATTGGTGACATTTCACAAGCGTTAGTGGGGAGTTGTTCCTCACATATTTATGAAAATTGTGGGGAGTTGTACCTCATATATTTATGAAAATTGTGACAGTGTACGTCTCACATATAATCTGACCAGCATTCAATTCAATTAAATTCAACTCGATTACTACCATTCCCCATTATATTCTTTTCTTGTATAATATAGCAAAATAATACATTCAAGATCCCCAAAGTTTCACAAGTAAATTGAACTCAAATTTCATTTCATTACACCAAAATAATTATGTTGTTTAATATACAATAGTCTTAACTACATGTTTTTTTTTCTTCTCATAACTACAATGTAATTTTTCTACAACTGAAATTAATGTTGTCCCAAGATGAAAAAGAGTTGAACCCAATTGCAAAAGATCCTCAATGACAACAAAAAAGAAGGGATCTTTTTGGTTCAACTATCATAAAAAAATAAAATGGTCATAAAAATGGATATAGAAGATATAAAAGGGCAAATTACCATTGGGGAAGAACATCAAGCTGTTTAATAGAGAGATAAAAGGCTAAATTACCATTGGGGAAGAACATCTTATTTATGGCTGGGAAGCTACACACTGCCAAAAAATATAAAACATAATACAACATTGTTAACATTAAAGTGAGAAGACAAATAGAATTAATGTTTGATGTCTAAGAAGTGACCATGGTGAGGAAAATGAAAGGATGAAAAACAGAATCCATCAAAGGATTAAATGTCAAGAAGCATGAAAAAATAAAAATCACACTCCTAAAAATGAAGGTGTACATACAAAGCATAAAAAGCTACAAAAGAATCTTTCCTGTGGTATATAGGCAGAAAATATGGCCTCCATATAACAAAAATATGTATCACCTCTTTGTATGAAGAGGATCTTTCTTCCTTCCCACTTCTTTGTATTCTTAGCCATGTCTTTCAACATTCCATAAGCAGCTTCGCCACTAAAAAAGGAATGACATCATAAATCAGTGATCCGATTATTCGGCAAAAGAGAAAAGCCACAGAGAGAGAGAGAGAGAGAGATGCAGATATAATACTTCAGAATTAACTATGAATAATTTAACCAGTTAAATCAACAGTCCTTAAGAGTCCTTAAGAGTTTCAAGTGAAAAATAAAACAGTCCTTAAGAGTTTTAAGCATTCAAATCATAAAACTACCATGGGAGAAAGGCACTGCAAGCTCGATGCTCTCAAGCAGCGCCTTTGATGATCTTCACCACTTTCACGAGCAAGCTTGCATACTCTATGAACCAAACTCTCAATGGTATGCGTGTAAGTGCCAGCTGTCTGTTCAAAGATTGGGTCAATAACCAAGACAAGAGTTGAAAAAAATAAAGTAATCAAAGAATTTACTTTGTATAGAAAGTAGAACAAATCGTCCACATCTGACTCATCCATTAACAGAATAAGATGTGCCACAAGTAGCATCAACCATTATAAATCGGAATTCATTGTCTGCCTAAAGATTTGTGATATTAAACACTAATTAGGCAGATCAAATAACTCTCATTCTGCTCAGTGTATGCCAATAGCTTTTTTCAAGAGAAGGTAACTTGTGAATCACCTGACTATAGATGAACCTCGTTAGGGTTTGGCATCCAAGTATGCGCAGAGGATCATGCTTAGGGTTGTCCAGGAGCTCAGTAACCACACTCAGCAGACTGACTGCAAAATATGCCCTGAAAGATGCAAAACATATGCAATACAACACAAGAATTTTATGCAAAAATTAATTCCTTCTTTTTAACAACTTTAAAGACACTGCAGTGAAAAGAAAAGGAAGAGAGACAGAGAAGAAAATTTGAAGGACACAAAACAAACAATAATAAACCGAACTTTCTACTAAAATAGCATATATACAATACCAAAGCATCTCCTAAAATAGCACAAGTTCAATGCATAAGAAATATAAATGGTTCGTTGCCAAAATAAAATAGCACACAACTTCCACCTAAAAGTGGAATTGTGACTTGAATTTGGAATTTCCCAACCAATCATACAAAAGCCATACCTAAACAACAGTAGTTTCGTCCAAGAGATTAAGCTTAAACAGATCTTTTCTCCACTAAAAATCACTAATAGACTTCTATAACAAATTAAATGGTAAGAAAAGAAAAGGGAAACAGCTAAGACTTACATCTGCTCTTTACACAGGCAAAGCAACTTGTTGTAAGCCTCTGCAACAATATTGATGAATTTGATGTGCTCTAGTCATAGCTCTTTGTAACACCTATCTTCAAGATATTTGGCAATCTGTTGAAAAAACAGGAGCATGGGCAGAATTACCAAATGAAGATATAGAGGCACATTTCACTATTGATAATGAAGGGGCAGAATTGCCAAATGAAGATATAGGGGCACATGTGACAATTGATAATGAAGGGGCAGAATTGCCAAATGAAGATATAGGGGCACATGTGACAATTGATAATGAAGGGGCAGAATTGCCAAATGAAGATGAAGATGCAGATTCAAAAATTAAAGACAGTGACTATGAGTTCAGTGAAAATGAGGCAGAGGATAGGCCAACTGTTGGAGAGAATGTAGCAGATGAGGGGACTAGTCATGGTGCTCCAGGAGAAGTGTCATCAGATGGTGCTGACACGTCAGAATTTGACAGTGGAAGTGAGACTGATTCTAAGGGTAATGATAGAAAAAAGATAAAACTGCCAAAGTTTAAGCAGTATAGAAGAGATGTGGACTTGAAAAATCCCGAGTTTAGATTGGGAATGAAGTTTGCAAACAAAAAACTTCTGATAGAGGCTATCAAGGAGCTTGCAATTATAGAGGGTAGGAAAGTGAAATTGAAAAAAACGGACAACAGACGAGTTCAGGCTAAATGTGTGAAAGGGTGTTCTTTCCAGGTATATGGATCAAAGATTAATAGAGAGGAAGAGACATTTGCTATAAAAACTTTGAGCCTAGAACATCAATGTGGAAGAGTGGACAAGCTTAGGCATACTACATCAAAATGGCTTTGTGACAGATATGCAAACAAGCTGAGGCGCAACTCAGACTTTGATATGAAATCATTTCAACAAGATGTGTTGGAAGATTACAAAATTAATGTCACCAAACTTCAAGTTTGTAGGGCAAAGAAGCTAGCCAGAGATTTAAATGAAGGTACTTTCAAAGAACAATATGCTAGATTGTGGGATTATGCAGAAGAATTAAAAACTGCAAACAAGGGTAGTACAATGAAGATTAAAACTCAGATTGTGAATGGTGAGACAGTGTTTCAAAGGATATATGTGTGCTTGGCTGCCTGTAAGAAGGGATTTTTATAAGGTTGCAGACGTGTTATTGGTGTTGATGGTTGCCATTTGAAAGGGCCTTATCCTGGACAGATCTTGATGGCTGTTGGGGTGGATGGGAACAATGGTTATTTCCCAGTAGCTTATGCAGTGGTTGATATTGAGAGTAAAAACTCTTGGATTTGGTTTTTCAATCTTCTTATTGAAGATTTAGGGATTACAAATGGACAAGCTTGGGTAGTGATTATTGACAAACAAAAGGGACTTCTACCTGCCATTGAGAGAGTACTTCCATCTGTAGAGCACAGGATGTGTATGAGACACTTGTACAGTAACTTTAAGGCATCACATATTGGTCTTGCTTTGAAACATATATTATGGGCTGCAGCAAGAGCTACAACTGTGCCTTGGTGGGAGGCAGAAATGGAGAAGATGAAAAATGAGGATGAGGAAGCATGGAAGTGGTTGAAGTAGATACCTGCAAAAAATTGGAGCAAATCTCACTTCGGATCACATTTTAAATGTGATCTTTTGTTGAATAATTTATGTGAAAGTTTCAATGCAGCCATACTGGATGCAAGGGATAAGACAATTTTGAGGTTCTTGGAGAGGATAAGGGTGTATGTGATGCTTAGGATGGCTAGTAGGAGGTCTGCATGTCAGAATTGGAGATACTCTGTTGGGCCTAGGATCTTCAAGATAATTGAGAAGAACAAGCTAGGTTCATCACAATGCATTCCTAGATTGGTTGGTGAGAAATTGTATCAAGTGAGCCACATTTATGGTGGAGAATTTGTTGTAGACCTTAGAGCAAAGACATGCTCTTGTAGGAGGTGGAATTTATGTGGAATACCATGTCCCCATGCAATCTCAACAATAGATGTGAAAACCCAATTGCTTATGTGGATGGTTGTTATAAGCTGGAGACTTATATGAAGGCTTATGAATAAGTGATTCACCTAATCCCTTCAATGGACCAATTGAGTAAATGTGGTCTTCCTCCAATTAAACCTCCACTTTATAAGCAACAACCAGGTAGGCCTAAAAGAGTTAGGACAAAGGAGCTTGGTGAGGTTGAAATACCAGCCCCCATCCCACCAAACCCTATGCCTCCAAATTATCTTGCCTCACTAGCCAAGCTTAGAAGGGTTTTCATTGAAATAAGATGTTGTGGATGTGGTCAAAAAGGCCATAATAGAGCAACATGTGACAGACAAAACAATGAAAACCAACAGGTATGACTGTGAGACACCTTGTTTAGTTCTATGTTATGGCGTACTTACATTAATAATTTTGTTATACATTTGCAGGTTCATGCATCTTCAACCAAATGGAGCAAGGTTTTTCTTCTAACACAGTAAGAGGGAGAGACATAAGCAAAGGGAGAGGCATAAGTAGAGAAAGAGGAAATGTTGCTCAAGCTACTGCTGACCCTAATTCTCTACAAAGTGTAAGCTTTGGTTGTTCTTGTGGTTTTAAATTGCAAAAGTCATTAGGAAGCTGAAATCATTTATTTTTTTAGATGGCAAGAGGTAATAGAGAAGGAGGCAGAGGCATAAGTAGAGGAAGAGGCAATGTTGCTCAAGGCCCTGTTTATCCAAATTCACAAGAAAGTGTAAGATTTATTTTCTCTTTTTTTTTCAATTTTTTATTGCTTATGTCATTGGAAAACAATAAAGATCAGTAACTTTTCCAGGTGACAAGAGGTAATGGACAAGGAGTCTTACCATCTTCACATATTGGTTTAGGAAAAGGTTTACCATCTTCAAAGCTAAGTGCAATTAGAGGAAGAGTCTTAGGAAGAGGCATAAGTGGAGGAAGAGGCTTAGGAAGAGGCTTACCATCTTCACGATCAACTGTAGGTTTTTGTCATTTGGTTCATTTCTTACTCATTTCACTAATTGCCAATTTTTCAATTGTTATACACTTGATATTACTACATTGTTTAGGTGGCAAGAGGAAGGGGACAAGGAGGACCAGCTTTGGACAACATTCCCCATGATAATAACATGGCCTCAATATAGGGGAAATTTTTACTAAGGTTGTCCTATTTTGTGTATTTTGGGATATGTAATTTTCTGGCCAGAGGGATTTTGTGACAAAAGGGACTGATTCTGACTTTTGACTGTGTAATTGGTTTTGAGTTTGAAGGGCTAAAACTCTGTAATTTCTTGGCTATTTTAGGTTAGGTACTTTTTTGGGCAGGAGGATTTTGTGTAGTTTGTGTAATTGGTTTTGAGCTAGAACAGCTCAAACTGTGTAATTCGTTGTCTGTTTTGGCTTATGTACTTTGCTAAGCAGGTGCATTTTGTAATTGGAATTCTGTAATTGGTCTAACTGGTCTTCAGTTTCATCGGCTCAAACTCTGTAATTGGAATTTGAATGTTTATATGGATGTTCATTTTGTAAATTGCATGTGTGGTCAACAATGGAATGACTTTTACTTTCTTGTACTCAATGGAATGGCATCTCCCAGATATTCAAATAACCTCAATTCAAGAACATTTCAGAACACTAATGCACATTCAAGGGACACTAATGCACATTTCAGAACCATTACATTCAAAAGGAACAAACCCCATAACAATTACAACTTCCCACTCATCAGAAATGTTATAAACAAACCCCAAGAAAAAAATCAAGGAAACCCACATTATCAACTGTCTTTGCCCATGACCCCATTCCAAAACCTTTTTTTCCTGAACCATTTCTTTCAATTTCTGCTGCAGTTCTTTCTTTTTTGCTTCCACAGCTCTCAATTGTTCTTCCTTTGCTCTACCTTCCTCCTCCATTGCTCTAAGTCTTCTAAGCAAACCAGGGACCACTTGTTTTCCTCTTGGACAAGTTTCATTATCCACCCACTCGAAATAATGCATACCTCTTCTGTTATTCTGGCAAATCAAATCTTACCAAATTTCAGACCTCATCAACCAATTACAAATGGAAAAGAACAACTTTTGCAACCCAAATAATAACTTACCCAATTTTTATCACAAGCATCAAACCTTCTTCCCGGGCTCAAATCTATCAACGAAGTCTGACGAATTATCTTCGTCCCACAGGCGCAGTACTGGCTCGTCCCACTTGATGTCGTTGACATCTCTGACGTTGAAATCTCTGACATTGCAAACCTAGGGTTCTAATTTGGGGGTTTTGGTGGAGCTTCTAACAGAAATGGGAGGGAATGCGATACTACAGTGCCCAAGTCGTTTTAGAAGAGGATACTCACCTAAAAATACGGTTTTGTCCATCGATTTAACGGAATAATACACAGACTTTGATGGAAGGAAGATTTTGGTACAATATAAAAAGTTTATGGTCGTTTGAGTTGAAAATTTTAGTTGATGGACCAAAATGATAATCTAGCGATAGTTGAGGGATCATTTAGGTCATTAACCCAAATAAAATTTTAAAAAAAGCTTCTAGAATTTTTTTCTCTCTCTCCTCCCTCTCTAGATCTGTTGTGTTCTCTTTGTCCTCTCTCGTCCCTCTCTATCACCCTCTTTCTCTCTCTCCTCCCTCTCTCTCTCTCTCTCTCCCTCTCTCTCTCTCTCTCTCTCTCTCTCTCTCTCTCTCTCTCTCTCTCTCTCTCTCTCTTGCACACCACCAAAATTGATTGGGTTTATGCCTCATATTTTTTCTTTTTCTTTTGTTAATTTCATTTTGGGAATTAGTTTATGATTTTCTTATTTTAATTTCAATTTTTTTTAGATCTTAAAAATAGTTTGGAATTCTATACCAAACAATTTTTTAGATCTTAAAATCACTATTTGAAAACTTATGTTTTTAAAAAGAATCACAGTTTTTTAGTTTATTTTTTATTTTTTATTTTTGAATAGGATACCAAACAGGGCCTAAACTTTTGTTTTCTTTTTTCTACTTTTCTTTTCCTTTAATTCAAGCGTAGTTTGTAAGCAAACAAAAAAAAAAAACTCTTTTTGTTCTGAAAAAAAAACTTATGACATGTTTAGGATCTGTTTGGTATCTTATTTAGATCCAATTCTATAAATTGAAAAATAAATTTTAGAGACAATGCTTTTGTTGGAAACAACAATCAGTATCAAACTGGCTGTCCTTGAAGGATTCATAGACAAAGCTATAATCTTTCAACAACTTGGCTGCATATGGCATTACATAGAAAGTAACTTTCAACAACTTCATAATCATCCGATAAAGTTTTCTTGCAAGAAACCCTAACGAAGACGTGCCCCCCAGGGTGTAACATCAGCTTATCTTGTTCGAGATGAAGAATTCTTCATCAACACAAAGAGAGCTTTTCCATGTGGTCAGATCAAATGAAGGCCGCCCCTCCAAACACAAATGAACTATCTGCAGGACAAGATAGCTCTGATCAAAAGCTAATAGAAAGCATATAATAAGGATGTTAAGTTTATTGCTGTCGTTAAGTATCCCTTTAGTTAAAAACATGTGCCCCTTCCACTGCCTTCAAGGGACCTTAATTGTAAATTATTAGAAAGATTAAGATGGATGGTTCTGAACAACGGTCTAGTGCTTGTTAAAGAATACACGAGTCCCACATCGGAAACTTAATAAAATAGAAAGTCTCATAGAATAAATGGTTCCACTCCTAATAACATCGAGACCTTTTGTATCAAACCCCACACCTGCTAAATAGGTGGTTAAGTTGGGAACAATTTCGATGTTGCTAGTGGTGGGCCAAGGGTCCATCCTCAAATCTTAACGGTGCTAAGAATAACAAAGGTGCCAACTTTCAAATGTAAAAAAGCAAACTTTTCTTTTTTGATTTCACTAAGGTCAATTGGCAAACCTCCCCACAATCACCTGCAAGATCATGTGATGATGGTCAGTAACGAGTAATCTTGTAAGCTTCATAATACAAGGAACAGAGATTGTGAGAGAGTGGAGCAATACTTCGGAGAGATCTCAGTCCCATGTTTTCTGCTACAGCTTTCAATCTTTCTCAAAATCTTCAACTTCAACTCATCAGAGCATGCATTTGTTGAGTTTGTTGGAAGATGATAAGGTCATTCTACCTTAAAAGAGAACCCAATACGCTTTAGTTTTCTTCCATTAGCAGCAGTTACCTTGAAATCTCAAAATACACAATGCATGCCAAATTGGGTCAATTCCCATTGGGAATCTTGCGTAGAGAGTCCAGCGATACAACAAAGAAAACAATTCTAATGAAATGGAACTGTAGTTCTGAAGTGAAAGGCACGGTAAAGGATCAACAGAATTTTACCTTCACGTGTTTTCTCATACTTTTGGCCCTCATCAGATTTTGAAAAGCCAAGTCTAATAGCTATACAATGAGGATTTCAACTCGATTGCTTTCCACTTTCATGCATATCTCAGCTCAATAAGATACTCCTAAGTTCAAGACATTAAGAATTGGATCACTAGATTCATCTTAGAATATGAACAAACTAATTTCTCTAGTTAACCCCAACTCATGTAGCTTCTGAAAACTAATTTCCGACCAACAAGTATGTATACATTTTCATCCATCTCAAAATTAAATTCATAAATGACGTTTTCACCACATTGTCCAAATGCTGGTCTGTTGCTAGAGCGCCACCTGGAGAAGATTTCCTTCCCCTTTGTTTGCCACAATTTGTTTGTAGAAAAACAAAAATCTATATACAACAGTAAACTCTCATCGGGCAGTGACATGAAAGAAACCTGCAAATGAGAACTGTTTATGAGAAGGCATGTTATCGTGCAGAGTGACTAATAACTCAGAATTTGAGACTAGACAAACATAAGGACCCGTCCCAGTGAGAAACAAAGTGACAGAATTATCAGAATTTATCAAGTTTAATACCAATAAAATCAAATTTGCAATTCAAGGCAAGATTCTTTTTTACAGAAAAAGAAAATGCTAATGAACTATTGCTGTTGTTCCATTTTGAGCAAGTAACGTTTTAGAGTACTTCAGAAGTTAAAGGCGCAGAGAAAGAACACAGACAAGCCTTACCTTCATTTGTTTTCTCCCACTCTGTTACAGATCAAATTTTGAAAACCCTGCTTCCTCTAATAGCTTTTTAATATGGATGTTTACTTGAGTGCCTTCACTTCCCATGCATACCTCAGCTCAACAAGATGCTCCTAAATCCAAAGGAGAAATTAATTCTACTGGCTTTAATTAAATCTAATTATTGCAGCTCATAAAAATAAATCTAACAAATTATAATCCAATTATTGACAAGATAAACATGGAATAATGACAAGGGACCTACTTGATGCTCTGTGCCTGACTTTGACTTGAGAGTGAAATGTCGAAAAGCAAAAACTTTGTTCGATAACGAGCTCATATCATATGATCACTTCTTGGCATATGAAGATGCAAGGAATGTGAGATATCTTAGCCCAATCTTCTCCCCTATTATTCTCATACCTTTACTCCAGGGCAGAACAACTGGAGATGCTCAGAAAAGAAAGAGTCTTGTGGCAGGAATTGGAGACTCAGATATGTATCTGTTGAAGAGAAGTGAGTTCAAGGGACCGTGTGAATTCTCAAATTTCAGATGAATGGCATATTATTATGGTAACTACGAGATTGGTTTTTTCATTTTTTGGGGGTTGTTTGTGGGGTGGTTCGGAGCAACGGTCTAGTGCTAAGAATATAAAGGTGCCTACTTTCAAATATCAAAACCCAAACTTTTTTCTTTTTCGATTTCAACTCGATTGCTTTCCATTTTCATGCATATCTCAGCCCAACAGGATACTCCTAAGTTCAAGACATTAAGAATTGGATCGTTAGATTCATCTTAGAATATGAACAAACTAATTTCTCCAGTTAACCCAAACTTGTGTAGCTTCTGAAAACTAATTTCCAACCAACAAGTATGTACAAGAAAATAGATATGAAAGAGACTAGTTGATACGCTAAAAAGTTTCTTAACCTACCTGAAAAGTTTTGAATTGGAAATGAACAGGAGCTTGTCTCTAGTAACGAGAACAGACCTGGGCATCCATCATATATTTCTAATTCTTCAAGAGATAAGTAGTCCATGTTACGAGTAGTAGTGGCCCTTTCATGATGTAGAACCCCACACCCGGACGACAAGCTAAGTCTTTCAAGCAAGTAAGATGAGAAGGCAAGCTTCCTCTTAGCTTCAGACACTTTGTCTAAAGTCAGCTCCTTGAGATGAGGAAAAGCTGGACACCGGCCTTCTGGTCTTCATTCCTCCCACTCTGGCAAATGAGTAAATCAGATGAGAAGGCATGGATGTTATCTATTACAACAATGGGGAAGCAAAATAAATAAGGACACTATTAATAATAATATTGATAGTTTAATAACAAAAATAATATAAATAATATAATTTCACTTGACAACAGCACCTAAGAAGCCTTTGCATCTATAAAAATTATCATGTAAAGGGACTAGCCAGGAACAAAACATGAATAGTGAAATTAATTTTGTGTCAAAGGTTCCCACAAAGTTGAAGATTTTGGTGTGGCTTGTGGCTCACAAGAGGGTGAATACGTGTGATTTGCTGCGTAAAGGAGACCTAATTCCTATATTTCTTCAAGTTGGTTCATTTTGTGTAAGATGAAAAGGGAGAGTGCCGTCCAATTGTTTGTTTATTGCCCAGCTACGTTGCACCGATACGGATACGGGTACGGTGATACGATACGATACGATAAGTCAATATGGATGTATTATTTGAGGGATGCCAGTATCTCGAATTTGAGGGATGTATTATTCAGGAAGGCTGGAGTGAGTTGGCTAACATCAGAAGGGAAGGAATAGGAGGGTATTCGACAATTATAAGGGGTTGGGGATGGAAGGGCTTCTGAATAGGGTGTGGTTCCTATCTTCACCTTGAGCATTGGTTTATTCACAATTCAGGGATGGAAGGCAGCTCAAGGATAATTTCTTTGTTAAAGCTCTTATAGTTGTATTTCTCTTAAGATCAGCTCTGTTCCTGTTCTGTGGTGGACGAGTACTTGTTCACTTCTGTGGTATTTTAGTATCTTTTCTCAATAAACAAATGTTTCTTCTAAATAAACAAGTCATTACTGAAGTGTGCAAGACCAAGCATGGAGTTTCCTCAACATTGTCTGTCCTAGAACTTGAGCTCTCACAGGTTATTCATACATATATACACATTTTCATCCATCTCAAAGGAAACTCATAAATGACGTTTTCAAGTTATTACGTAGGGAAAGGAATTTTATGATGAAAGATTACCTAATCATGAATGGACATGTGATGCTTGTTATGTTAGATTGAGAACATTTCCTTCCCCTTCTTTGCCGCAATTTGTTTGTAGAAAAACAAAAATCCACATACAATGGTAAACTCTCCTCGGGCAGTGACTTGAAAGAAACCTGCAAAAGAAGAAATGTTGACAAGAAGACTTGTCATCCTGGAGCGTGACTAATAACTCAGCGTTTGGGACTTCAGACAGACATAAGTTGTGATCAGCATGCTCTTGGATACCGATAATGACCACCCCAGCGAGAAACAAAGTGACAAAATCAGAATTTATCAAGTATAGTAAATAAAATCAAATTTGCAATTTAAGGGAAGATTCATTTCCAATATGTGTGATGTGGGGGATGAGGATCTGGCATAACTTAGAACAACCAAGACTTAACAGAGAAAAGGAGAGAGATGATAAACAAAGCTTAAACACTCCCTAAGAAAATTTTGTAATTGCTGAATGATCTTTCTGCTCAACCAAAGACCACCGGTTGATACTAAGAAAATATACATTAGTAAAGTGACAACGTTTATAACATACATGAAGTACCTGGAAAATTCCAAAGATAAATTAATGACATGAACCTATTAAAATTCCCAATGAATGTGCCCCTCGGGGACTGGAACAATATGAATGATAAATATCATGCTCACATCTTCAACAAGATGACAGCAATAATATACTGCCGGTTTTATCTAACAAAGCTCACAGGTTATCCATAGACATTGAATACATTTTTATTATGAAAGAGTACCTAAAAATGTGGGACATTTGATGCCTATCTGTAGGAATGTGTCAATCCAGATATTCCAAGTGAACCTTTCCGCCTCCCCTTGTTGTGACAAATGTTTTTGTAGAAAAACAGAAGTCCATGAACCTTGCAAATGATAAGCTTTCCAAGAGAAGGTGCTGTCCTGCAAAAAGAGTATTAATTATTCAGCATTTGAGACTTACTATAGGATATAAGTTGCGAAGAAATTGAGTCAATAGAAGGAGAGAATTTACTGAACAAATTAATCATAGAAATTGGATTGAGTTTTTGTGTGTTTTTCTGGAAAATGATTCTGATCAGAAAATAGCATGAGACCAGTAAGCATTTCCTTCCCCTTCTTTGCCACAATTTGTTTGTCGAAAAACAAAAATCCATATACAATGGTAAACTCTCCTCGGGCATGGTTGCCTACACAAGTTGCTTTGACCTCCAAACATGGGAAAGTTTCTCAAGTCTGAAAGTACACATCCAACATTTCAAGTCTCATCAAATAGAACTTTGTAGCTGAAGGAATGATTTGTGGGACGGAAAAAAAAATTCATTTGCAGATAAGATATTATATGCATATCTACACAATCATATAGATAAAGCTACTAGGTAATGAAGCAGCAGCTGGACCAGGGAGATGGGGAAAAGGAAAGTTGCCTCCTTTGAACCAAGCGACTAGTATAAATTTACCATGTCAATCTTTTCAGTTGAACAAAACCATTTGGTATGTGTGTAAGATAATACAATAACCGCTGGTAATAAATTGTTTTTGTTACTGCTGATTTTTATATTTAGAAAGTACAACAAATAGAAGAACAATCTTACAAACGTCAAAAGCACGTCTTCAAATAATGCATATATTCTTCAAATATTCGATTGTCGGAAAAATAAAAATGAAATTCGCACCATGAAATACATGAACCATTCGGAAATTGATTCTCTGATATTTTTTATTTATAAAAGTGTTAGAAAGTACACCTCCAGATCTTCCACAAAAAGATCTAATTGCGACTTTCGATTTGACACGTACTTTCATTAGAAGGAAAAAAAAAAATACAAAACAGGGGACAAGTTAACACAACCTCAAAACAGAGATTAAACATCCTAACAATACATGAAGAAATTTAAATACAGTAGAATCTAAAAACAGAGGAAAGGAGAGAAATTACACATCCCAACATTTATAACATGAACAAATCTAAAAACAGAGAAAAGGAGTGAGATGACAAACAAAGCTTAAAAAATTTTGTAATTGATGAATGATTGAGTTTTTGTGTGTTTTTCTGGAAAATGATTCTGATCATAAAATACCATGAGACCAGTGACAATGTAATTCACAAAAAGCTGGGAATGCATGCAATTAGAAATGAGATGAAATATTAATGGAGAACAAAAAAAAATGTGCTGAACAAATGAATATGAATTAAATAAAAAAAATGTGCTGAACAACAGAGAGCGAGCATGATCTGGGAAGAAGCATTCGATGCAACTGCAAAGGTTAATTGGATGCAAAATTGATGGCAGTTAAAGAGGTTATTTGAAGTACATAACTGACCTGAGTTTGTTTGTCTCTATGTGAGAGAGAGAGAGGTCATATCATCGTATGATCACTTCATCATTTATCTGGATGCATGGAATGTGAGATATGCTGGCCCAATGATCTTGTCCCGTCTTATTCTGATACCTTTTCTCCAAGCGGGAACATTTGTAGATTCTCAGATAAGAAAGAGATGGCGGTAGACCCTCTTCTGGCAGGAATTGGAGACTCGGACAACAGGAAATATTTAGCCATTGAAGAGAAGTGAGGTGTTGAAGTGCCTCTCCTGGCAGGAATTCCAGACTTTTACACGCAGTAATAGATAGACTTCGAAGAAAAGTAAGGTGTGCAAGTCCCTTCCCATCCAAAGATTTCAGAGTTGATAATGAAGAGATCCTAAGAGTGTGAAGAGTGGTAGGGAGCAGCTGTTGCTTGAGCAACATCTCCAAGATTTCATCACTTCCCCTGCCACCAATTGTAAATTGTTTAAGGGAGACAAGTGCTTGCAAACCCCAGTTACAGTAGTCTCCCACTGATGAAGATGAAGCCCTCAGTCTCTCACCATTCTGAATGCTAAAATGTCTGAGGTTGGGAGGCAAACCTCCATCCTCTGCAATTGACTCCAGATCTGGAACATTGAATATCAACAAATTTCCAAGGGCTGTGAGGGTGTGAATGCGTTCAGGTAATGACTTCAACTTCTCGCATTTCCCAACTTGAAGTGACGTCAGGTTGGGAGTGGGCAATCCACCCTGGGGAAAACACACTAGACTTGGACAGCCTGAGATATTTAACTTATTGAGATGACTGAGATTCTCGACCGCTCCTTCTTCTTCAATCAAGCAAAGCGATTCTAGATTCTCACAATTCCAAATAAGAAGTGTCCTCAATTTGGGAAAAATGCCCAAGGGGAAGGACCTTATTGAATCACAGCTATTCTCTAGGCTCAAAGAGAGAAGCGATGTTAATTGGGCCAACATCTCATGAGGTAGGAATTCTAATCTCCTACAATTGTATATCTCAAGTGAAGTCAACGAAGTGGGTAGGCCATCTTCAGGGAACGACGACAGGGTTGGACAATTCCAGAGAGTCAAACTTTGAAGATGATTGATGTTAGGCAAGCATTGTATGTCATTAAAATTTCGAATCCTAAGAGCTTTGTCTCTAATAATGATAACAGACCTGTTTGGCATCCATCTCCTATTTCCAATTCTTCAAGAGAATTGTAGTTGAGACTAGTACTAGTACTAGTAGTAGCAGTGGTCCTTTGATCATGTAAAACTCCACACCCATTCACGCTAAGCTTCTTCAAGCAAGGCAGATCACAAGGCAAGCTTCCTCTTAGCATCAGACACTCCTTTAGAATCAACTCCTGTAGACGAGGAAAGTCTGGACCGCCACTTCCACTTGGTACCCATTCCTCCCACTCCTCCATTTTCTTAAACTCCAGCCTCTCCAGGGATTGAAATGGCTGAAATGGCTGACCATACAACTCAGGACCTAACGTCCTAAGAAATTTCATCTCACATATGAAGAGCTCCTTAAGAGCAGGTAGCTGTCCAAGCGGTGGCAACTCGAAACAATAATGACAGCCTTCCAGGCGCATAACTTTTATTTTCTTTAAGGCAGAGTCTCCCAACCAGTTTGGGAAGCTGGTCCCGCCATAAAGTTTGACGGTCAATTTCTCCAAATTCATGCAAGGTTGGAGGTTGTCAAGTACATCTCTCACCTTTTCGGAATGATCGGCATCTTTGGAGCCCCATGCCAACTCTAATTCCTTGAGATCTTTTTTGTTCTTCAAATTAGCTTGCAAGGCATCCCTACCATCAACCACATTATTAAGCTTCAAAATTGAAAGTTTTCCTCCAAGATTGGACAACTCCCCCAATTCGCCAATAGTCAATCCAGTAGATTTCCCCACAACAAAAGTAGTCAATGTTCTCAAACTTTTTAATCTACCCATTTGCACCGGCATCTCTTTTATTTGAGTTCCACTACAATCAAGATGCCTCAAGTTAATCAATTTTCTCATGTCTGCAGGCAATTCAAAAAGGGACCGACAACTTGCCAATAGTAAAGTTCGTAGACTATAAAGAGTGCAAACTGTAGAAGGTAACCTTTTGATTCCAGTATTAGAGAGATTCAAGTAGCGCAAATGAATGAGGTTACCAATAGAATTGGGTAACTCAACAATATTAGCATATTCCGACAATGTTAGCACCCGTAAACATGTTAAATTTGGCAATAACTCATTTAAAACCCTTTTACTTACAAAATGCGGATACAGGTGTGAACTTAGAGGTAGGAAGGTTCGCAAATGCTTAACCTCATATAATGGCTCAAATTTCGCAGCACAATCAAATTCCCCTCTAGCATACGACAAATGCCGAACTCTTTTCAAAACTTCATGTGATTCGCCCCCCTCCCATCTCAAACAGGATTCCCTAGCCACAGACATAGCTAAGTCATTGATGAGATCATGCATTGTGAACTCTGATTTCTCATATCTTGATCTTTGAAAAAATGATCGTGATAATAAGTCATCAAAGTATTTCTTAGTGAGCTCTTCCATTCTTTTCTCACTCTCAGCTTGTGGAATTAAACTTTCTGCCACCCACAGTAGAACAATATCTTCCTTTTGAAATTCATAACCCTTTGGAAAAATTGAGCAATAAGCAAAACATTGTTTTAAATGAGTTGGGAGATAATGGTAACTCAATCTTAGAGCTGGAATTGTATTACATTTTTCAGGAGGCAGCTCCCAAATATTGCTATTTAGTATGCTATTCCATTCCTCATAATTTGTGTTGAAACGCAAGAGGCCTCCAAGGGTTTCTGCAGCTAAAGGTAAACCATTGCACTTAGTAGCAATTTTCTTACCAACTTCTTCCAGGTCCAGGCGTGCACTCGAGTTTCCATTTTCAAAGGCATGTTTTGAAAGTAACAACCAACTTCTTCCAGGTCCTCATCGGACAGCTGTTCCAAAAAGTGAATCGGAACGGTGCGTATGCGATCTGCAACACTTTCATTACGTGTTGTCACAATGACCCAACTTCCACTTGCCCCCGATGCAAAAGGACGTTGCAAGACACTCAAATCACCATAGTTCTCATTCCAAAGGTCATCCAACACAAATAAAAATTTCTTGCCCTTTATTTGTTGTCCTAGCTCAACTTGAAGAAAACTCAGGTCTTTATTATCGTAAGCTTTTGAACTGACTGACTCAAGTAGAGTTTTAGTTACCCTAGTAACATCGAAATCTTCCGAAACATAAGCCCAAGTTCTAAGATTAAAATGCTCTTTCACTTTGTCATCATTATAAAGGAGCTGAGCGAGGGTTGTCTTGCCAACCCCACCCATTCCCACTATGGTGATGACAGATACATCCTTGTTGCTTGCTTCATCAGATAACAAGAGGTTCATCAGCTCTTCTTTATCTCCATCCCTACCGTACACACAAGATTCGTCCACCAAGGAAGTTGTTGGAGTTCTTTGTGAACTCTTCCCCCAAACAACACCTTCTCTCAGCCCAAGGAAATCCTTTTGCTTTGCAAGGTGCTCTAACCTTTCAAGCAACCTATGTATCCTACCATTCATGCCTTGATAATTATGATTAAGATAAGTAGGGAGGAAGTTCCACACCTTATTTGTGACGGTTTGAAATTCAGCTTCCATCTTGCATCGCAAAACTTCAGCATTGATCTCATCGAGAAGGTCATCCGCATCAAAGACAGCATCTTGAAGCCTATCAAGCCACTCTTTCACGTAGCTGTTCAGGAATTGCTTCTCCTCTGCGTCATTAAGCACCGCATTAAGGCTCAACAACGTTATCTCCAGTTTCTTCACAAGCGACTCGTCCAGTTTCTTTCTCCGGAACAAGTCCACAAACTCGCTGGAACCAATCTTGTCAAACAGCACGTGCACGGAGGCAGAGAGAATAGCCTCTCCAACCAAAGCCATGTTTCGATTCTTTGCAAAGGATTTGGACTTGAGTTAAGATTTGCAGCAAGGGATTTGGTGGTTGAGAAGTTAAGATTTATGTTGCTCTCGGTATCATTGACTCGGGAGGTGAGAATATTATTTTGGGAGTTTTACTAAAACACCCAAAATGGGGTTGAAATTGTAATGATGGGTTTTGGGTGTGTTTCTATGTTTAAATAGTGCTTAAGTTTTTTTATAAATACATGTCTAGAATTGGGTTTATTTATAAATTTGTATATTATTTTTAAGTTAGAAGATTTTTGTCGTCCATTGTGTTAGAAGATTTTTGATAAATAAAACTTTTATTTTTGAGTGGTCATGGTTTCTGATAACAATATTAGTTAGTTTGTTAAGCTGTCACGTGTGCTCACGGATTGTCAGTTAGTAGTAACTGTAATTAGTTAAGAGTGTTAAGTCTTGGTTATTGAGATATACAGAGCATATCATTTCTTTTTCCTTCTTAGTCTTCTCAATTCTTAACCTTCCTCTTCTAAACTGTTATCAGTTTCAAGTTCTGGACTTATTGTGTTAGAAGAATTTTGATTGGTAAATAAAATTTTTATTTTTAGGCTTAATTACTACAATGCATCCTGAAATATTGGTCAATTCTCACTTTACTTCCTTAAAGTTAAAGTGACCAACTTTGCCCTCTTGACCAAAATTTGATGTTCCACAGTGCCCTCTACTGTCAATTCCATCCAAAAATTTGTTAAATTTGATGACGTGATAAGAGTGTTTTAGTAATTTTGTACACCTTCATTTTTTATTCATAAATTTGAGTGGGTAATGTGGCAAAGTAGAGCCTACCAGCATGCATTAAAAAATTAACAAAAAATTAGTTACTTTAAAAATTTAAAATACAAACATAAAATTTGAAACTTAAAAGAATCTCTCTCTTAACTTTCTTTTTGAAGCAAAAGGAAGTTCATCTCGTAATCTTAAGCTAATTCTTAATCTTCTAAATGCATACAATTAGAAATGAGATGATTAAGCTCATTTATATGGGGAAAATTCAAGATGAAGTTACAAATTCAAGATGGGGAAAACCACAAGGCTCCGCTACATTGATAGCTCCAGTGCTTCAAAGACTATTTTAGAACCGTCACGGCTATAAAACCAGCACCTGGACTATTTTTAAAAACAGAGGGAAAAACACGAGCCATAAAACTCACTCTAACATCCTCAACTTTCATAGCTAAAGAACAGAAAAAGGATTCGCTCATCAAACCCAGTTTGGGGAAAACGTTGACTTTTCTGCTTCCTCATTATTTCAGCTGTCCCTATTTACAAAAAGGAGCTGTGAACTAGAAGGATGCTGAAAAACACAGTTGTTTGGTTTTGGATTATCCTCAGCTGCTCTCTGGAGCTTTATCTGTAATATAGTAACATTTAAACATTAGACTTGCAAGATATATATATATATATATATATGGCATAAATTGAAAAATAATAATCATGCAGTTTTTTAGTCAATGAAATACACCTCTAAGGACAAACAAATAAACAAAGGGAAGAAAGAAATAACTGAAATAACATCACAATTTCTTCTCTTCTTGGATAAATATTGTTTCATATCCAATTTAAGCATGCAGATGTTTCTTGTTTTCCATTTAAGCCACAACCAACATTCAGTTATGTTATTAACAGTTAATTCGAAGGGCTCCACGAATCCATCTCGTGGATAGAAAATACAGTTCTTTGGCACAGTTTGTACCAAATTGTAATACAGGAGGAGGGCTACTAATGTTATTAAAAAAACAAGACTTAAAGTAATAGTGCAGTACTTTCAATGAAATCATAAAATGGACTATGATTCACAAACCAACAGGTAAGAAGAAACTAATTCCTCAGCAAGGATCTGACAATTTGTAATGAATCAATTTAATAAGAACGTTCGTCAGCAAGGATTCACAGATTACAAAATCCCTCCCTCCCAGATATACATTGCTCCCATGAAACAGTAGGATGAAGGAAACTATGAGAAAAACATCCAAATCTGGAATGATACTTAAGGAGATTTTTATTTAAACAATTGTTTTCATCAATCTGGATGAATACGGTACATGTTGTTGACAGATACTGGTACTCCTTAGTACTGAATGAAATTTGACTGAACATATCTTTTATATTTTTGTTTACAAAGATGTAACAATGATTTATACTTTCATGCAGACTCACACGAGCAACTTTGGATCACATAGATTTAAAATGAATGTAGAATTGAGGGCAAATATTTGTTCTGGCAATGAATTCAATTCTGGACAGTTAGTCCCTAAAACTATAATCTTTCAATGCAGGACAAGAGGAAATTGAATTTCTATACAAACTTTAACAGGTTCAAGGTCACAATCCATGGCTGTCTTTAAGACAGAGTCCAGCAAACTGGCTGCATAGGACATTCATAGAGAGACTTTCAACAACATCATCAACATCCCAGAGAGAGCTTTTTTGCAAGAAAACCAAACGAAGACTGTACCAATTGGGTCAACTTGCCGTTCTTCCCAATAGGAATGTTACGTAGATTGTCTGGAGTTCAGGGATGAGAGGCAACAAAAAACAAAATTCTAATGAAATGGAACCTTCGGGAGTCCAACTTGGAAGTTAAAAGGATAAACAGAGGTTTACCTTCATGTGTTTTCTCATACTTCTGTTCCGCGTCAGATTTTGAAAAGCCAGTTCTAATAGCTACTCGAGTGCATTCCATGTTCATGCATATCTCAGCTCAACACAAGATACTGCTAAATTCAAGGATGAAGAAATTAAGAATTGGAATGTTAGGTTGATCTTAGAATATCAGCAAATTAATTTCTCGCACTCACCAGCGTGCTTGAACTCCTGCACTTCCTTAAAGCCCATCCATGGCCATGGCTTCATCCAGACTTTTGCTTCGTAAAGCTTCTTCTTTCCGGAATCGATGGCCTCGATCGTCAGATGGTGCAGAGTTCCAGCAAACTCAAGCAGAGCATTCTGCAAGAATTTCAGTTAATTGCTTAATAATCTAATTAATTAAAATTCCAGCATAATATTGAAGAAATTAAAAGGCAAAAAAGAGTACAGACCTCCGTGTTGTTGTGGTCTTGGACGGGAAAGCGAGCGAGGTCTTCGGTTTCGGGGCTGTTCTGGGAGGCATGGGATTCGTGGACTCAGCCGAGAGTGGCCATGTTTTGGAGTTGGGAGGGATTTGATTCTTCTGCCAAGGATGAGAATGCGAGGAAAGGTAAGAGGACGAAGAGGTTGAGTAGCATAAACAGACGCAAGGAGGAAGAAGAAGAAGATTTCGATTTCAATTCCGCTGTAGGACACTTGTAGGACAGATGGGAATTTATCTCTTTCCCTGCCCGGAGTCTTTTTGTATACGTGTCATACACGTGTTGCTTTGAGTATTTATCTTTGCTTAGTTGGTAAGGCCCGTTTGGTATCCGATTTGGATCCAATTTTTTAAATTCAAAAACATATTTGTCCCAAAAATCTGTTTGGTATGCCCATTTTTAAAAATCCAAACCTAAAAAAAATTCAAAAACACCCCTATTATTAAAAATAATAATAATAATTGTGGGAGCAAAAATTAAAGCCTAAATAACAAACCACTTCCTATGAACCCTGCATTTAGGGAGTGGAGGGAATTAAATAACATGATATTCACTACCATTGCTTGGACATGATATATGTCTTTTGAAATTACTACTTGGCACATGGTTTTTTCCGCACTAACGTCATTGATTCTTATATAGAATGTTCAAAGGCATATTTATCAAGGCCAGCGAAGGTGACTGGCATTGGGCTCAAACATTGTCCCCATTGGAATTCAACAGCGAATTGCGTGATTTGCAACAAGCCAATAGCGAAGCTATTAGCATTTGAGTGATAAAGAATGATGATCTTGGTCTTATGACTCATGAGCTTATGGTATGTCTAGTGCGATTTTACAAACAGCTAATTCTTTTTATTGTTGGTGAAGTCATGGCCTCAGGAGGCGTATGATCAGAAGCTTTTAAATTGATTATATACATTTGACACATGCCAATGTATTTTACTTATTCCTCTTGCATTTTGGGAGATGAGAACAGTTGCATGTATGGCTCTATAAAACGCCTGAATTTGAATCTAGTCATATGCTGCTCAATATCTAGATACTACTAAGCCTACATATTGATTCGTACATGGTGAAACTTTACTGTACATTGAAACTGATTTTTGTTGATGAAATTAACATTATTATTGTATGGTTAGAATTTGGCAGCCTGTTAACCTCTTGACTACATTTGCGTGGTGGAGGCAGCTACAGCACCACTCAAGATAAGCCATAAGCCTGTTTCTATATGGCAATTTATGAAGCCCAACTAACCACAAAATCAACATAAACAGAGGCTGAGCGAGAGCCACAATGTGTAGTTAGTAAACTGCCAATACTCAATTGATGCTTGTGATTGAAAGTCAAATTCAAGTGGTCGAAGACCATGATTGTGAAAGAAATTCAAGCTCATGTGGCTGAAAGCCATAGTTGTGACTGAAAGTCAAATACATAGTTGAAGACTATACGACCGAAGCCCAACTCAAAAGCTTGATCGAAGATCATATTCATGGTCGAAGACCACACTAATGGCTAAAGGCCGAATTCGTGATCGAAGATAATATTCATAGTTGAAATCCATACTCGTGAAACTGCACATGTTTATGATCGAAGATCGTACAAGTCAAGTCACCACATAAAATTCTACACACAGTGAATTCCCACAAAGAATATTTTCTCTCTCTACACCCGAGACACGTGTCCAAAGAGAGAAAAGGGGGCAGATGTGGGAGCAAAAATTAAGGCCCAAGTAACAAGCCACTTCCCATGAACCCTACATTTAGGGAGTGGAGGGAATTAAATAACATGATATCCACTACCATTGAGCATGGAGATAAGTAAGGGATATGGGACTTGCAGTCCAAGGGTTCAATGCCTATAAAAGGCTAACTAATCCCCCAGCTTAAGGGGGGAGAGATATGAGATTATTCTTACTATACGCAATATTCCTGAACGAACACTGACTTGAGCGTCGGAGTGTTTTCTTGCAGGTACTTCCCTCTCATTGGTGGTAATCGAAGATGGTGTCCGGCTTCTCAACATAGAATATAAATCACTTGTTGGAGGACCCGAAATTTCATGCTCCAACAAAAAGGTTTTAGAATTTTTTTTCTTTCTTTCCTCCCTCTCTATCTTCTCTCTCTCTCTCTCTCTCTCTCTCTCTCTCTCTCTCTCTCAATTTTTTTTAGATCTTAAAATCACTATTTGAAAACTCATGTTTTTAAAAAGAATCACAATTTTTTAGTTTTTTTTATTTTTGAATAGGATACCAAACAAGGCCTAAGCTTTTGTTTTCTTTTTTCTACTTTTCTTTTTCTTTAATTCAAGCGTAGTCTGTAAGCAAACAATAATAAAAATAAAAAACCCAACCCCAAAAAAAAACATTCTTTTTGTTCGGAAAAAAAAACTTATGACATGTTTAGGATATGTTTGGTATCTTATTTGGATCCAATTCTATAAATTGAAAAACAAATTTTAAATCTAAAGCCACAAAAGCCCATTTGGTAGGTCCATTTTAAAAAACTCAAAAACTCCCCATTATTAAAAACAAAAAGATATTTAATTTTATAGTTTTTTTTTAAATCTCTCTCCTCCCTCTCTCCACGCTCTCTATCTCCTCCCTCTCTCATCTCTCTCTTCCTCTGCCTAAACCCTCCCCCGTCTCTCCATCTCTCTCCTCCCACTCCCGTCTCTTTCTCTCTCCTTTCACTCTCTCTCTCTCTCTCTCTCTCTCTCTCTCTCTCTCTCTCTCTCTCTAAATTTTTTTTTGAGCATGTCTAAAATTTTTAAAAGAAAAAAAGAAGAAGGTGTGGACTTGGTCTGGGTGGGCTGAGGGAATTTGTCTGTAGAAGGTAAGTGTGCCATAGTAGAGAGAGGAGGAGGAAGAGGTAGAGGGAAGGGGGAATGGAGGAAGGGGCTGTGAAGAGGGAAGGGTGAATGGATTTCAAGGTGGACAAGGTTTTGGAGTTGCCGGTGGCACACAAGGGATGGGAGAAGGCGATTTTTTTTTCTTTCCAATTTTAATTGTTTAAAAGATATACAATTTGTGTTATAATGAATTTTCCATGTTTAAAATACCCAGAAATAAAGACTAAAATGGATGGTGTTAAAGACAAATCATGGATTTTGAAAAATTAAGATGACAAATTAAAAATGAGGCATAATCATATGGCATTTGTCTTAAAATTGTTGAGCGTTAGCAAACAAAACATACAATCACAATCCCTCGTGGAAATAAGAAAGAGAATGTATAAAATAAAATCAGTGTCAATTTAGTTCCATGCACAACAATTTTAATTTTTAAGTGCAAATAAAATGTGAATGCATGTTTATTTACTTGTTAACACTAAATTTTTTTAAGAGAATGTTATAATCAGTTGTGCATGTAGCATTCTACTCTTAATATGCCAACTCCAAAGTGTCTTGTAATTTGCTTGAGTGGAGGCAAACTATTGTGATTGTCATGGGAACAAGGAAGAGAAGGGTCATAACAATCTTTGAAAACAGAACATGGAATAATGGTAACATGAGCAGCTCATCCCATAGCATAGACAACCTGAGAAGATTTCATATTGAACTTCAACGACCGTTTGCTTGACAAAATTTTTGAAATGTGTGCAAACATTGAATATATGTAACATTCGACGAATAAGCTATAATGTGTAGAGACAATGCTTTTGTTGGAAACAACAATTAGTATCAAACTGGCTGTCCTGAAGGATTCATAGAAAAAGCTATAATCCTTCAATGCGGGACAAGGGGAAATTGAACTTCAACAATACGAGCTTTAACAGGTTTAAATACACAATCCATGGCTGTCTTTGAAGGATTCATAGACAAAGGCCAACAAACTGGCCGCCCCTCCAAACACAAATGATTGCAGGACAATATAGCTCCAATCAAAGAGTGTTGGTCCTTTTTTCCGTCCTTTGTCCCTTTTTACCAACCATAGGGGTCAGTTTTGCTCTGAGGAACGAAGAGAAATTTGGCGGATCAACCCCAATGTCCGATTGGATGGTGTCTCTTGGCTCGCAGAGAGAGCTCCTTCAATTTCTGAACAAAATTGAAAATTGAATCAGTTTGCCCCAAGCGGACGGGCTCGATCAAGGCCCTGTCTGTCAACTTCTTCTTAGTGCTGATCCCTTTTGTTGCGTAGGCGTGCCACTATGGACTATATAACCAGCCTAATAGATCTGGTGTGTGGATATGAATGATTAATGCCGAGGGAGCTTGCGCCTCCTTTTTGGACTTCTTACCAAGCCATTCTGCTCCAGGGGGGTACTGGCCTAGATCGATTCTTTTCTATGTCTCAATTAAGAGGACTTCAATATTCTTTCCTTCGTGAGTATCGCCCTGACAAGTATTAGCAACACCTAAATAGGCAACAAAACAAGACCAAGTTCGTGGTTAGCAAAAACCCTGCCTGGGTTTTATTAACCTGCTTCAATATTTTCTCGTTTTCAAACTAAATCAATAGTTAATTCGGGCCCATTGGTGCAATTTCGGGCCTAACTTAACTTCTTGTCCCTTTCTTTTACTGTTCCTTTCGAGTCCCTATCCCCTTTCGGGCCCGAAAGCTAGTTTTTCTAGACTGTTTGAGGGGTAAAAGTTCGGAATCCAATTTTATGTATCAAAATAATCCATAATCCGTTCTTTAGATAATTAAGTGAATTTTATCTAGATTCTTCTGCAACTTATATTTACTTTGAGCCTTAAACTAAATAACATAAGATTCTTTAATTAATTCATCAATTATCCTTGAATTTGAATTACAGAGTAAAGGAAAAGATACTGGAGATTTCTCAATCCAGTCAAACAATTACATGAATTGAAACAAAATACATCTTAAAAGAAAAATCATACCATGGATATGGCAGAGCTACGAGAGATAAGCGCAGGAGTTGTCAACTAGTTATCTAAAGAAAAAAGTAAGCAGATTGTTATCTTGGAAGTTTTTCAAGTGTTTTTTGAGACGTTGCGTCTGGTTTTGGAGAAAGAGTCATGTTCTTCTGAAGTAGACTTTCATTATTTATAAAGGTGGAGGGAACTTGTAATGATAAAAATTGAGACAAGACCTTTGGCTTGTGGTTCAAGGTCAACTGCTAGTTCACTGATCTTAACTAGTTTATAGGAGGAATGATGGAGGACTTCTGGCAGGAACTGTCGGTTTTCTTTGTGGAGTTCTCTTTATTTGACTTCTTTGTACTTGAAAACCTGGCTGGCAATTTTGATCTTTTCTGGTTTTGGCGGCTTCAGTACGACTTGTTTTCTTGCTAGGAGAGAAGGAGGTCAAGTCGTCATTAAATGTGATAATCCCCTTTGGCCTCCCACGTGGGCTTAGAAAACACGCTTACCAATCTTTTAACTTGTAGTGCGAGATAAAAGTCTGACTCTTATGACTTGGGCCTTTGTTTTTTTTAAAAAAATTATTAAGAGAGGCCCAGTTGGGAAAGGATGACCTAAAGAAAGACAAATGTTGATGGGCCTGACTTTATCTTAAAAATAAAAATAAAAAATTCTTTTTTTAAAACTTGAGACCATTTTTGGCCCGTTTGCCAAAATTGGGTACAAACATTGCTCCCTAGTTTTGATGGGCTTGGGTCAAGTCTATCAAAATTAGACCTTCTAGCTTCTTACTGATACATCACATCGTGATGGCAATAATTTTTGAAAGATACGCGCCATATTAGTGGTGGCGAGACATCAACTGTCTTCCTACGTCTGGCAATTAATTCTGTCTGTCAAAAGAAAACTTCCCAACTTCTCATTTTTTGAACTCTTTTTTCTGAAAAGACTATCGCGTAGATTTCTTCTTCTTTTTCTGCCGCCGTTACCTTTCATTTTCTCAAAGACCCTGTTATGGCTCCTAAACGCTCGAAGACTACTAAGGTTTCCATTGAAACTCCTAGCTGGATGTCAGAAGAAGAGGCAACAAAGCATGCTTTTGAATTTCAGGTTGTTCTTGTGCAAGAATAGTCGGCGAGTTCGGTGAGGCTATATTCTTCTCTCACATTGACGCTGAGAGGTCCCTACAGAACTCCACTCTTGGGTCCTCATTATCATCAAGCTAAGCCCAAAAATTTGCTGGCTTTGGACACTCGTTTGGTTCGAGCTCCATTTTCCTATGGTTTGGAGGACATCGACTGGGGGTCGTGGGATGCGAACTTGGAGCAATTGGGTTCGAACCCTGACGTGACTCTTCCTGAGGGTTTCCTTCCTTGGGCTGATTGGGTAGATGCGATGCTGCCCTTGTTTAGAGACAAATGGATGCTGAAAGGTATCTTTCATGCCATCATGCTATCAAAACACCAAGTTGTTCTGAACCCTTCATTGATAGGCGCTGCTTTATGTTTTTGGGATAGCACTTCGAATTCTTTTGCTTTTGGTCTCAAGCCCATGACTCCCACCATTCTGCATATGACGGCCCTTTTTGGCCTCAAGCCCCATGGTCTTAGTATCGACGTCTTAGTGGATTATGAGATGAAGAATCGGAAGATTGGGGTTCCGATGAGGGCTAGCGCATCCAAAATTATGCGACTGAAGACCTACTCTGGCCTTGTGATGACGTACCAAGGTATGGCTGACCAGGACCAAGAACATATGATGTTTTTGATTTTCTGGTTGAACAAATTTATTTTCCTTCATGCTGAAGAGGGTGTGAAGACCGAATACTTGCATTTGGCTGAAGCTCTTCACAATGAGTCAAATCTTGTGACGGCCCCTTTCATGTTGGCCTCACTTTACCATTGTCTTCATCAAATTACCATCAGCGCGTTTAATCTGAACGTCTGCGGCCCTATATGAATGATCCAGATATGGTCGAAATGGTATTTCCCTGAATTGGGAAGCGCAGGATCGGAGTCTTTAGAAGATGATGCTTCGGCTATTGCTCTGGTTACTAGACCGAGAAGGCCAGTCAGCACCGAGGAGTGCTTTATTTTCTTTAGGGAATGCATGCAACGTCCCAGAATGATCTGGCTTCGCTCTCTACTTAGTGATACGTTCTGGTTCGCAGAAAGAGGTCTTTACAAGGCTCCTCGACACTGGAGGGATTTGATTGATTTTCGATCCCAATTACGTGCTGATATAAGTGTCGCCTGTCTGGCCAGCAGAGATCTTTTCTTCGAAGGGGTTCACACTGAAAAGACATGTGCTTATGGGGCGGAAGCCTATAATCCCTAATACGTGAGTCGCCAATTTGGACTCGTTCAAGCCATTCCTGGATTGAATGCGTAAGAACTACTGCAGATACTGAGGAACTACTGTGGATGAACCGAGTGGTCCTGGATTGAATGGTAAGTCCTTGTCATGGTTTCTTCTTTCTCTTGGTTTCAAACAAAGTTAATTTTCTTTTGTCTTTTCCGTAGCTCGGAGTGATGTTCATGCTACTGACGAAACTCAAGCCCTGCCCCCTATTTCTCCCGTACCTCCTCCTACTTCTGGTTTGTATCTTAGGTCCAAAGAAAAAGGAAAAGCTCCTTTGGAAGAGCATGATGAAGAAGATAGTGATGATGACGAAGATGAAATGCCGCTTCAAAGGAAACAAAGAGCTTTAGATTTCGATTCGGCCCCTGGAGATGGTATACTTATTCTTTTCTGGCCTTTTTTTATTCTGATATGGAATCCTCTTTTGTCTCTTCCTATTGTTAATTTTGTAATTTCCTAAAGTTGGAAGTAAGAGGGCAAGAGTAGAATCTTTTCCCGATACTGAGGAAGCGTCTTTAGTGGGCCTAGAAGATGTGCCTCAGGTTTGTCTTGATTTAAATTAATCTTTTATTTTGAGAAAAGTTTTGACCTTTTCTAATTTATGTTCGTATTCTGCAGCGACTGGGTAAGGAAAAGGTTTCTGGCCTTTTTGTTGTTAAAGAGTCCAAAATGGTGACGCTGAAGGTGAGGACCATTAAGCTCGAGGAAGGGGTTGATCTTCCACCTTATGAGCCATATTCGGGCCGAGATGTTGCTGCTGAAGGAATACTTTCGAGGAGAGGCCCTATTTTCCAGAGTTCAAGCATGCCAAGGACTCATGGGCCCAGATTTGAGCGCGTTGTCAATCTTACCAGCGCAATGGGCAAACGTATTGTCATGGAACAGAAGCAGCCAGATGTGGTACTTGCTAATGCAGTGAATAACCTCAGTTCTCTTTGGAATACAATCCGGGCCCCCAATTTTGATCCGGTGGTGGATCCTGACACCTTATCGGGAATGATGCCTTAGATTCACCAGATCGCTCTGGTGAAACCTCATCTTGTCCCTGCGTGCAATCATCTAGAGTAGTGGTTGAGCAGGATCTTGAAGCACATTTGCATGATAAGAGAGATTCTCCCTGTTGCGAAAGATCCAGAGGAGATTTTGTGATCGTAAAGAAGAGTTTGGGGATCTAGCTAAAGCCATCGAGAATGTTTTGGACCAGCTTGAGGCTCTGTTGAACGAAGAAGTCGGGCTGAAAGCTGACATATGTGCTGACCTTAAATTAAAGGCAGAATTGGAGGTCAAACTGAAGGATATTCGGGCCCAGATTGCTGCTATTGATTCTGCTGCTCAGGTGTTGACCTCTTGAGCTTTTCGAGCTCGGTTGGCTCGTAAGAAGATGGTCTCTGCTTGACATGCCCTTAACATGGATATGGATGATCTGACGTATCTAATCTCCACTATTTTAGAATTTCCTGCTTGATCATGTTTCTGCCCTTTACCTTTTGGATCTGGGACTGCCATTTTACCTTTGGATCTGGGATTGCCATTTTACCTTTGTAAAATTTCCCGAATCTCTTTTTGCCTTTTGGAACAGTGTTTTGGCAGTTTGTAACTAATTATTGATCGGTTCATTAATTTTGCCTTGATTTGAATACTAACAACGACTATTTATTTCTAATGAGTAGAAATAAATACATAAATAACCATTTATTTTTAAGTGCGTGATGTGAAGTTTCCCTCTTCTTTCTCACCCTTCTGTCTTAGCTTAATCGTGTCAGAATTCGTAATTCAAAAAGAAAAACCTGAACCCTAAACTCCAATTTTCATTTTTCAGAGAATGGCGCCAAAGAAAATTCATGCTTATGTTCTTGAGTCCTCTTCTTCCGAGGACGCCACTGCTATTCCTGTTTTTATCTCAGGTGTGGGAGTAAAAGATTGTGCCGCTTTTTTTGATGGCTGGGTAGAAAGGTTTGTCACAAGTTGCGTGGACTTCTTGCTTTGCAAGGACCTTATCAGTTTTGTGAATGACTATTGTGTCCTAGGTCCCAGATATGTAGACTGGAAGTCTGACCAACTTTGGTATTACTAGACTCATCCAATTCTAGTTCCTATTCTCGTTTGTCGCACTGAGGGTGTCGATTGTTCAAATTGGAATAAGATGCTCCCTCGGTTTTTTTTTCCGAAAATCGACGTATCCAATATTGACATCCGCTGGGTAGATTGGGTGGTGAGAATGGAGCCACGTTATAAAGGTTGTTGGCTTGATCATGGTATTTATCATGCCATAACGTGTTCCACTATTCAGCTTCAGGCTAATTCTCCTCTTCTGGGCTTAGCTTTGGTCTTCTGGAATAGCGCTTCCAATACTTTCGATTTTGGCATTGGACCTATGTCGATTTCCATCCTCGACCTTGTGGTAATTTTTGGGTTTCGTCCTCACGGGCAAAGCGCTGATTGGCTAGGTGATTTTCAAGAGAACCCTTTGAAAGAGCAAGAAAGAAAGGAGAACCTTGAGATTCTTTCAGGCCTGATTGGTTCTAATCGGGTCTACGGGGCTTTTATGGGCGCATTCATGAATCAAACGATGGATTACCCTCATGGCGAGCATATAATGTTTATGATGTACTGGCTAAACCGATTCATCTTCCCCTGATCCTCCAATTGCATTACGGTGGAATGGCTTCATCTGGCCGAGGGTTTAGCTTCTTATAGGGATATCGCCACTGGCCCTTTAGTTCTGGGCTCGATTTATAGAGCTTTAAGGGAGGCGACCATCGCGCCTGTTAATCTTAATGTGAAGGGGCCTATGTGGATGGTACAAATCTGGTTACACTGGACTTTCCCAGAGTTGAGGGGATGATAATTGCAGGTTGCCCCAGACGTGGTGCCCTTAAGAGATTTGATCTTAAACTTAGTTTCTGGTAAAACAACTTAAGAATGTTTTACCTTCCTTATGGGTAGAAAGAGCAGGACTGTGACTTAGTGGATGATGAGCTTGAAATGGGGCTGTTCTTGGTTCCAGGATATGCTTATTTATCAGGGTCCTAAGGATGCAAATAATTCCCTTGCTTCTGGGAATATGGATGTCTTCTCGTGCTTGCAATTGCTGGATTTGCCTTATGGTGGCAGAATGGATTATAGGAACAATCAATATGGTGTGGAGGCCTATAACCCTTAGGTTTTTAGCAGACAGCTTGGGTGCCCTAAGGTTATCCTTGAACTGAATTATTCTTGGACCAACAAGGGTTCGTCCTATCAATTTCCTAAATTAAGCTTAGAGGATCTTTTGGAGATTCAGGCTAAATATGAAGAATCTGTCCGGGCTCTGGAGTTAAAGCCTTATCAGTCTGTTTGTTGTTGTACCATGCCCTTTCAATCTTGGTGGAATAATTATCATGGTAGATTCAAGGCCGTAGATGCTGCATACAAGAGGGTTTTCAAAAGTTGCTCTTTTCGGCAAGATCTTAGTGAGTAAGGGAGGCATGCTTTGCTTGAACAGATTTCAGTTGATAACAAACTTCTTCTAACTGGGGAGTAAAAAGAAAAAAATTTGTTATTCAAAATATGCAGTTTCTGCCAATTATCAAACTTTTTGTTTCTCCTACTCAACTGGCGGCTCTTGCTAAGGAAAATCTCGGCTCTAGTTCGAGTTTATCCATTTCGAAGGCTCCCATCCTCGTTCAGCGGAGGCGGAATCTAGGAAGAATAGGAGGTCCTCTTTCCCTTGCATCAAAGACTGCTAGCCTTTCCAGAGCTCGTGATTCTCGGAATGCTGCTTTGCGTTTTCCTTATTAAGGTAACTTGGGTAGCAGGAACTTTTCTGGGCAATCTTTTGTTATTTGCTTGCTAATTTGCCTTTTCATTCTTGTGTAGACAAGAAGAGATCGCAACCAGAAGAGGTTGATCAAGGTAATGATGCTCATTGGCAGTCTGAAGATGTTCAAATTAAGCAGGCCAGGGCTTCCACTGTAGAAGATCCTGAATTAGTTCTGATTGCCCCCCAAGTAATTATCAGGTCATTTCTTTTCCTTGTACTTCCCAAGTAATTATCGGGCCAGGGATTTTGTAGGCTCCTGTCATTCCTGGCCTAACCTCTGCTTCGGTACCTATAGTGGAAGTTAGTTATGAAGAGGTTGCTGAAGCAAATGAGGTGGTGCTTCAACCTTGTTCACCTTTGCTTGGTGTTTCGAGGGAGGCATCTTCCTCTGAGGTATGAAGTGTTTTTTTTATTATTTATTTTTTATATAATTGAAGATTCTTTAATTGGTTTTAGCCGACTAGGGAGGGAGCTCCGGCTGACCCATTTGCGCAAACGGAAAGTTAATGCCCCATGGCTTCTGAAGAAGTAAGGCCTAAGGAAATAGTCCCTGAGGAGGCTAATCCTGAAGAGGCTATGGCTAAGGACCCTACTAAAACCGTGATCGAAGAGCTAGCTCCTGTTGTAGAATCGACTAGGCTTGAGGGAGAATTGTTGGCTTCTGATCCAAAGGTATGTTTTCTAATTGCTCTAACTTTTCCCTTTAGTAAAGAAATTCCAGATGGTACTTGAATATGTGTGTGTTCTGGCAGGACACTGAGGTGCCTTTGTCTGAAGGTCATGCTTCCCCGAATTCTGGAGGACCCGAGTCTGAAAATGTAGTGCCAGATCTGATAGTGGAACCTGTGGTTCGTACCGAGGATGTTGATGATTCTAGTGCTTCATGGGCTAAGAGATCTGGAACTGCGACGATGTCCAAGGAGAGAGCCAAAATACTGCTGGCAAAGTGGGTGACACTTTCAACAGAAGAGAGGGTGACTGAAGAACAGAGTGTTAAGGTCTGTTGTGCCTTGGATGCCCTTGGTCCAACTTATCCGGATTTTGCGTCTTCTTTCGAGAATGCTAAATCAGACATGTTGGCTTTGGCTAATAAATTTAAGCACAGTGGTCCTGCTCAACCTCCTGATGATTTGGCCCAATTAGAGGCAGAACTGGCCCGTTTAGGAAAGAGGTGCGGCCCAATGCTTTCTTCTAGAACCAGGTTTTTAGGTTTCCTAATATGAAAATAATCCCCCCCTTTCTTGCTGGAAATTAGGTAGAATAGGATTAGGATAAGGTAAAATAAAATAAAATCAGTTAGGTTGTTTCTTCCCAAAAGCTGATTCTTGAATTAATTTCCCCATATTTTTAGCACATTCCTAGCCTCTTTGAACTTCAAAAACGTCCATCCATCTTGGCCCATGCATATGCTATGCATTCCAAGTCCAAAACTGCTCTAAAATGCTCCAAATTTCCTTTTCTTGCCAATCTTGCCATCTGGACCTACAATAGTACGAAAATAAGCTAAATCACTCTAATAAATGGGAATTAACTAAGTAAATGCAAAGAAATAAGATAGCAAAGTCGCATAAATATGCTCCTATCAGCTACCAAAGAAGATATAAACAAGGCTGACGTGGAAGTCGGTGTGGAACTATGGCACGAAAAGCTGAGAAAGATTCGTCTTGACAAGATTCGCGTGGATACGCGACATTTTGCCGAAAAGATAAAGACTTTATTGGATTTGCTTGTGTAATCTTAAACTGCTTCTAAAAATATTTACTTTGGCATTCATGCTTGTGGTATTTGAACCTGTAGACATGAAAAAACCATATGATGGTTTCTTATAAAATCTTGTCTGCATTTCCTTAACCCTTATGTTGGATATTTTGGTACAAAAACTGCTTTAGATTCTTATTCCAACAGAGATGTACATATCATGGGCTACTTAAATCCAAGCATGTCAATTCCCACAAAGAAGGTATGAACTTTTTTAGCCATTGTCCATTTATCGGATGTTGGTGCACTATTCCATCTCTATCTTGTAGCAAGTAGGCTCCTTTTCCTAGAATCTTGTTGACCATGAAAGGGCTTTCCCAGGTAGGGCTCCAATTACCTAATCCTGATACATGGGTTCCCAGTGGTAGGATAGATCGCCGAACTAGTTCCCCTTCTTCAAAAGTTTTTCCTCGAACTCGCCTGTTATAGGCCCGAGCCACTACTTGCTTTCCGATCATTAGATGATTCAGAGCCTTGGCCCGAATCGAACTGAGCTGTTCTAATTCCTTCATCATGGCCTTGGTATATTCCTCTTCGTCCATTTCAGGCTGTCTTTCGATTCGTAAGGATTGTACATTGATCTCAATTGGTAATACCGCGTCATGTCTGTATGTGAGAGCGAAAGGTTTCGTGCCTATAGTAGTCTTTTTGGAAGTTCGATTTGCCCAGAGAGCGTTAGATAACCTTTCATGCCAATCTCTAGAATTGTTATCAACCATTTTCTTGATGATGTTGATCAGGACTTTGTTAGTAGACTTCGCCTGACCATTGGCATGTGAAAAGTAAAGGCTAGACTAAACAAACTTTATGTTATATCCTTCAGCGAAGGCCTGGATTTATTTTTAGATGAAAGAAGTGCCTCTATATGTGGTGATGCTCTATGGAATTCCAAATCGATGAATGATTTGTTGTTTGATAAAGGTGATCACCGCAGTTGAGGTGATGGATTTCAAAGCTTTAGCCTCTACCCATTTTGTGAAATAGTCAGTGGCTACAATGATGAATGTATGTTCATTGCTGGAGCTTGGTACAATTTTTACCACAAAATCCATAGCCCAACCTCTGAAAGGTTGAGGCTTTATGATTGGATCTAAATGGGTTGTTGGAATATGCTGAATTGGGCCGGTCCGCTGGCAATCTTCACATCCTTTAGCATAATCAATACAATCTTTCTCCATGGTTGGCCAGAAGTGGCCATATCTTTTGATAAGCCAGCACATCTTTTCCCAGATTGATGTGCCCCACAAGTTCCCATGTGAATTTCGCCTATAACGCGCATCGATTCTTGGAGTTCGAGGCATCTCAACAGAACTCCCTCTGTGGACCGTCTAAATAGTTCGTTATTTATAACAACAAACTTTGTAGCCTGATATTTGGTTTTCTTATTTACTCTGGGAACCGGGTTGGTTAAGTAATCAAGTAATGGCTTTCTCCAGTCTCCGGCTTCTATTTCATTGGCATTTACTTCAAGGTTCATTCCTCTACTGAGGATTGAAGGTAGGAACCTTTTTTGCACTGTAATGGTTCTTTTGGACTGACATTCCTGTATTTAGATGCCGGAAGCGATTTGTGCCATTTCGTTAGCAGCCAAATTTTTATCTCTTGGGATATATTTGATTGATATGGTTTTGAACATAGAACTCAGGTTGTGGGCCACCACGTAATATGCTACCATATTCGGGTCTCTGCATTTATATTCGTTGGTCAGCTGCTTGATTACCAAGTGAGAGTCTCTGAACACCTCCAAGTGCTTTACGCCAACCTCCAGTACCATTTCCAAGCCGATAATCAAAGCTTCATATTCGACTATGTTATTAGTGTTATCAAAGTCAAGTTGAAAAGAGTAAGCATACTTAGTCCCGAACGGTTCTTCTATGACAATGCCTGCTCCGGCGGCTGATTCTGTCTTAGATTCGTCAAAGTACAATTTCCACGGTATGATTTGTACTGTTTTGACTGATATTTGAACCTGGCCTTGCTTATTCGGTAAATTACCGAGTACACTTTTGAATTCAAACTTTGGCGTCATTTGATCGGGTGAAAAACCTAAGTTGGCAATTTCCATAGTATTCAAATCTTTAATTTTGACACAAGGGTGGGCTGCCAGAAAATCTGCAATAGCTTGCCCTTTGACCGCTTTTTGGGGAACATATCTAAAACTGAATTCGGATGGAGCGAGTATCCATTTTCCTAATCGTCCCCTAAGCATGTATTTAATGAGGTCCGTTTTTGCTATGATATGGATAGTAAATGGGAGCGTATAATGCCGAAGTTTTACTGCTGTGAAACAAAGAGCAAGGCAAAGCTTTTCAATAGATGAATAATGGGTTTCCACATCTTGTAAAATTTGACTTCAATAAAATACAGCTTCTTCCTTGCCCTCTATATTATCTTGGGCCAGTAAACTACCAATTGAATTTTCTGAAGCCGAGATATACAATTTTAATGGTATACCCTTTCTTGGAGGAATGAGAATTGGTGGCTTACTCAAATACTGCTTTATCTGATCAAACGCTTCTTGCTGAATCGGGGCCCATGCAAATGGGTCTCCTTCTTTTATCTTCAGTAAGGAGGAGAACGGTTGCAATTTTCCTGCCGAATTGGCTATTACTCTCCTTAGGAAGTTAATCTTTCCATGGAGGCTTTGTAGCTCCTTTTTGTTGCAAGGTACTGGAGGGTCGAAGACACATTTTTTCGAGTTCATTTTTAATTGATGCTGGCACATTCTGATGAAAGCCTTGCGCCGGTCTTCGATATGCGTCTGTTGTTCTTGAGATTTGATGACCACGTCGTCAATATATACTTCTAGAGTAGGCCCGATCATATCATGAAATATAGCATTCATCTCACTTTGGTACGTAGTGCCTGCATTCTTTAGTCTGAAGGGCATAACAACGTATTCGTAGGCTCCTACTGCTCCTGGACATCTGAATGTTGTTTTATGAATATCTGCTTCAGCAACCAGGATTTGGTTATATCCTGCATTGCCATCCATGAATGACAAGATCTTATTGTGTGCTGCGCTGTCAATCAATGTGTCGACCATCGACATTGGGTATTCATTGAGGTTTATGTAATCCACATAGACCCTTATAGCTTTAGTGACCTTCTTCAAAACAAGAACTATATTTGCTAGCCACTCGATGTATCGGGCTGGCCTGATGAATCCTGCTTTCAGCAGTCATTCGATTTCCTCCTTTAATTTGAGTTCTGCTCGATAGACATTCTTCGCTTCAACTGTTTTACCTGTTTGTAGCCCTCATTTATGGGCAATCTGTGCTCCACCAGACTTCTATCTAGCCCTGGCATCTCGTGGTAGTGCCATGCAAAACAATCCTTGAATTCCTTCAATAAAGAGATCAGCTTTGTTCGCATGAATTGCTCGAGAAGACCGCTTATAAATGTGGGTCTTGGATCATCCTCAGTTCCTAAATTGACTTCTTCGAGAGGATCTTGAACTTCTGGAGGGGTTTGACTTAACTTGGCGGGTGCAAGTTGAATCTCTTCTTCCGTTCCGATTGTTTTGGTCCAAGATTGTTTCGAAATGAATTCTGCCATATAATTGGCGGAGTTTACTTCTGACATTTGCTCCTCTATCCCTTCTCATGTACTTTTTCTGCCAGGGTATCGATTAGCAGAAACTCTCCTTTTCCCTGTAGGTCTTTTTTAATCATGATACTGAGCAAAAGAGATTTGGGGCCTTTCCCATTCTTCAGATGAGAATGTTAGGCCCTATTGGAGGAACTTCTGGGCCATTACTACTGGAGAGTGGCCATTCTTAATCAGTTCGGGTACAGTGAGGGGAGCAATATCCTTGTTATAGAATCTTGCATCAATATTGTTGGCCAATGGTAGGAAAGGCTTTGGATCTGCCTTGACCATTTCATAGTCTTCTTTTTCCTCATCCCACATTAACAATTCCTGTTGGGGAGAAGAGGGTATGGACATGCTTTGATGTATCCAATCTCTACCCATTAGTGCATGATAAGATGTGTTGTCAACCACCAAATAAGATACCATCAAATTTTTCTAGCCGATTTCAAACTCAGCAATTAAAATTCCATGTGTTGCAGTGATAGTCCTTGCGAAATTTGAGACGGTTAACAAGGTAAGAATAAGATCAAATTTATCCTTTCCTAGCTTTTCCAATCTTTTAAAAGGAAGAATGTTGACAACTGCCCCTCCATCGATCATAACTTTCTTGAACGATACGCCATTGATTCTGGCGAAAATGAACAAAAGTCTCAAATGCCGTGTTATTGACTTAGTTGGTCTAGTAAAGAACACCTGGTTGGTCTAGACCTCTGCCGATTAGGCCCGAATCATTAATATGCAGAATGTTGGGTCTTTCCTCATGGTCCTCTGGTATCCCAATTAATGTCGTGGAATGACCTTCAATCAGAATATCACCCTCAATACTGCATGGTTGCCCTTCTATTGATCTGTAAAAGGCCGGGAGGATGTATACCATATTTATTGGCACAATATTCTGCGGCGTAGTTTTTTCTTCAGTTTCTATCACCTGATCTTTTGAAGACTCCTTTTCAAGATCTGCTTCCACTGGTCCAAGTTGAATTGTTGATTTTATTAGTGTTCTTTTCGGTTCGGTTACCGCACCGATCAACGTTAACCGATTACCATCCGACAACCTTCGGAATGGTTGGATTGGCTACCACAACCGATTCTACAGGCTACGGTTTACCGCACTGTGGTTGAACTGCAATGCCGGTTGGTTCGGTTCGGGTGTGGGCTTACTGTGAAGCCCAGTTCGTTTTCAATTTCGAGCCCATTTTGCAGATTTTGCTTCAGTTTTAGGCCATTTGTTCAAGCCCTGTTTTACATATTTTGCTTCAGTTTTAGGCCATTTGTTTCAACTTTCAAGCCTTTGTTTATACTAGTTTTAGGCCACCTCACTTTTGTCATTCACAACTTTTGATTTTCAAGCATCATATCATATCATCAAAATACATAAGTAAAACTTAGTAAGAAGTTACAACTCTCAAATACAAATTGAAGTGCAATGAAAACTTTAATAAGTTACAACCCAAATAGAAAATGAAGTGCAATGAAAGCGTATTTAAAATTAAATTACAACCCAAATATGAAATGATTAATGTGCAATGAGAATATTTAAAATTAATTACAACCCAAATATGAAATGTGCAATGAAAACTTGAATTGTTACAAATTAGAAATTACAATACAACAAAGTTTGTGGAACAAAACAAACCATGGTGTGTCTCTCACAACTCAAAATTTGATGAGTCTCAAATAGTAGGTAATGATGATGTGGAATTAAATCGAGGAGGTAGTGTTGTAGAAGTTTGAGTACCGGCCACATCTAGTAAAAAACAAGTAAATTATGTTGAAAAAACAAACATGAATGTTAAAAAAAAAGATAGAAACATAATTTATTTAAAACAAAATAGTAATTATGTCTTACTTGCTTCAAGTGATCAAGTTCTTTATAGAATGCAAGCTCTTCATCCGTTGGTTACTTGTAGAAGCAAAATTCATCCGCCCTAAGCCAATCTCTAGTACACACTAATGCCTCTACCATTTTAGGTGTCAATGAACTTCTAAAAGGATCAACAATCCTCTTGCCTAGGCTAAAGACATTCTCACTAGCAACGGTTGAGCTTGGGATTGCAAAGATATCCTTGGCAATCTTTGAAAGAATTGGATATCTACTCTCATTGCCTTTTCACCAATTCAAGAGTTTGAAAACCTCAGTAAAAGGGCTTTCAAAAGGGTCGGTCAAGTATTTATCCACTTCATTGGATATTTCCACAAGTTGTTCCTCCTTCCTTTGTTGCACAAGTTGATGAAACATTTTGGTTTGAACATCATCATAGCCTTCAAGATCATTTCCAACATTCTCATCTTTGCCTTCATTCATTTGTTGGCTCATTAAGCCATCCGCCCCTCTATGCTCATTATACAAATTGAACAAGTATGTTCTCACTTCACGCACAACCTCATCTATCTTGTTTTCTTTGGCATTGAGATTTTGGAAGCTTATCTTAAGCATTTGAAGTTTAAATCTTGGGTCTAACACTAATGCTACAAAAATCAACTTGTTCACACTTTCAAAACTCCCCAAATACTTGTCAAACTTCTTCTTCATTGATGAAGCCACCCTTTGCAAGACCGGATCTCTAGGATCACTCATTTTGAGTTCAATCTCAACTTGTAACTAACCAATTCATGGAAAAATATATTGGATGTAACCGTTTTGGTTGCACTTAGTTTCAAGGTTGTGTCATAGAATTTCTTAAGAAAGTGAACAAATGAGATTGACTTCTCCCAATCTTCATTACTCGGAGGACCCACTCTCTTCATCCCATCCTTATCTATCTCCTCAAAGTAAGCTTGAAAAGCTACATTTTCTGCCGCCATCTTATTGAACACTATCTTGTACTTGAAAGCACAATCAAGCATTTTATAAGTTGAATTCCACCTTGTCACCACATCCATTGGCACATTTGCTATCCCATCCATCCTCATCTTCAAGGCATGGTCCCTAAAAGAATCTAACCTTGATGAGGATGAGTGAATATATTTTACACAATTCCTTATCCCCTCGATTGAGCTAAGAAGCTCCTTCAACCCATCCTTAACAATCAAGTTAAGGATATGACATGCACACCTCAAGTGCAAATACTTCCCATCAAGTAAAAGTTATTAAAATCCTTCATCCTATTTCCCACATACACAACCACCCCATCATTTGTCGAAACATTGTCAACCGTAATGCTAAATAATTTTTCAATCCCCCAAGCATTCAAGCATGCACATAAAGTCTTGCCTATGTCAATACCCTTGTGACTGGTGATCTTTATGAAATTGATAATCCTTTTATGCAAATTCCACTCACTGTCCATGAAATGGGCTGTGACTACCATGTAGTTGATGTTTTGGATCAAAGTCCAAGTATCAGTTGTGATACTTACCCAGTGATTACCTATCACACTCATTATTTTGGTCTTCTCAACTAAAAACAAATCCCATACTCCAGCAGCTATCTTTTGTCTATTAGGGATCTTGAATTTAGGGTTTAACTCATACACAAACTCCTTAAACCCTCCACCCTCAACATGCCTAAAAGGGATCTCATCCCTAATAACATACCTCACACATTTGGCTTCACACCTTGTTGATTAAAGGTGTGGGGAACCAATTGAGCTTGACCGCCCATAGTGAAATTTGTCAAGATCAATTGAGTTCTATCTCCACTCTCAAAAAGAGGAGAGAGCTTGCATCTCTTCTCTAGGTGATTTCTTATACCGGTTGTCCCATTTTTCCTAGAATCACCCGGCATCTCTAATTTACAATAGTTGCAAACTACAAGTACCTTATCGATCCCATTATCATCTTTCTTGTGAACTTTCTTGCAGTGTTGCCACACCACAGATTTTGGGGGTTTCCTCTTCCCTCCCACAGTACCTGAGTCTACTTGTGATTGGGTTTCAGTTTCTATTTCTGTTTGGGATTGGGATTGGGATTGGGGTTGAATGGAAGGTGCACTTCTTGAGGCATGAGTGTTGGATTGGCTAGACTCCATCTTATCCTATAAACAAAAAACACCATAACGAAAAACAATCACACACAACTTAACCAACCAGCAGACTACACACAGAAAACACAATAACAACCTAACCAACTAGTAGCTACAAAAACATAAAAACACACCAATATATTTATACAAAACCTAACCAACCAGCAGCTACAACAACATGTTCTCAAACCAATATATTCAAACAAAACCTAACCAATAGGCAGCTACAAAAATAAAACACAAATAAATAAATAAAACACCAGCAGCTTCAAATCAAAACAAAAACAGATTCATTCAATTTCAAATTATGCTTCAATTGTGATTTTGATTTATACCTGAATTTAAGCTTTGTCCACAATTAGTAGCTCACACCAACACAAAAAGCAGCAGCTCACACCAGCTATCTGTCCACAATTAAGAGAAACATACAGTAAGTAACAAAAAAAATAAAACCCTAATACAGATTACATAACCCTCTAAAAACTCTAACATAAACCCTAAATATTGAAACCCCCAATTAACAGAAACCCCTATTCGAAAATCCCCAATTCATATCCTAAACAAACCCTAAATAAAACCCTAATTAATTTCATCCTTTACAAACTAACAAATTAGCAATTACAGATATAGAAACATAAAGAGAGAAAGAGAAAGGCGATAACAAAGAAGAGAGAAAAAAGAAGAGAAAAAGAGATAGAGATAGAGAGAGAGGCAACCAATTTTTTTTTTTTTTTTTTTTTTTCACATATCGGATTGGAGGAGAGGAGACGATAACAAGAGGAGGCGAGAGGCGAAGATGTCACCGGACCGGAACAGAGGAGAGAAAAGAACGACCGAAGAAAAGAAGGTTTGAAGGGTTTGGCTAAAATGAGCTGAAAATGAGAGAGAGATCGAAGCGTTTGGCGAAGAAGAAGAATTCGGGTGATTCTATGTAGCCGATTCTAGTATAGTCCCGTACAACTTTCCATTATAACCAATCAAATGATGACATGTGTAATTTAAATAATAATTAATAAATAATATGTATATATCGGTTCGGTCGATAAACGGCGGTTTGGGGAAACTTGATACTGCTTCTGTGCCCGAGACCCTTCGGCTCGGTAATAAAAATCGGACCGCCGTTGACTTTTCTGTCAACGCGGTTTATCACCCGAAACAAACAGTCAGAAACCGGCGATTTGCGGTTTTTTCGGTCTAACCGCATAGACCTAGATTCTATGGTCGCCATACGTGGTTTTACGATTGTTGATTCATTAGTTTCTTCTAAGGTCCCCGAATATTTGGTGCCTTTCTTCGAATGTTTGACCATCTTCGTCTTTGGCTCTCAATCCCAAGGCTGCTTTGAATTCTTCATGGTTGAGTTCATAGTTCAGCCAGTCATCGTTGTCATCTTCGGACATGTTATCTAATTCCTCCTCTTCTATGGCTAAACCAACCTGTTGCAGTTTTTGCAGCATCATGACTTGCAAGTTGGGTCGAGATGACCCTCCTTCAGACTCTGGTATCTTTGCCTTGTTATGCTTTTCAGTGGAACCTTTCTGGCCATCTATCAGCGCTGGGTGCTTCAGAATAGTTTTGTCTATTCCTAGTCTTGGCATTTTTGAACAGGATGGTTGTAATCCCTAGCGCCACTGTTAAGGTAGTCCATGTTCCTTTTCTTTCGCTGCTTTTTTATTTTCCAAAAGTAGCCTTAGTTCGGTCATCTTTGATTGGGTGGTGAATACGTGTGAACCCTTAGGTCTGAGCATCCCTATTGTTGATCTTCCTTTATTCTGAGACTCGTACCTAGTATGTCCTTGGGTCCTCTGTGGACTTGATTGAGCCGTCTGATTCTCCATATCTCTTATGGCCTTCCCATATTGCCTTTTGATCTGTTGGGCCTGGGTATTGGTTAGTTCTCTCCCTGGCTTGCCTCCTTTCCCCACCAGATACCACTTCCCATCTTGAATCAATGCTGCTTTTATCGAGCTAGGTGGCCTGACATTGGTCGAATTGGAGGTGGTAGACAGCTTGTTGCATCCGATCGCTTCCCTTGGATGTGATGGAAAAGCCCTAGATTCGTGCTATTTCACTCTTGTTCGCCACTTGTCTCTTTCTTCCAATCTTGTGGACTCAAAAGTCCTTTGAGGAGAGTCTTCGTCTGCAACCCTTTTGTCTATCTTTCGAAATGTCTCATAAGACTTGTTCGGGCCCTCTCTCGGGCTGAAAGGTCTATACGATCGGGTCACCATCTTGCTAAGATGTCGCTCAGTTTCTCTCCTTTTTTGGATTAATTGTTCATCGATCTTTGCTCCTCTGGCGGGTATTTCTAACTCACATTCGCATTTGCACCTGCTACACATTACGATTCCAGCTGTAATGGTGGCTTTCAATTTCTCCGGTACCACTATAGTAACTTTCCTGGGCCTCTCTTCCCCGACATCCATGACATTCTTCCTTTTGTTATGTCTTTCAATCCAGTTGACGCCAATCATATGTGCAGGAAAAGGCTCATTGTCCACTCTCATGGTTGTTGGCTTGTCTACGAGGATCTTGCCTTCAATGATGAGATCCTGAATGACATCTCTAAATTGAATACAGTTGTTAATAGAATGTGAGAATGAATTATGCCACTTACAGAACATTTTGTTCTTGATCTCTTCTGGTTTTGGAAATATGTGCTTTTCATCGAGCTTGATTGCCTTTCCTCGTAACAATTCATCAAAGATATTTTCGGCTTTTGACAAATCGGAAGAATATGATTTATGCTTTTGCTTGTATGGAATGAATCCTCCAATTGGGGCAGGGGTGTTTCGCTGCTCCTTCCCCGGCCTTACTACCGCTTTGCACATGATTGGAGTTTTCATTTGGACGATTTCAACTAATGCCACTTCGGGGCCGACATCTTCTTCAACTTCTTCCTCAGATGCGTCCATTACTTCTACTTGATGAATTGGGCTTTTGTAATATGTTGGCTTGGAGTTGTTCTTTCTTTGTATTTATTCCCTGAGCAGTAATTCATATTTTCCAGCTCGCTGGGCCACATCCTGCAAATCCATGAATTCTAGATCATTAAACTTTTCCGAAGTGATAGCCTGAGAGCATTCTGTGGCATTTTTATGAAATGTTTTTCATCCATAAGAATTTTGCATTTCATTTTGAGCTTTTTGAAACCTGCGATGAAATCTGGCACGGTCTCGTGGTTCCCCTGTTTCATGTCAGTGAGATCATTGATGGTAATCTCAGGTTCGGGCCTATAATACTACTCCATGAAAGCTCTTTCCTTCTCAGCCCATCCTGAGATGGAATTCGGACTGAGGTTGGAATACCAAGTGAAAGCCTGGCCTGACAAAGAATTACCAAACAACCTCAACTTTAGGAGGGGCTAAGTTTCTATTGCTACGCATTGGGCCAAGAAACGCCCTATGTGCTCCAACGCTGATGCGTATAAGTCTTCTCTATTAAACAGGCTAAAACTTGGGACTTTGAAGACTCTTGGGAAAGGTAATTCGTCAATGTAAGTAGGATAAGGCTTTTGGTATGTAGGTCGGGCTGGTCTTCTGATACCGGCCTGATCATTATAAACGAGTTGCCTTAATACTTCCATTTCATTACAAATATCCATCTCTGGGTGGATTCCAGGTACAGGTTCGGCACTTGGAGGGGGGGGGGGGGGGGGGGGGGGGGGGGGTCCTACCTCTTCTTCGTCATCAGATTCCTGGATTTGCTCAGGTATCCTTGCATTGTTTCGTCTTCCCTGTCTGTTTCGTCCGTTATTGCCATTGTTATGGGCGATATGCATGTTAAACCCTGTCGGTTGTCGCCACCTGTCGGCATGCATGTTTCTTCGGAATGGCTCTAGAGGTAGAGCTGCTTCACCAGTTTTTGAAGCCTAGTATTTGGATGGAGTTCCGAACGGAGCGAGATGCTGATTGGCAATGTCCTTGGGAGGGCTGATCACCTTGGGCATATGTAGCGCCACCAAGGTGATATCGAATCCTATTGGTTGATCTACCTGAAGGGATGATCTGAGTGAATCTCTGATTACCATTTCCGGAGACGATGAATGGGCATGACCACTCGTTTGCCTTGTGGAATACCCTTGTATTACTAAGGGTGTTTTGGCATTTGGTGGCATCTCATCTTCTTTTCGGACCATTCTATCTTCTTGTTCTGCCTGCATGACTCGCTCGAAGAGGTAGCCTGAATATGCCCTAGTTTCGTTCCCTTGTTGGGTTCCGTTTAGATGTCCTTTCTCAACGGTCTGAACAATGCTTTGAGATAGGTGATTCATATAGAGTTGGTCATTGCATGGAAACCTTCTCTCATGACTTTTTCGAGTAGTTCGAAAGGAACCTCAAAAGATGATTCTATAGAATCGGATTCTGCTACTTCCTTGTTCTTCTTGTAGTTGGCCTGGGTGGAATCAGCCATGTATACTTTCTTTTTGGTCTTTCTCACCATACACGAAGAAAAGTCCTACTGGGCGTGCCAAAATTATGTTGGTCCTTTTCTCAGACCTTCGTCCCTTTTTACCAACCACAGGGGTCAGCTTTGCCTTGAGGAACGAAGAGGAATTTGGCAGATCAACACCAATGCTCCGATCGGAGAGAGAACTCCTTCAATTTCTGAACAAAATTGAAAGTTGAATTAGTTTGCCCAAAGCGGACGGGCCCGATCAAGGCCTTGTCTGTCAACTTCTTCTTAGTATTGATCCCTTTTGTTGCGTAGGCATGCTATTATTGAGTATATAACCAGCCCAATAGATCTGGTGTGGAGAGAGAGTCATCTTCTTCTGAACTAGACTTTCATTATTTATAGAGGTGGAGGGAACTTGTAATGATAAAAACTAAGACAAGACCTTTTGGCTTGTGGTTCAAGGTCAGCTGCTAGTTCGCTGATCTTAACTAGTTTATAGAAGGAATGATGGAGGACTTTTGGTAGGAACCGTCGGTTTTCTTCGTGGAGTTCTCTTGATTTGAATTCTTTGTACTTGAAAACCTGGCTGGCAATTTTGATCTTTTCTGGTTCTGGGGGCTTCAGTACGCCTTGTTTTCTTGCTGGGAGAGAAGGAGGTCAAGTCGTCGTTAAATGTGATAATCCTTTTCAGCCTCCAACGTGGGCTTAGAAAACACGCTTACCAATCTTTTAACTTGTAATGTGAGATAAAAGTCTGACTCTCATGACTTGGGCCTTTTTTTAAAATTTATGTTTTTATTATTAAGAGAGGCCCAGTTGGGAAAAGGATGACCTTAAGAAAAGACAAATGCTGATGGGCCTGGCTTTATCTTTTAAAAAAAAGATATTCTTTTTTTAAAACTTGAGACCATTTTTGGTCCGTTTACCAAAATTGGGTACAAACAAAGAGCTAATAGAAAGCATATTATTATGATAACTATGAGATTGTTTTTGTTCTATTTTGGGTCGTTCCGAGCAACGGTCTAGTGCTAAGAATATAAACAAAGCTGCCAACTTTCAAATATAAAAAAGCAAACTTTTGTTTTTTGATTTCACTAAGGTCAATTGGCAAACCTCTCCACAATCACCTGCAAGATCATGTGATGATGGTCAGCAATGAGTAATCCTGTAAGCTTCATAATACAAAAGAGATTGTGAGAGAGTGGAGCAATACCTTGGAGAGATCTTAGCCCTATGTTTTCTGCTACAGCTTTCATTCTTTCTCGAAATCTTCAACCTCAACTCATCAGAGCATGCATTTCTTGAGTTTGTTGGAAGATGATAAGGTCATTCTACTTAAAAGAGCATGCAATAGGCTTTTGTTTCTTCCATTAGCAGCAGTTACCTTGAAATCTCAAAATACACAATGCATGCCAAATTGGGTCAAGTTGGGGTAGTTCCCATTGGGAATCTTACGCAGAGAGTCTAGAGACACAACAAAGAAAACAATTCTAATGAAATGGAACTGTAGTTTGGAAGTGAAAGGCACAGAAAAGGATCAACAGAATTTACCTTCATGTCTTTTCTCATACTTTTGTTACTCGTCAGATTTTGAAAAGTCAAGTCTAATAGCTATACAATGAGGATTTCAACTCGATTGCTTTCCATTTTCGTGCATATCTCAGCTCAATAAGATACTCTGAAGTTCAAGACATTAAGAATTGGATCATTAGATTCATCTTAGGATATGAACAAACTAAGTTCTCTAGTTAATCCCAAATCATGTAGCTTTGGAAAACTAATTTCCAACCAACAAGTATGTGTATACATTTTCATCCATCTCAAATTAAATTCATAAATGACGTTTTCAAATTATTACCTACAGAAAGGAATTTTATGATGAAAGTTTACCGAATCATGAATGGATATGTTATGCTTGTTATGCTAGATTCAGATCTCTTCACCACATTGTCCAAATGCTGGTCTGTTGCTAGAGCTCCACCTGGAGAAGATTTCCTTCCCCTTTGTTTGCCACAATTTGTTTGTGGAAAACAAAAATCTATGTACAACGGTAAACTCTCCTTGGGCTGTGACATGAAAGAAACCTGCAAATGAGAACTGTTTATGAGAAGGCATGTTATCGCGCAGAGTGACTAACAACTCAGCATTTGAGACTAGACAGACATAAGTTGTGATCAGCATGCTCTTGGATACCGCTAAGGACCAGCCCCAGTGAGAAAAAATGTGACAGAATTATCAGAATTTATCAAGTTTAATACCAATAAAATCAAATTTGCGATTCAAGGCAAGATTCTTTTTTACATAAAAAGAAAATGCTAATGAACTATAATTTTCGTTCCATTTTGAGCAAGTAACGTTTAAGAGTCCTTCAGAAGTGAAAAGGGCAGAGAAAGAACACAGACAAGCCTTACCTTCATTTGTCATATCAAATTTTGAAAAGCCTGCTTCTTCTAATAGCTTTTTATTATGGACTTTTACTTGAGTGCTTTCACTTCCCGTGCATACCTCAGCTCAACAAGATGCTCCTAAATCCAAAGGAGAAATTAATTCTACTGGCTTTAATCAAATCTAATTATTGCAGCTTCATAAAAATAAATCTAACAAATGATAATCCAATTATTAGACAAGATAAAACGGAATAATGGCAAGGGACCTACTTGAGAGTGAAATGTTGAACAACTGGAGATGCTCAGAAAAGAAAGAGTCTTGTGGCAGGAATTGGAGACTCAGACAGCCATAAATATGCATCTGTTGAAGAGAAGTGAGTTCAAGGGACCTTGTGAATTCTCAAATTTTAGATGAATGGCATATTATTATGGTAACTAAGAGATTGGTTTTTTCATTTTTTGGGGGTGGTTCGGAGCAATGGTCTAGTGCTAATAATATAAAGGTGCCTACTTTTAAATATCAAAAAGCAAACTTTTTCTTTTTCGATTTCACTAAGGTCAATTGGCAAACCTCTCCACAATCACGTACAAGATCATGTGATGATGTCATTAAATGAGTAATCATGTAAGCTTCATAATACAAGGAACAGAGATTGTGGGAGAGTGGGGCAATACCTTGGAGGGATCTCAGCCCTATGTTTTCTGTTACAGCTTTCATTCTCTCTAAATCTTCAACTTCAACTCATCGTAGCATGCAATGTTCTTGAGTATGTTGGAAGATGATAGGGTCGTTCTTCCTCTTAGCTTCAGACACATGTTCAAAGTCATCTCCTTGAGATGAGGAAAGTCTGGACACCAGCCTTTTGGTCTTCATTCCTCCCCACTATGGCAGATGAGTAAATCAGATGACAAGGCATCGAATAATTTCAGAAAGCAAACCTTACGGAAGTGAAAGGCACAGAAAAGGATCAACAGAATTTTACTTTCATATGTTGAATTATAAGCCTTAAGCTGACTTAAGAGTTAGTTAATTTTTAGTTTTTCGTTTCTTTAAGTTTTATAAGCCAAGTTTAAGGATCTCATTGGATGCCTAGATGAATGGCTGAGATCACCTTGTGATGTAAGGGATCCAGCTACTGTGCCTAATGGTAATATTCCCTCACTCTAAGTGCGTGAGGTTGTAAGAGAGAGAGAGATTGAATGAAATGAACATTCTCTTTGCTACACGTATAGCATAGTAGTATTCTGCAATTCTTCTTGCTTCTTCTCCTTTTCTCCTTCTGTGATTTCTTCATTCAAAAAACTCAAAACATTAACATGGCCTCAGAGCCAGGTTCAATCATCTAAAGCTGAGCGTTCAAACTGTGAAGAAAAGATCAGGATATTCTGAAGCTCATTCAAAGCTCACGAAGCTATTTGAGCTCAATTTCTCTCCAATTTTGAAAACAACTCGTTTTCCAAAAGCATCTGAAATCAGACATGGTTGGATCTGGAAGCTCTGAAGTGAGAACCCGGATTTTCTCTGGCGAAAACTATGAGTTTTGGAGGATTAATGGTGACCATATTCAAATCGTATGAGGTATAGAATCTAGTAGAAAAGGGGATTCCAATCTCCAATCCAAAGAAGAAGAAGGCATCTGAGGAAACCTAAGAAGAAGAAGATGATGAGAAAGCAGCTGCAATCCTCATGAAGGATGCAAAAGCTCTCAGTATTATCCAAAATGCAGTCTCAGATCAAATTTTCCCACAAATTGCAAACGCAAGACTCTACCAAAGCAGCTTGGGAGCTGTTGCATGGAGAACATCATGGTGGAGATCATGTTAGATCGATAAAACTTCAAAATCTCATACGTGAATTTGAATATACGAGAATGCATGATAATGAGTCTTTGTCTACTTACCTTACTAGACTGAATGGTTTGATTAATCAAATGAAAACGTATGGTGAAATGCTCTCAAATGAGAGGCTTGTTCAAAAGGTCTTGATTAGTCTAAGCAAGGTATATGACCCGATCTGTTTGGTGATTGAGAACACTAAGAGTGTAGAGACTGTGGAATTACAAGAAGTGATTGTCATTCTAAAAAGTCAAGAAAAACGATTTGAGTTGCACAATGCTGATGCAACTGAGAAGGTTTTTGCCTCATTCATTGTGAGTCCAAAAGGCCAGAACAAGAATGTAGTGCAATCTGGTTCATCCAAGTCTCAAAAGAATTGGAATCCTAAGGGGAAATCATGGGAGTCAAAAGAAAAGCCTCAACAGAACAATCCTGCATCAAATTACAACTTTAGTTCATCAGAGCCAGTAAATCAAGAAACTGTAAAGCCTCAGTGCAGAGTGTGCTCAAAGTACCATTTTGGAGAATGTAGGTATAAAGGCAAGCCAAAATGTTACAATTGTGACAGATTTGGTCACTTGGCTAGAGAGTGCACTGCAAGAAAATTTGTGCAAACCAAATGGAGGTGACTGGAAATTTGTTCTACGCAAATTGTGCAACCATTGAGACAAAAACAAATGGGGAATGGTACATTGACAGTGGCTGTAGCAATCACATGACTGGGAATTACAACAAATGTGGCTGGAAATGTGCAAATGCCAACTGATGTGTTGGTGAATGTGGCTGGCATGGGCTAACTAGTTACTGATACGACCAGAGGGAGAAAATACATTAGAGAAGTGATGTATCTTCCAGGATTGAAGGAAAATCTGCTGAGTGTTGGGCATATGGATGAGCATGGATACTTCTTGGTGTTTGGAGAAGGCATGTGTAAAGTGTTTGATGACTTTTCAATGAACTGTCTCATCATCAAGGTTCCAATGAAGAGAAACAGATGCTATCCTTTACCCCTTCTAGCTGAAAACCAATTGGTCATGAAGGCTAGTATCACTCAGTGCACATGGACTAACACCTCAAACTCAAATTAGACATATGAAAGGAGTCCACTATCTTCTCAAGCACCATCACAACACATCCCAAGTGACATAAGCAGTGAAGAAAGGAACACTCAAGCTTATGATCACTCCCCATTGAAATGGAGAAGACTAGATGATGTGCTTGCACAGTGCAATCTATGTATCATTAAACCAGAGAAATATGCAGAGCAGCTCAAGATAGTTCATGGCTGAAAGCTATGGAAGATTAACTACAAATGATTGAGAAAAATGGTACACGGGAACTGGTGGCCAGACCAACTGAGAAACCAGTTGTTGGGGTCAAGTGGGTTTACAAAACCAAGCTAAACTTGGATGGTTTTGTCCAAAATAATAAGGCAAGGTTAGTTGCCAAAGGGTATGCTCAAAAACCTAGATTGGACTACAATGAAACCCATGCTTCTGTCGATAGATTGGACATCATTATAACTCTCATTGCCCTTGTTGTTCAGAAAGAAAGGAAGCTATATCAGCTTGATGTAAAATCAGCCTTTCTAAATGGTGTGTTGCAAGAAGAAGTCTATATACACCAACCAGAGGGATTTGTTGTAAAAGGCAAGGAAGACAAAGTGTATAGACTGCACAAAGCTCTCTGTGGGTTAAAACAGGCACCTAGAGCTTGGTATGGAGAGATAGACACCTACTTCATGCAGTGTGGCTTTGAGAAAAGTCTAACTGAAACTACCTTGTATACAAAGACAAGGGGAGACAGAGATATTCTAATTGTCTCTACTTATGTTGATGTCATTGTGTATACAGGGAGTAGCAAGGAATTGTTGGAAGAATTCAAAGAGGACATGAAGATGAAATATGAGATGATAGACTTGGGCCTTCTACATCATTTTCTTGGTATGGGAGTGGTTCAAACAAACTCTAGCATATTCATTCATTAGAAGAAATATGCAAGTTCTCTATTGAACAAATTTGGTCTAAATGAGTGCAAGACTGTAACTACACCTCTTGTAGTAACTGAAAAACTAGTTAAAGATGATGGAAGTGGAGCGACAAGTGAAGAGCAATACAGAAGCATTGTAAGTAGTCTCTTGTATCTAACTGCCACCAAACTAGACATTATGTATGCTTCTAGTCTGCTTGCTAGATTCATGCATTGTCCCACAATCAAACATTATGGAATTGCTAAACGAGTGCTCAGGTACATCAAGGGGACTCTAGACTATGGTTTAGAGTATGTGAAAGGCAAGGATGCAATGTTGATTGGCTTCTGTGATAGTGACTGAGGTGGATCAGTTAATGATAGTAAAAGCACATCTGGATATGCATTCTCTTTTGGAAGTGGTGTTTTCTCTTGGGCTTCAGTCAAGCAGAATTGTGTGGCATTGTCCACTACAGAAGCAGAGTATATAAGTGCATCTGAGGCTACTGCACATGCTATTTGGCTTAGATTTGTGCTAGAAGAATTTGGAGAGCTTCAAACTAAAGCAACTCCATTGTAGTGTGACAATACATCTGCAATTTCCATCACTAAAAACCCTGTGTTTCATCAGAAGACAAAGCATATTGATCGAAGATATCACTTCTGTTCATCCGTTTGATGTTTGTTCCTATGATGGTAGGGTAAAGTTCCCCATTGCCTTGAAAACCATTGACTGGTCAGCAAGTCAAATTTCTTTAATGTGCGAACGTGCCGCTGCTAGCAATGAAAAATCCTAGCAGACTTTGAAAATAGATAACTTGCGCCCCAAGTTACTGATTTCTAAACAAGCGAATGCGAATTTGGGTGAGGAATATCTCCCGAGTAAGTTCTTTTCCTGCCTTAGACTGGTGAGAGGACTTCATAATTTTTCATAGTACAATGTTGGTAGTTCTGGCCAGAATAAATAGTAAGAAAATGAACTATTTTCAGGTGGAACTGACTTTTACAAAACTCAACAGTAAAAAATCAACTCTAGAGAGACAAAAAGAAGGCTGGAATTTCATTTCTGCCTGGATAGAAGCTTCTGATATGGGCTGGACTAGGTATGCCTATGCTGGACTGGACTGTCAACAACTTCAACTGCTAAGCTTCAGCTGTAAATCGATACCAAAGTTCGAGTTTGGCAGAGCTTTAATCTATTTCAAGCCTTGGAAGGCTTTTTGAAATGGCAAAATTGCGGCCTCTTCAGTCTGAAAGGGGTAGAAGTGGCTGCACTTGAGGATTACTGAGCTAGAACTGCACTGTGGTACCTGTTCTGTTTGGTCAGGGCTCTCCATAAATTTGTTGAGGTTTTCATATTTGGAAAAACTCAAACTCTGCTTGCTTTGAATTTTGCTGAACCAAATTTGTAACGAGAGAAATCTCGTTTTGAATTACTTTTTCTAAGTCTGAAACTAGAAGTTTCGATTTGTAACTGGCTTCTTTCTTGTGGCTTAATGAGCTTTTGGTTGCTTCAGTTTGTTTGAAGATTCTCATAGATCAAGTGATCATTTTGAGTTTTTGTCTTTGGTTGATTTTTGGTGGTTTGATTGATTATTGAGTGTCTTTGCTCTGTTCACCCTCTCCTATATTTATAAGAAATGTTTTGGAGTGGGGTTTCTAATTCTTTTAATAATGGGCGGCAAAACTCTCAAAAGATCTTCCAATTTTTAAATGCAAAAGAAAGGAGGTTTTATCATTTATGGCAGATAAACTCTCAATAGTCAGTTCCTAAGGCAATCACTTCCCTGTTTTTCTTGAAAGAAAAGCTAGCCTTCTTTAATTTCAACTGCTTTTGTAAGAGCTCAAAAACTGTGATGGTTAGTTTGATTTTTCATTTTGAACAACTCCCTGTTTCCTGCTTATCTCATTTAGAAAATATAGCCTGCTTATCCCTTGGAAATGATGTCTGCCGAATTTTCTGTATGTAGAAAAAGGATTTTGGTCTTCTTCTCTGTCTGTGACAGACTGAGGAAATCTTTCTGCAAGAGTGCCTTCACTAACATCCTGTCAAATTCCTTCGTGGCTAGTTGAAATTGTTGATTTTTCAAGGTCAGGTAGTCACGTGGGTTTCTTTTGAGAATAGGTTTTTTCCATAAAAATTGCCAAAGTGTTCCTGGGCTTTTCGAGAGAAATGGTGAGGCTTTTAGAAGTTGGGCCCAAACCAATTTCTAGATTTTTAACGATCTGCTTGGTGGTCTATTTTGCCATTCTATTTTGGCAATTTTTACTGATTTGCTTTGTATTTTTACATTTCTACTACTTCGTAAAAAATCATGGACCTCTGGCGTGGATTGGGCTTTTCTTTTTGGAGTCAAGGCCCGGTCTTCTATTTCCTGTTCCTGGGCTTCTTTGTGAGAAGTGGGCTGGCGTGCAAATTCTTTTTAGGCCCAAACGACTTCATCAAAGATGCACTACGAGAAGGCATCATTGATTTGGTGTACTGCCCTACTAAGGAACAACTTGTTGACATTTTCACCAAACCATTGGCTAAGGATCGGTTCAACTATCTCAGGAGTATGCTTGGAGTTAAATCAGCTCAAGACTTAAAGGGGAGTGTTGAATTATATAAGCCTTATGTTAAGAGTTAGTTAATTTAGTTTTTCGTTTCTTTAAGTTTTATAAGCCAAGTGTAAGGATCTCATTGGATGCTCAGATGAATGGCTGAGATCACCTTGTGATGTAAGGGATCCAGCTACTGTGCCTAACGGTAATATTCCCTCACGCTAAGTGCGTGAGGTTGTAAGAGAGAGAGAGAGAGTGAATGAAATGAACATTCTCTCTGCCACATGTATAGCAGAGTAGTATTCTGCAATTCTTCTTGCTTCTTCTCCTTTTCTCCTTCTGTGACTTCGTTCAAAACACTCAAAACATTAACTAGATTTTAACTCGATTGCTTTCCATTTTCATGCATATCTCAGCTCAACAAGATACTCCTAAGTTCAAGACATTAAGAATTGGATCGTTAGATTCATCTTAGAATATGAACAAACTAATTTCTCTAGTTAACCCCAACTGTCTGAAAACTAATTTCCAACCAACAAGTATGTACAAGAAAATACATATGAAATTAAGAGACTAGTTGCAATTTAAGGCAAGATTCTTTTCCAATATGTGTGATGTGGGGGATAAGGACAAGGCATAACTTAGAACAACCAAGACTTAACAGAGAAAAGGAGAGAGATGAAAAACAAAGCTTAAACAAGGTTAATTCCCTAAGAAAATTTTGTAATTGCTGAATGATCTTTCTGCTCAACAGGTTGATCCTAATAAAATATACATTAGTAAAGTGACAACGTTTATAACATACATGTATTTTGGATGCAAAATTGATGCTATGTATCTCAGCTCAACAAGATACTCCTAAGTTCAAGACATTAAGAATTGGATCGTTAGATTCATCTTAGAATATGAACAAACTAATTTCCAACCAAAATATGAACATTTCCTCCCCATTCTTTGCCGCAATTTGTTTGCAGAAAAACAAAAATCCATATACAATGGTATACTCTCCTCGGGCAGTGACTTGAAAGAAACCTGCAAATGAAGAAGTGTTTATGCAAGTTGCTTACACAAGTTGCTTTGATTTCAAAGAGTTAATGCAAAGTTAATTGGATGCAAAATTGATGGCAAATTTGGGGCAATTCAACAAATTTGTGGACATAAAAATAGTTACAAATGTGTATTTTGGTTTATTTGGATAGTGAATTTTAGTTTTTGTATTGAATGAGAAGAAAAGCAGTTAAAGCGGTTATTTGAAGTACATACCTGACCAGAGTTTATTTGTCTCTATGTGAGAAAGAGAGAGGTCATATCATCATATGATGACTTCATCATTTATCTCGATGCAAGGAATGTGAGATATGCTGGCCCAATGATCTTGTCCTGTCTTATTCTGATACCTTTTTTCCAGGGCAGAACATCTAAAGATCTTCAGATAAGAAAGAGATGGTGGCAGACCCTCTTCTGGCAGGAATTGGAGATTGTCACACCAACTAATCTTTAGCTTTTGAAGAGAAGTGAGGTGTTGAAGTGCCTCTCCTGGCAAGAATTTCAGACTTTTGCAACTGAAAATAGATAGACTTCGAAGAAAAGTAAGGTGTGCAAGTCCCTTTCCATCCAAAGATTTCAGAGTTGATAATGAAGAGATCCTGAGAGTGTGAAGAGTGGTAGGGAGCAGCTGTTGCTTGAGCAACGTCTCCAAGATTTCATCACTTCCCCTGCCACCAATTCTAAATTCTTCAACAGCTTGCAAACCCCAGTTACAATAGTCTTCCACTGATGAAGATGAAGCCCTCAGTCTCTCACAATTATGAATGTAAAAAACTCGGAGGTTAGGAGGCAAACCCCCATCTTCTGCAATTGACTCCAGATTTGGAAGATTCCTTATATCCAAATATCTTAGGGCTGTGAGGGTTTGAATGCGTTTAGGTAATGACTTCAACTTCTTGCATCTCTGAACTTCCAATCGAATCAGGTTAGGAGTGGGCAATCCTCCTTGGGGAAAACTCACCAGATTTGGACAGACTTCGATATACAAGGCATTGAGATGACTGAGATTCTCAACCGCCGCTCCTTCGTCTTCAATCAAGCTAAGCGATTCCAGATTCTCACAATTCCCAATAATAAGTGTCTTCAATTTGGGAAAAATACCTAAGGGGAAGGACCTCATTGAATCACAGCTATTCTCTATCCACAAACAGTCGAGCAATGTTAATTGGTTGGCCAACATCTCATGAGGCAGGAATTCTAATCTCTTACAGTTGAATATCCTAAGTGATGTCAACGTAGTGGGTAGGCCATCTTTAGGGAACGACGACAGCGTTGGACAATTTGAGAGAGTTAAACATTGAAGACGATTGATGTTGGGCAAGCACTGTATGTCACCAAAATTTTGAATGTAAAGTTGGCACAGGAGATTTGTTTCTAGTAATGATAATAGACCTGTTTGGCATCCATCTTCTGTAATAAATTTTTCAAGAGAGTTGTAGTTGAGACTAGTACTAGTACTAGTAGTAGCACTAGCCCTTTGATCATGTAAAACTCCACACCCTTTCACGCGAAGCTTTTTCAAGCAAGGCAAATCACAAGGCAAGCTTCCTCTCAGCTTCGGACAATTTTCTAAAATTAACTTCTGGAGATGAGGAAAGTCTGGACCAACACTTCCACTTGGTACCCATTCCTCCCACTCTGCCATCTCCTTAAACTCCAGCCTCTCCAGCGATTGAAATGGCTGAAATGGCTGAGGCTGACCATACAACTCAGGACCTACTCTCTTAAGAAATTTCATCTTATATATGTAGAGATCCTTAAGAGCGGGTAGTTGTCCAAGCGGCGGCAACGAAAAACAATAATGACAATTTTCGAGGCGCATTACTTTCATTTTATGGAATGCAGAGTCTCCCAACCAGTTTGGGAATCTGGTCCCGCCATAAAGTTTGACGGTCAAGTTCTCCAAATTCATGCAAGGTTGGAGCTTGTCAAGTACATCTCTTACCTTTTCGGAATGATCGGCATCTTTGGAGCCCCATGCCAACTCTAACTCCTTGAGATCTTGCTTGTTCTTCAAATTAGCTTGCAAGGCATCCCTACCATCAACCACATTATTAAGCTTCAAAATTGAAAGCTTTCCTCGAAGATGAGACAACTCCCTCAATTCTCCAATAGTCGACCCAATGGATATCCCCACAACAAAAGTAGTCAATGTTCTCAAACTTTTTAGTCTACCCATTTGCACTGGCATCTCTTCAATTTGAGTTCCGCTACAATCAAGATGCCTCAAGTTAATCAATTTTCTCATGTCTGTAGGCAGTTCAAAAAGAGACCGACAACCTGCCAATAGTAATGTTTGTAGACTATAGAGAGTGCAAACTGTGGCAGGCAACCTTTTGATTCCAGTATTAGAGAGATCCAAGTAGCGCAAATGAATGAGGTTACCAATAGAATTGGGTAACTCAACTATATTATAATATTTTGACAATGTTAGCACCCGTAAACATAATAGAGATGGCACTAACTCATGTAAAACCCTTTTACTTACATAATTTTCATACCATTCTCTTCTAAGAGGTAGGAAGGTTCGCAAATGCTTAACCTCATATAATGGCTCAAATTTCGCAGCACAATCAAATTGGCCTCTAGCATATGACAAATGCCGAACTTTTTTCAAAACTTCATGTGATTCACCCCCTTCCCATCTCAAACAGGATTCCTTTGACACAGACATGGCCAAGTCATTGATGAGATCATGCATTGTGAACTTGTCATTTCTTGATCTTTGAAAAAATGATCGCGACAATAAGTCATCAAAATATTTCTTAGTGAGCTCTTCCATTCTTTTCTCACTCTCAGCTTGTGGAATTAAACTTTCTGCCACCCACAGTAGAACTATATATTCTTTTTGGAATTCATAGCCCTTCGGAAAAATTGAGCAATAAGCAAAACATCGTTTTAAATGAGTTGGGAGATAATGGTAACTCAATCTTAGAGCTGGAATTGTATTACATTTTTCAGGAGGTAGCTCCCAAATATTGCTATTTAGTATACTATTCCATTCCTCATAATTTGTGTTGAAACGCAAGAGGCCTCCAAGTGTTTCTGCAGCTAAAGGTAAACCATTGCACTTCAGGGCAATTTTCTTACCAACTTCTTGCAGGTATAGATGTGCACTCAAGTTTCCATTTTCAAAGGCGTGTTTTGAAAGTAACAACCAGCAATCCTCATCGGACAGCTGTTCCAAAAAGTGAATCGGAACAGTGCGCATGCGATCTGCAACACTTTCGTTACGTGTTGTCACAATGACCCAACTTCCACTTGCCCCCGATGCAAAAGGACGTTGCAAGACACTCAAATCACCGTAGTTCTCATTCCAAAGGTCATCCAACACAAATAAAAATTTCTTGCCCTTTATTTGTTGTCCTAGCTCAACTTGAAGAAAACTCAGGTCTTTATTATCGTAAGCTTTTGAACTGACTGACTCAAGTAGGGTTTTAGTTACCCTAGTAACATCGAAATCTTCCGAAACATAAGCCCAAGTTCTAAGATTAAAATGCTCTTTGACTTTGTCATCATTATAAAGGAGCTGAGCCAGGGTTGTCTTGCCAACCCCGCCCATTCCCACTATGGTGATGACAGATACATCCTTGTTGCTTGCTTCATCAGATAACAAGAGGTTCATCAGCTTTTCTTTATCTCCATCCCTACCGTACACACAAGATTCATCCACCAAGGAAGTTGTTGGAGTTCTTTGAGAAATCTTCCCCCCAACAACACCTTCTCTGAGGCCAAGCACATCCTTTTGTTTTGCAAGGTGTTCTAATCTATCAAACAACTCTTGAATCCTACCATTCATGCCTTGATAAAATGGATTAAGAGAAGTAGAGAGGAAGTTCCACACCTGAGTTTTAACGGTTCGATATTCAGCTTCCACCTTGCATCGCAGAACTTCAGCATTTATCTCATCCAGAAGGTCATCCGCATCAAAGACAGCATCTTGAAGCTCATCAAGCCACTCTTTGACGTAAGTGTTCGTGAACTGCTTCTCCTCCGCGTCATTAAGCACTGCATTGAGGCTCAATAGCGTTATCTTCAGTTTCTTTACAAGCGACTCGTCCAGTTTCTTTCCCCGGAACAAGTCCCTGAACTCACGAGAACCAATCTTCTCGCACAGCACCTGCACGGAAGCACAGAGAAAAGCCTCTCCAACCAAAGCCATGTTTTGATTCTTTGCAAAGGAGTTGGACTTGAGTTGAGATTTGAGGCAAGTTTTGCAGCAAAGGATTTGGCTGTTGAGAAGTTGAGTTAAGATTTATGTTGTTCTCCGATAGTGCAGCTAGCAGAACTTGGAAATACAGATAAGGCAGTATGAAAGCTTTTGTGATTGTAATTTTATATTATGTATTTAACAAGTACTGTTGGTTGGCTGTCTTGCCAGTGTTCGAGTTTCTTTGCCCTCACTATGTGACGGTTCGTCAATACCATTAATCAATTCAAATTGTGTATGTGGGTTCTTGGGACCCACACGGCCAAAGGAATAATACGCTGGTTTGGACTGTTGGAGAGTGGTGGATGACCGCCAATGATCTCTTTGTGACTACGGCATATTTCAATAGATAAGGTAGAGGGAAGAAAAGTGGTGGTTTATTGGTCATTGTGGTAATAGAGTGATCGTGTAAGCTGGTCATTGTGGTGGGAACTCATACGTGGAAAATGACTGAAATGTTCGAGTAGAACTATCAAGGCGGGGCATGAAATTTGAGACTATTAGTCTAAAAATCAAGACTATTTTTTTGCTAAAAATTAGACCTAGTTAATGTTTTATTATGAAGAAAACGTTAGATTTCAGTTTAATAAATATAGTGCAACATGTCTTGATTCCTAACAAGTGCCACATGGTATTCCAGTACTACTGTATAATTTCTCCAATACATTAATCTCGTCCTATATTTGATTCTCTCCATGGAGATCATTCATAGAATGGAGCTAAAAAAATGCTAGAACATTGTAATTGTAACGGAAAAATATGTAAACTTCATCAGCTATTAAACTTTAACACTAACCTTGTTCTGCCATTTGAATGAACCCTTGAAGTAGAGAGATCTTTTCTAAGATAACCGACTGCCTTAGTTCAATATTCTAGATGGGTTGAATATCTTGATGAGTTGTGTGTATCGGCTCTTAGAGGGAGCTCTTCTATTTATTGGTAAACAAAGCTGTCGTCCAAATTGTAGACGACATTATTAAGTCTAAAGAGGGGGCCTCCACGGTGAGAGGACCTCCTGATTTCAAAGCTTTTTTGTCGTCTAACTCCTGATTTCAAAGCTTGCGACCAATCGAAGCACTTTGCCCCTGCTGCCAGCAGAAGGGACCGCGTTGAAAAAGTTGGAAAGATATTTACGTCCTTTTCTTCTACCAACTGTCACAAATGGCTTGTCGCATACGGCATATGCGTCAGATTGACAATATACATGCGTAATCTCAACATTAATTGATGTCCTATTCAAACTGTTACGTATAAGGAAACACAAATTGAACTGTAAAATATAAAGTACAATTTAGCTAAAGCTCTTCGTTTCTAGTGTTGGAAGATTTTTGGTTGGTAAATAAATTTTTATGTGGTCATAGTTTCAAGTTCTTCCTTTTATTTTTGTTTTAGTGTCGGTGGACTTATCAAAAGTGATTGTACGTAGTAGACTGATCATTGTGGTGCGGAACTCAAACTGACAGGCATATGACATATGGTTGGAAAATTCGGAGTTTGGAAATTGATAAGAAATTGCATTTTCATTTTGGGTAAGTTACGGGAATGCAATATCATCTTGTGTAGTAAAAAAAACATAATAACACATGAAAAAGTTAGGGGGCTACGAATGTTATCCTGGCCAATAACACAATAACACACGAAAAAGTTATCGAAAAAGAAAAACAGTGCTATCCCGGTCAATAACACAATAACACTGTGTTTTTACTACACAAGGGGGCTACTAATGTTATCAAAAACAAGTTCGGATCACATAGATTTAAAGTGAATGTAGAATTGAGGGCAAATATTTGTTCTGGAAATGAATTCAATTCTGGACAGTTAGTCCCTAAACCTTAAGACATGAAATAAGAGCTGGCTTTGTCAGCAGCTACCTTGAAATGTCGAATTGGGTAACGCTTGCGTAGTCCCCAATGGGGAATGATATAAACAGAAAGAACCAACATATTTTTAAGAAACAAAGATTATAATTCAAGGCAAGACTATTTTCTGACCATATGTTGCCCATATTGCTTCAATTTGGAAGCAACTAGGAACCATAATTCCTTCGTTCAAAATAAAGACACTAGGTTTTGTTGGAAACAACTTTTAGTATAAAATTGGCTGTCCTTGAAGGGCCAACATTAATAAAGACTACGTCAAAGCTAAAAACTTAAAGGGGACGACACTGAAAGATGCATATTCAATTATCAAATGTTATAATCAAAGGCACGACACTGAAATGTCATCATCTCTTTACTTTTCGACAAGCGAACTAGTTCAACATCAGACTTCATTACAAGGCAGATTGCAGTTTCTGAGCTTGTCAGTTGAAGACTTGAGCAAAATGTCCTGAATATTTCGCATGCCACCAATCTTCTTGCTATCTGGGCTAACAAGGTGCTTGATCCTGTCAGGTGACAAAGGAGCAGTTCCTACTTGAGTCTTCTTAGTAGACGGGACCTCTTTCGAAAAAGACAAGATGACTGAACAATTGCAAAACAAAGGAAAAAATTTGTGAGTCAAATTACATGTCAAAAGTTCAAAATGCCAAAAAAAAGAAAAAAGAAGAGGACTGCCAGCACCAGCGAAGCCATCAAATCAGGCCCAAGCCGCAAGAAGTAGCAAGCTACATGCCCACGAAGTGAGCCATCCTAGGCGAACCCAAGCCAGCTCTAGCCCGTTGACAACTCCATCCCAAGTTGCTCCAGCCCAAGCGTAACCAAAAAAAAAAAAAAAAAAAAAAAAAAAAAGGGGCCCAAGCAGCTAGCACCGGCCCCGGCCACAACGAAGCCTAGACCAGAGCAAGCGCGCCTTGCAGGATCCCCAGGGAATGACCTAGTTCCATGCCGCAACCTTTTTAGCTAGGTTACGACACAACCAACTACTCCCACCAATTAGCACCAACACTTCAATCGACACTAGTCACGGCGACAACCGGCTAGCCAAGGCCAACCAGTCCAAAAAACAAACAAAACCAAAAAAAAAAAAAAAAAAAAAAAAAAAAAAAAAAATATATATATAGACCTACCTTTGTGTGCACGACAACTCTTCTTCTCAACAAGCAGTATAATTCTCCAAGATCGCTCTCATAAGCTAGAAAGTAGAGAAAGCAAGTTTTCAATTTGAAGAGGAGTGAAGAGACGCCTTATACTTATAAAGGTTGTGCATCCTAGGTCAAGGAATCATAAGCCTATTCTCATTTGGAGCCCAACTCTAAGAATAAGTTAAAAGCCTACTCCACTATATATACATGTCTGCCTCCCTTGAAAGCTCTTGGTGTTGTGACTATCACCGGTAAGTTGTGTCGGATCAACATCGGGATTAGAATCATTAGGAGCCCAACTCAAAGAAAGAAGCCTAGATGCAGTTGGGAAGCCCAAAAAATATTTCTCGTTTCTTCCATGCCTCACAAGCGCCATGCAGCAACTAGAGGCATTTGTGAGGGCAAATATTCTAGCTTCTAATAACAAGGCATCACGTGGAGAAAAAGAATATCTCTTATGTCAATAATTGAGCCCATTTATTTGGTCAATTAATTGAGACCAAAAATAGGGATATGAGAATATAATCACCAATTAAAGAGAATATCATCAATTTAGGATATTATCTTATTTTGGGGATATTATCATCAATTAGGGATATGATTCTAATCAAAATCCCTAATTGACTCAATCTCTCCATTTAAGGGAAATAATATCTTCCTTCCAAATAGGAACTATTCTTTGAAAAACCCTAGATGGCTAGAACCCTATAAATACATAGTCACATCCAACACACAAGGTAATTTCAAAACCCTACGAAAAACCCCTCTCTCCTTGCCATCGCCCCTCTCATCTCTCCCTCTCCCACATGGCTAAGTGCCACCACACGAGATTCTGGCCACCCGACTCTCCTCGTGAGAGAAAACTTCGTCCATTTTAGCTATTGCCGCATCTTTTCTCAAAGATCTAATCGAACTAAATTAGGAATCGGAGTGCCTTTGGGTGTGGTCTTTTATTCCTATTTGTTTCGCAAGAACCGAGGAAGGGAGAGAAGGAAGCTCGAAGGGTAAACCCTAAACTCTATGAATCTACATGCGAATATTCTCCCTTGAGAAAACCAAAGCTCCAGCCACGTTACGACTATTTGCAAAGGATTTGGACCAAGTATTGTGGGTTTTGGAAATTCTTGTTTAGTTTTGGAACAAGTTTTGAAGGGGGTTGAGATTAGGTAACTCTCAATTTCATTTGACTTGGGAGTCTTCGGGGGAGATTATTACTACCAAATACTTATATTATATAGCAAAAAAACAAATGCTTGTGTAACAAACTTGACATGAGGATGGGGTCGACAGACTCGACATAAAGCTACCGTCCATCAATATATTATTTTATGCGTTTATGCTAAGCAAGCACTGATATATATTTTCCTTCTCTCATTTTTAATATTAAGATCAAATTATTATTTAACCAGAGTTTAAGCAATCCAAGAATAACATAAACAAACAACGGAAGGTCATTTGTGATGACCCAATTTCCATTTAATAAGTTTTGAAAGCTCTGAACTATAAAATAAATAATAATAAAAACTCATTTCATTGACTTAGGCTTTTCCAATGAGACAATTAGCAAATGCTTTTGTAATGCGATTCATGGGGACTCCACATGGTTTTGACACTTTTGTCTCTCTCCACAAGTGGGAGAAAAACTTCCCTCTCACGCGATTCAGCGTCAGCCATCCGCATCATTATCCCAATCCAATGAAATCATGGTAGCTGCCAAACCCCTTACCCATTCCTGCCTTTTTTTTATTTTTTTATTTTTTTTATTTTTATTGAAATCTACTAATGCAAAATGTGCACAATTTGATTAAACATTTGTGAAATGTCATTGGTGCTGATTCTTTTTCCTTTTATTAGTTTTGGCTTACTTTCCTTCATTTCTTTTATTTTATTTTATTTATATCAAATCTCTTTGTAAAAAAAGCAAGACATTGAATTTACGACATCACGCATAAAAAGAAGAAGAAAATGAACAAGCAGAGAAGTACCCTATTCTATTTTTTTCCTTCTCATTCTGAATACATATACTTTCATTATTTTTTTGGAAGACAGACAAGTAGACTCAAAGGAGAACCAAAAATTAGTTAATTGGAAAGAATTGATGGATAATGGGGTATTGAAAATTTGTGTATATATGTGTTGCCGTGCATTATACCCTTCAGAATACTGTTTGCTTAGAAGGCCAACACCAAAGCTATGATCTATCCCCTGCTATAAATGACTCGACTTCTTGGCGTTAGTTATTCGCTAAGAATTAACATGTAATTAAAAGAAGGGCTTCCATTAGAAGCTGCAGTTAGCTTGAAATTTTAAAATACACGAAGCCAAATTGGGTCAAGTCGGGTTAGTTCTCATTGGGAATGATACGCAGAAAGTCTAGAGTTCAGGGAAAGGATACAACAAAAAGCAAAATTCTAGTGAAATAGAACTGTAGGTCCAATTGCAAACAGCGACCTTTCAGGGTGCTTTCATTTTCATGCATATCTAAGCTCAACCAAGTACTCCTAAGTTCAAGTATGAAGAAATTAAGAATCGGTTATATTGATCTTAGAAAACGTTATTTACTCAAATGGTCCTCAAACTTATACCTGAATTGCATTTTGGTCTCTCAACTAAATTATTTGTTCAAATGATCTACCAACACTTTATTAATTAGCGCATTGGTCCTACTATTACATTCTGTCAATATTGCCGTCAAATATAGTGGTAAAATAGCCCAATAAATAAAAACTAAAAACCAAATGTAAAAAACCTATCTCCCTCTCCCACCTTCCAACCCTAGCGCCCCATCTTCTCCTCCCCACTGCCCACCATCTCTTCCCCTCCCTCCTTGTCCCCTCCTCTTCTTCCCTCTATCTCCCTCTATTTCTCTCTTCAAATCTATATTGGGGCTGCAAGGCTCTGGGTTTGTTCGGGAAGAGAGAGAGAGAGAGAGAGAGAGAGAGAGAGAGAAGGAGGCTGTTGTAGACCCACGATGAGATGGGTGTTGGGTGGGCTGATTTTTTTTTAGGGTTACTTTTTGTTATTATTTTTTTCTTTTATAGTTTTAATTATTTTTAAAAATAAAGAAAATTTTGTATTAATTTTAATCATATATATATTTTTTTTCAAAAGTATTATTTACCCGCACTAATGTAGCATGTATTGCTCACATGACTAAATTTAACAGAAAATGTAACTGTATGACCAATGCGTCAATTAATAAAGAGTTGGTGGACCATTTCAATGAATAATTTAATTGCGAGACCAAAATACAACTCGAGTATAAGTTTGAGGACCATTTAAGTAAATAACCTAGCAAATTAATTTCTCTAGTTAACCCCCAACACTTGTAGCTTTTGAACATTAATTGCCAACAATAAGTATGTACAAGAAAATAGACATGGAATAATAAAAAGGGAATCTAACAACATAAAAGAGAAATACGAGATGAAAGATTTGGGCAGTCTGAAATATTTTCTAGGAGTGGAGGTCACTCAATCTAAACATGGCTTATTTCTTTCATAAAGGAAGTATGTCATGGACTTGCTAGCAGATACTAGAATGCTTGACTGTAAACTAGCTGATACACCTATTGTTAAGAATCATAAACTTGGGGTTTATGTGGATTAGGTCCCAACTAACAAAGAAAGATACCAAAAATTGGTTGGAAGATTGATCTATTTATCACAGACACACGCCTTGATATTGCCTATGCTGTAAGCGTTGCTAGCCAATTTATGCATTCACCTAATGAGGATCATATGGCTACTGTGATGCATATTATGAGTTACTTAAAGTCTTCTCGTGGGAGAGGTTTATTATTTAAGAAAAATGGCCTCTTGGATCATGAAGGTTACACTGACGCAGATTATCCAGGGAATATTATAGATAGACGTTCTACATCAGGTTACTTCACCTTTGTTTGCAGTAACCTAGTTATGTGGTGTAGCAAGAAGCAAAATGTTATGTCTCGATCCTCTGTAGAGTTTGAGTACAGAGGGATTGCCCAAGGGGTTTGTGAAATATTGTGGTTGAGGTGGTTACTTGCTAAAATTGGGTTTAGACTGGATGCTGCTCCAAAGCTCCACTGTGATAGTCAGTCTACGTTTGAAATTGCTAACAATCCGGTGCAACATGATCGAACAAAGCATGTAGAGGTTGATCAACATTTCATTAAGGAGAAGCTGGGGCATAAGTTAATTTCTATACCTTTTGTGCCATCTTTGGAGCAACTTATAGATATGTTGATCCATGTCGTGTCAAAGCATCGATTTGAAGACTCACTTGACAAGTTGGGTATTACAGATATCTATGCACCAACTTAAGCGGGAGTGTTGGCATGAGTCAAAATCAACATTCTTATTAGGAATAGAATTTGTATTTTATTGTGTAGAATTAGGAGATTTGGTATATATTTCCTATTTGTACCTACTATGTATGTAGTATATTATATACATCCACTACTACATTTTACTATTTGCGTGATGAGACTTTGCGCGATGAAGACAAATTCGTCGCACAAGAATCACTGATGCGACGGAAGAACAGATTCGTCGCGCGAAACTACAAACTTTTGCGTGACGCAAAATTTTTGTCGCGCAAAGATACTTTGGGCGACAAAATAACGAATTGTCGCGCAAAGTGGGGAAGAAAAACCCGGGAAATTTTTTTTGGCGCCAAACATTTGCGCGACGATATATTTCGTCGCGCAAAATTCCATGGTACGACGGTCACATTTTTCGTCGCGCAAAAGTGGACAGGGAAAACTGCAATACGGATTTTTTGGCGGGAAACTCTTGCGCGACGGAAATTTGTTCGTCGCGCAAAGTGCGATGTTGGCAAGTTCTCGGGCGACGGAAATTTGCATTTGCGCGACGCCATTTAATGTTTGCGCGATGAAGTGTATTTTTTCGTCGCGCAAAATTCCGATGTTGACAGGTCTTTGCGTGACGAAAAATGGTTATTTTATGCGACGAAAAAGTTGTTTTGCGTGACGAAGTGTACTCATTCGTCGCGCAAAATTTTGATGTTGACAGGTCTTTGCGTGATGAAAATTGGTTATTTTATGCGACGAAAAAGTTGTTTGCGCGACGAAACAGATACTTCGTCGCGCAAACTTCTTCTTCTACATATCTGCATTTCGCCAATGCAGAGTCAGAATGCAAAGAAAATTTTGAAAAATCTGTCTGTGCTGTGCTGCGCTGCTGTCTCTGCTGGGAATTCAATACGCTCATTGGGTAAGTATTATTTGTCGTTTGTTTAAAAGTATTAATGTAAATTCGTACTAACGGTATTAATTTTGTTCTCATTATAGACATTTGTAATTTGCTATTGTGGAGAACGATTGAGAAAGTATGTTATTCATTTTATATTACATTATTTACATTATGTTGAACTTAGTTTGTTATAGTTATATTTTTTGTTATGAAATTATATTTATATTATATTGTTAAATTGTGTGTCATAGAACAATGTGGTGTGATGTACGAAGTTAATTGAAATTAACTTCGTACTTTTATTATTATTTTTTAGTAACACTTAGTTTCCCGTTCGAGATTAGTTGGATTTCGTGCATGGATGCGTAAAGCATGACTGCGGTCCAATTAATTCTTGAATTGTCCCATTATTTGGACAGTTTGGTAATGCATAGTGTTGTCACGTAATCAACGGCTACAGGATTAGGTTTCGATTGTGGAGATTTCGGTGTCATCTCGGTATGTTCTTCGGGTGGTACGTAGGTATTTATACCCATGGCCACCTCAAGAACTGTATTGAGATGCTGGCGAAATTCATCCACGTCGAAATCTAAACTCATGTAGCCGTAGGTTACGTGGCAGGACTATGCATTCCCGAATGGGATAGGCCCTTACTGGAGGCATAAGGTGACATTATAACTTCATATGAAGTTGTTGTGATTGTTGTGTTGTGATTCTGGTTTCAGGAATTATGGACAGAAGGTGGATACAGAACCCGAACAGATGCGCAGACGAATACTTGGATGGAATCGAGGATTTTATTGAGTTTGCACATAGACACAACCCGGGTGCAACTAGAATCCGTTGTCCTTGTAGGAGGTGTAACAACACGTTGTGGGAGACAATTAAAAATGTTAGATTTCATTTAGTAAGGAATGGAATGATTGAGACATATAGCATTTGGAACCTTCACGGGGAACAATTAGAGCATGCTTCATCTTCAAATGCCACAAGAGTGGACAATGTTGAACCTATTGTGGATGCGAATGATCAAGTCATGGATATTATACAGGATGTTTTTCCATTTGCATCGACCAACATCAATCAAGAAGAAGAAGATGGCGTGCCTACACCAATAGACAGTGCGGAGTTTGAACAATATGAAAATTTGTTAAAAAATGCCAACCAAAAGTTATACCCGGGGTGCGAGAGCTTTTCCGTTCTCACGGCCATTGTGGAGCTAATGCACGGAAAAATAAAGTATCGTATGTCGAACCTGTGTTTCGATTACTTTTTGGGGGTTTTCAAGAGAATGCTTCCGACGGACAATTGTTTGCCGAAAGACCATAAACACGGGCAGAGGGTGTTGAATGGTCTGGGATTGGGTTATGAAAAAATTCATGCTTGCAAAAACAATTGCATGTTATTCTACAAAGAGCATGAATCGTTGTATACATGTCCTATATGCAATGAGTCGATGTTCAAGATGACATCTCAGAATAGGACGACTAAGATCCCACAAAAAGTCATGCGTTATCTGCCCCTGAAACCTAGGTTGCAGCGATTGTATATGTCGACGCATACTGCCACAAACATGAGATGGCATAAGGAAAAACGGGTAGACGATGATGTGATGCGGCATCCTGCAGATGGGGAGGCATGGAAAGAGTTCGATCGAACGTTCCCCGAGTTTGCTGCTGATCCCCGAAATGTTAGATTGGGACTTGCCACTGACGGATTCAATCCGTATGGGGTTCTAAACCAACACCACAGCACTTGGCCGATTTTCGTATTCCCATATAATTTGCCGCCTTGGAAATGCATGAAAAAAAGAATACATGATGATGACTGTTTTGATAACTGAGGATCCTGGGAGGTCAATCGATGTTTATTTAAGGCCGCTGGTTGATGAGCTGAAGGATTTATGGACAAACGGTGTTCGCACGTACGATAAATCAATGGGAAGATGTTCACTTTGCGGGCAGCAGTTATGTGGACTGTGAATGATTTCCCAGCATATGCAATGGTTTCTGGGTGGAGCACAAAGGGTTATATGACATGTCCTGTATGCAAGGAAGATGTAACTTCTGGTTGGCACACTGGAAAAGTTTGTTACCTTGGTCATCAGAGATGGTTGCCATGGGACCAGAGTGGAGGGAAAAAGATAAAGAGTTCGACGGGAACACAGAGCGTCGCCTCAGACCTAGAGAATGGTCCAGTGATGAGATATTGGACCAGCTTAACCAGTTGAATTTTGCTCCGTTTGGGAAAACAGTTAGTCGGATCAGACCTTCTACACATATGAACTTGACGCACAAGCCTATGTTTTTTGAGCTCCCATATTGGTCGAAACTCAAATTGAGGCACAATCTAGATGTGATGCATGTTGAGAAAAATGTATTCGACACATTGGTGGGAACGATTCTAGATATCGAGGGCAAGACAAAGGACACGATCAAAGCTCATCTTGATTTGGAAAGAATGGGCATACGAAGGGGTTTATGGATGAATAGGGACAGTGATAAAGCTAGAAGGGATCTTGCATTCTTTTCTATGAAACCGAATGACAATAAAGAGTTTCTAAAGTTTGTATCGTCTGTAAAGTTTCCCGATGGGTATGCTTCTAATATCGCACGTTGTGTAATGTTGACGGGGGTAAATTTACTGGAATTAAGAGCCATGACTGCCATGTGTTTATGCAACGCCTACTTCCTGTGGGTATTCGACACCTATTGCCGGAAGATGTAGTGAAGCCAATCATTTTGTTGTCCAGATTTTTTTCCCAACTGACGGCAAAAACATTGCGAAAGACGGACATGTTTCAGTTGCGCCATGACATTGTCCAAGTCCTATGCAAGTTTGAGATGATATTTCCTTCAGCTTTCTTCACAAGTATGATGCACGAGATAGTTCACTTGCCAGAAGAGGCATTGCTTGCTGGTCCTGTCAACTATCGCTAAATGTATCCAATAGAAAGGTATATAATCCTTATCGTTTGTGTATGCATCATTATCACATGCTTCCTAATTTGTATCATATCGTTTTATTTTGGCAGGCTTCTCGGAGAGCTGAAAAAAAGTGTACGCAACAGGGCGAAGCCCAAAGGATCAATTGTAGAGGCTTGGGTTCAAAATGAGTCGCTTACTTTCTGTGGAATGTATTTGAAAGATGTGGAGACGGTTTTCAATCGTCTTCAGCGCAATCTTGATGGAGGTATGAGAAATGAAAAACTTTCTGTTTTTGGCCCAAAGCGCACGACCCTTTGGAGATCCTGGACGAGGAGAGTCGTTTTCTAGAAATGACATGGAGGTAGCGCATTGGTTCGTACTGAACAATTGTGATGAGATCATGGCATACTTATATGAGCATGAAGAGATGATGAAGCGAGAACATCCATCACATTTGGTTGCCCAGAAACACCGTGAATTGTTTCCACAATGGTTTTTGGATTCTGTAAGTTATAAGTGTTTGTTATTTGAGAAATATAAATTGTAGTATTTAATTTTGTCAGACTAACATGTGAATGGTTTTGTATAATATTAGGTGAATAAGTTGAAATCATCGAATTCCCCCACTTACAGTGATGAGTTATATAACTTGGCGTTCGGCCCAATTCGCGCTGAATTGTTCTCGGGTTGTAATGTTAACGGCGTCAAATTTTTGGGGGTTGCACGAGATGATAAGTTGTGTACGCAAAACAGCGGTGTCCATGTCCCAGGTGGAGGCGAAAGTAGGGACATTGATTTCTATGGCAAACTCACAATGTCGTGCAATTGCTTTACATCGATACCAAGTGATCATGTTTAAGTGTCGATGGTTTGACACCAACCCAAATAGGCCGGGAAGTGTTAAAATCAATCATGGCTTACTATCTGTGAACATGAACAGAACTTGGTATGATGACGACCCTTATATTTTGGCAAACATGGCAACAAAAATTGTGTATCTAGATGACCCTAAAGCCGGGAATGGTTGGAACGTTGTTTAGAAGATGGATCATAGAAACGTGTATGCTATACCAGAACTAGACCCAACTGACAACGACGTCGACAATGTGGCTGACCAACGTTTAGAATCTTCAATGGAAAATGATGCGGAAACACTTCAGATATAAATGTTATACAAGAACCGTTTCAAATACAAGGAGTGTCTTCAATCGAAATACCGATTCAGTCAATTACAATTGACCTCGGTGATCTTCCGCGATACGATGTTGCAGTGGGCCCGAGCAACGACGATGATGTAGTTATAGAGGAGGCGGAGGAGGAGGAGGAGAAAGACGATTGGGAGACCGAAAGTGATGATAGCGACGATAACGAAAGTTATTATAGTTCAGATGATGAATGATGAATTTTGTTGTAATTTTATTATGTTAGTGGACATATTTTGTGTAGTGCAAATGTTTGAATATATGTAGTTGTTATATCCAAACATTATATATGTGGAGAAATAAAACATTATTAAAATAAATGTTGTTATAAACCATTGGTAAATCAATATATCCAAATCATTTTAATAATAAAGTTTAAATTTATTTTGACAAAACACTTTTAAAAAAAGAAAATCATAAACAAGAAAGAGAATTGGGGAGATATAGAAATATGTAAGACCCAGTTAACCAATTTCACGGAAGAAAGTAAAGGAGCAATAATAAATTTCTTGTTATATCAAGAGGTTTGTTATTGATCATTTACTATTTAGTAATTTATTTATTTACTACGTAATAAAATATATATATAACTATATATTTACAAACTGAATTATTGATCATTATTTAATTATTATAAATATGTTATTATTCATAGAAGAGAAAAAATGAATAAAAAGAAAATAAGATAGACCAAAAAACTTTCTTTGATTTGAACTCACAAAATCAACAATCCTTCAATTCTCAAATCAAAAGAGAATAGAATAAATCATACTTTCATACAATTAATTATATGTAATGATCAATAATTCAGTTTAATTATATGTAAATGAAAATAACCTTGCGCGACGAAGAAACCATCGTCGCGCGGATTTTGCGCAACGGAGAAGATACGCGTCGCGCAAACTTCAAATTTTGCGCGACAAATGTTTCCGTCGCGCAATTACATTTTGCGCGACGAAACAAGATCTCTCGTCGCGCAAACATATATATATATTTGATATATACACACGTATATATTTGAAATTGACGATCGAAGTAGTTCATTGTATTCATATAAGGTCAAAGAGTGTAGCTGTAAAAAATCATCAAAATCGGAGTCAAAATAACCGTTAAATCATGACTTTTTTTTATAACTGTCGAAAAGTTTTGTCCTGTTACTTGATCTCTGAATTTTTTTTTCCAATTTTTGGCTTATACCATCTCGAAGTATAAACAAACAAGTTTGACGGCTGGATTACTGAAACTAGTTGGGTAGAATGCGTATGCCATCAAAACACAATATTCACCAAAAATGAAGAATTTATTTATACTTTCCTTCAATATAACATAAGGTTATGTGATGTCTTGTACTGTAAATATCTGAAATTGAAGATCGAATTCAGTCTCTGTATTCATATAGGGTCAAGAAATACAGTTGTAAAAAAATTTCAAAATCGGGGTTAAAATCATCGTTGAATCATGACTTTTTGTTTAGAACCGTCGAAAAGTTTTGTCCTGTTACTCAATCTCTGAATGTTCATTTATTCCGATTTTTGACGTATACGATCTCGAACTATAAAAAAACAAGATTGCCGGTTGGATCATAGAAACTAGTTTAGGAGTTAGGGTTTAGGGTTTAGGGTATAGGTTTTAGGGTATAAGGGTATGGGTTTGCGTGATGAAACTACTATATATTTGTCGTGCAAAGAGCACAGAAAAGTCTTGCGCGACAAAACAAGTTTCCTTTCGTCGTGCGTTCTCCCTCAGAACAAAGGCACACACAAAAACACTTAGTAAAATATGGTGGCAAATCAGAGAGTTGCGCGACAAAAGGACCAATTACTCGTCGCGCAAAGGTTACACAAAGAGGCTTGCGCGACGAACCTATTTCTCTTTCGTCGCGCAATCTGAGGAAGAATTTTAGCCCCTCTCCGCCCCAACACTTAGTAGTAATTGTTTGGCAAATCAGAGCGTGGGCAACGAAAGGAACAAGTATTCATCTCGCAATGGTTACAGATAGAGTCTTGCGCGACGAACCTAAGTCAGTTTTGTCGCGCAATCCGAGGAAGAATTTCAGCCCCTCTCCGCCCCAACACTTAGTAAAATTTTTTTGGCAAATTAGAGCTTGCGTGACGAATGTCTCTTTCATTGCGCAATATCATTTCATTTAACTCCCCGCGCAAAATTGAATCCCAAAATTTGGGCGGATGGACAAACTTGCGCGATGAAACAAGTACTCTTCCGTCACGCAAAATGTGCAAACCCTAAACACTAATCCCAAATTTTGGCGGAGATGGTGACGTTGCGCGACGGAAATGTAATTTATTTCGTCGCGCAAAATTGATTTAAATGAATTTTGCGCGACGCATTTACTTTTTCATCGCGCAAAGTCGAATAAGTTTTCTAAAACTCGCGATCTTCTCCTTCTTCCCCAGTTTCTCAAATCCTCCCTAAAACCTCTCTCTCTCTCCGCCGTGACCTCAGTCCCTACTCCGCCCCAATTCAGACCTGGCCGCCACAATTGTCGAACCCCAGAGCTTCCCCGCCGTCGCCGTCCATCCTGCCGCCGTGATTTCCTTCGTTTAAGCCAAATCTTCGCCGTCGTTGCGTGTGGTGGCGCGTGGGGTACTGTAGCATTGGGCATTGGGTCCCAGTGCAATCCCTCGTTGTCACGAGTGCGTAGGTGTGCTCGGATTGGAATTTGGTTACCGTTTGAGTCTCGAACGGATTTTCCCTATTGGTTACCGGGTTTGATATGTTCGGACCATTGGATCAAGCTCAAACTCACGTATGTGGTACCATGTATTTAGAGGATTGTTTAGGATTCGACGGATCGTGGATCGGAGTCCCGAATACTCCGAAATCACAAACCCTAGGTCAAACTATGATTTTAATTAATTAGTTCAATTTTTTAATGGCATTGTATGTGCTAAATTTGATTAATTTGTATGTGTATTAATGAAATTGTGCAGATGTCAGACTTGATTAAACGTCGTGGGGCGGTGACGACTACACCGAGTTTGGAGGCCCCGGCTCAGCCGGCATCAGCTGCCACTGCTCCAGCACTGATGGAGCAGGACCACGTGCTAGCTGGTCTCGGGGGATCCCAGGCGCCTGCATCATAAGATTCTTCGGTGGTGCAGCCTATTAGCGCTAGGCGGCGGCATCGACACCGGCACCACCACCGTCAGGTATATATACCCTTCCACTTTCGTTTTATTTATTTATTTATTTATTTTATGGTTAAAATTGTTATTTATTTAACAGTATTGTCCTCTCCCTTTGCAGCCAAGAGGAACACCCGAGGGCCGTGTCGGCAGCTGAAGACGGCGAAGGTCACCCGGGTGACCAACAGTCGTATCAGCATCAGATATGACGAGCACCATCGGGCTGCACCGACGGCCGAGTTGCATAGCTCCTTGGCCCACGACATTGGCCATGTCGTTCGGACCCATTGCCCGATGCAATGGAAGTTTTGGAAGGTCATGCCTGACGAGATCAAGATGGAGGTTCGCGGCCAGTTGTCGGTATGTTTCCTATCTTTTAATTATTTTTCTTTCAAACTCTATATATTTCTATTACTTAATGTATGTAATTAATTTATTGCAGACGAACTACCACTTAGAGGACCTCAACGAGGAGTCGATTGTGTACGTCAACAGACTCTTCGGTGAGAGGTACAAGCAGTGGAAGAGCGACTTGCACCACCATTTTGAGGCATTTGATGATCCGCAAGTCGCTCTTCAGGAGGGTTGCCCGAAGGAGCTTGAGGGGCGGGAGGATAGTTGGGCGTGGCTCTGTGCTCATTTTCAGGCGCCCGATTATGTGGTATTTTTTTAATTATTACATATTTCTTATTAATGTTTATTTTATTTTTATATGTTATTATTATTTAATTTATTTATATTTCAACAAATACGTTTTATTTTTTGTATAACAGAATATAGCCCAAGTGAATAAGGGCAATAGGAAGAAGAAGACTCTTCTCCACCATTCCGGCTCTAGGCCCTTCTCATATAGGATGGATGCACGGCGTTGGGTAAGAACAATATAATTTATATTTAATTTTTAATACATCATTATTATTAATTTATTTTGTTCATACTAATATTTTCCTTCTCTTGTTCAATTTAGGGGGGGTCGAAATTTAGGGGGGATCGACGTCTTTGGTGATGTTTATGTTTGACCTGGGAATGAGTGGGCCGAATCCCTTCATGTAATTATTATTTAATTTTAATTCTTATGTTACACTTTCAATTTATATGCATGTTTTTATTTATATTTTATGTAATGAGAGGAGCCAGTTGGTTCTTCAAAAGTCCGCCTCCCAACTTCCTCCCGAGACTCCGATAGAGTCTGTGGATCCTCCACAGGATGTTGGATTTCAGATTTTGACGCAAACGTTGGATCAGACACTCGGGAGGAGGCCGAGAACATATTGTAGGGGGATGGGGAATGCCCGACAGAGGGAACCTCGACTGCGGTCATCGTCGCAGGCAAACAATCAGGTGACTATTTTGATATCGCGGGTTGCCAAGCTTGAGGGTCAGATGTCGGTGATTCTGCAGTCCCTAGCGCAGTCCGGCATTCCAATCCCGAATTTTGGTGCGCCGACCTCCGAGCCTGTCCACCCCGAACATCCCCAGCAGACCACAGGCCCTGTAGATGCCCAGACCACCGAGCCGCATGTGGCAGATGACCAAGTAGATTTTGGAACATTATTTGATTAGTTTTTTATTTTTATAATTACTTTTAAAATATTTCTCTTGTATATATTTATTTTATTTTATATAATAAATGTTTTCTTTACGATTAATCTTTTTATTGCAATTTCATTTTAATTTAAAAAAAAACCAAATTAATTTTTTTCCAAAATTAAAAAACAAATAATATTAATTTTTTATTATATATAATATATATTACTTTTGCGCGATGAAATGTATATCGTCGCGCAAAATCATTTAAAAAAAAACGTTGAAAAATATATTTTTAATACACTTCATTTAATCATGCGCGACGAAGAGTTTCGTTGCGCGAAATGTGGATGCGCAATGGCGTTTTTCGTCTTGCAAAGACTAATTGTGCGAGGAAGGTGTTTTCGTCGGGCAAATTTCACGTATCTCGTGCGACGAAGAACTCCGTTGCGCATTCTTGGTGCGACGACCAGCCTTTCGTCGTGCAAACGTTTGTGCGACGAAACGTTTTTTGTAACGAAGGTGCTACGTCGCACTCTTTTGCGCGACGAAGGTTATAAATTCGTCGCGCAAAGTCTTTCTTCACGATCTTTGCGCGACGAAACTTTTGTCGCGCATAATTATGTGAGACTAAAATCATGTTTGCACGACGAACATTCCTTTGTCGCGCAAAGCCTAAAATGTAGTAGTGATCCTTCCTTGAGAAAATAATAAATATATGAGTTTACACCCTAATTATTTTGAGTAAGTCCTGAATTTGCAGGAACCAAACTTGTTGCACTGCACCTGCAAGGAAGCAAAGAGAAAAGCCCCTCCAACCAAAGCTCCAGTCATGTTTCAATTCTTTGCAAAGGATTATGGATCTTCTTGTTCAGTTTTGCAGCAAGTTTTGAAGGGCTGTTGAGAACTTGAGATATTATGTGACTCAATATTTCATTGATTTTGAGTCTTCGAGTGAGATCATTACTCCCAGATATACTTAAAAAAAAAAAAAAAAAAAAACAAAAAAACAAGAACAAAACAAAAAGACCCTTTTGTAAAGCGGATGACCTACTACACGGTTTCTTTGACACGGTTAATTTTCTGTCCGGTGGAGCATTAACTGAGGAGCCTCATTTATATAAGAAGTCACATCACATCATTTATATAATAAGCATTGATCATAATAATTAAGTTGTTTTTATATTATTTACAAACAACTAACATTATGTTGTAAAGATTAATAATTAATAATTAAGTTGTTGGTCATTTACTATATAACATGTACTAATAGAGAAACGCTCAAGCGCCAAGCCGTAGGCCTCCAATCCGCCAAGAATGGAGGATAATCTCCAATCCGCCAAGAATGTATGCATCCATATTCCATAGGGATAGAGAAATAACGCTCAAGCGCAAACCGATTAATAAATAAAACAACTCTAATAACTCATTTAGGCCCTTATCTTTTTTCTTATTATATAATTTTTCTATTTAAACCCTACACTTTTCTTTGTTCACCCTAATACTTAAATCATTAAGCTCTTAAGTTTTATTATTGTGTAAAAAGACAAAAAAAAAATGTCATCCAACTTAATTCCTAACCCTAATACATCTATGAACACACCCCACACACCCTGACGGGTTTGGGATTCCTAATTACTATAGGATTCTCAGATATTTAGGTTTGTTTTATGTTTCAAATATGTCCCTACACTTGTTTTACTGTTTTTAACTATTTCCTTATGCACGTTACCACGTTTCTATTAGTATCACTAGTAAAATATCACCCTTGCGCGACCACATTTTGCGCGACGAAAAATTATTCGTTGCTCAAAGTCACTTTGCGTGATGAAACACAAAACTTCATCACTACAAACCTTGCGCGACAAAATTTTACCCGAGGAATTGTTTTTCGTCACGCAAAATCACTTTGCGCGACGACAATACATCATCGCGCATAGTCTTGAGCGACCAAATTTTGAGCGACGAAAAACTATTCGTCGCGCAAAGTGACTTTGCTCGATGAAAAACAATTCATCGTGCAAAGCTACTTTGTGTGATGAAAGACAATTCATCGTGCAAAGTCACTTTGCGCGACAAAACAATAAACTTCGTCGCGCAAAGTCCTTATAAAAATAAATAAAATAAAAAATTCTTTTTTAAAATATTTTTGTTAGGAAATATATTTTTTAAATTGACGATCGAATTAGTTCATTGTATTCATATAGGGTCAAAGAGTGTAGCTGTAAAAAATCATCAAAATCGGAGTTAAAATAACCGTTAAATCATGATTTTTCATTTATAACCGTTGAAAAATTTTGTCCCATTACTTGATCTCTGAATGTTTATTTTTTCTGATTTTTGGCGTATATGAGCTCGAAGTATAAACAAACAAGTTTGACGGTTGGATCGTTGAAACTAGTGTCGTAAAATGCATATGCCATCAAAACAATATATTCACTAATAATTAAGAGTTTGTTTATACTTTTGTTAAATACAACATAAGATTTTGTGGTATCCATTAGTGTGAATATTTTAAATTGACAATCGAATTAGTTCATTGTATTCATATAGGGTCAAGGAGTGTAGCTATAAAAAATCATCAAAATCGGAGTTAAAATAACCGTTAAATTATGATTTTTCATTTATAACCGTCGAAAAGTTTTGTCCCATTACTTGATCTCTGAATGTTAATTTTTTCCGATTTTTGGCATATATGATCTCGAAGTATTAACAAACAAGTTTGACGGTTGGATCTTTGAAAATATTTTTTTAGAATGCGTATGCCATCAAAACAATATATTCACTAACAATAAAAGTTTATTTATACTTTTGTTAAATATAACATAAGATTTTGTGGTATCCACTAGTGTAAATATTTTAAATTGACGATCGAATTAGTTCGTTGTATTTGTATAGGGTCAAGGAGTGTAGTTATAAAAAATCATCAAAATTGGAGTTAAAATAACCGTTAAATCGTGATTTTTCATTTATAACTGTTGAAATTTTTTGTCCCGTTACTAGGTCTCTAAATGTTTGTTTTTTGCAATTTTTGGGGTATACGATCTTGAAGTATATACAAACAAGTCTGACAGTTGGATCGTTGAATGGTATGTGTATATATATATATTTATTTACTTATTAAGTAGCTTTAAATTTATTTATTTTGTACGTATAACAATTAAGAAATTGAATAGTATATACATTTATTAAGTATCTTTAACCTTATTTATATTTTAAATCGTAAAATAAAATAATTTTATTTTTTATTATTCGTAGCAATTATTTTTATAAATATCGTGCTACGAGCCAATTTTTCGTCTCTCAAAAGTTTGCGCGACCAACAATTCGTCGCGCAAAACTCTAAAAATTTGGGCGGATACCAAAAATGGGACGTGGGATTTAAAATAAATAAATAAATTACAAATTTATAAATAAACCCAATCCTAGACATGTATTTATAAAAAAACCCAAGCACTATTTAAACATAGAAACACACCCAAAATCAACCCCAAAGTCAACTTTTTGGGTGTGTTTATAAATGGGTTTTGAGTGTGTGTAATGATGGGTTTTGGGTGTGTTTATAAAGTGTTTTGGGTGTTGGGTTTTTTTATAATTTCAACCTCCATTTTGGGTGTTTTAGTGAAATTCCCTAAATAAATTTAGACTTTGCACGACAAATATTTTGTGTGGCTCAAAACTTTGCGAGACCAATATATATTTTTCGTCGTGCAAAAATTTGGGTGGGTACCAAAAATGGGACGCGGGAATTTTTTTAGACTTTGCGTGACCAATATGTATTTTTCGTCACGCAAAAATTTCAAAATTTGGGCGGGTACTAAAAATGGGACGCAAGGATTTTTTTTAATTTTTTTTTACTTTGCGCGACCAATATGTTTCGTCGCACAAAACCTTGCGCGACCAATATTCCAATATTTTTCGTCACGCAAAAATTTCAAAATTTGGACGGGTACCAAAAATGGGACGCGGGATTTTTTTTGATTTTTTTTTACTTTGCGCGACCAATATGTTTCGTCGCGCAAAACATTGAGTGACCAATAATCCAATATTTTTCGTCGCGCAAAGTGATACGGTTTTTAAAATGAAAATAACTCCTCTACCATTTTCTCAATGTCTTTCTCTTACCTCTCCTCTCTCTTTCCCTATCCACAAATCCCACCATTTCTCTCACACTCACTCCTCTCACTTAATCTCTCATCATCTCTCTCTTCACTATCTCTCACTCTCACTCACTCTCTCATCTCTCTTTTCACTATCTCTCACTCTCACTCACTCTCTCATCTCTCTATCACTATCTTCTCTAATTCTCTCACACTCACTTCTCTCTCTCATTCTCACTCACTCTCAATCTTGCAAAAAGGTATATTCTCTCCAAATTTTAAATTTTTTTCATTAATATGTGTTTTTGGAGTTACACTACTACAAAAAGTGACAAAGACGACCAGAAAAAAACGACGGTCTAAGTGAAAACCGTCGTTGTTTTTTAAAAGACGACAGTTCTATAAAACCGCCGTGTAATAACACCTTAGACACCTAAAAAATGGAGATTCAAATGGCTGTTCCTTAAACACGACGTACCTAATTAAAAAACCGACGTCTTATTGAAATAGGATTTCCGAGTAGTAAAATCAAAGCCAACAAAGAACGGCAGAAGTTATGAACCGATCGACGTAGAAAGTAAAGACGACGATTTCAAAAAAAGCCGCCGTTTTTACCCAGAAATTAACATGACCAAGTTTTCGTATAAGGCGCCGTATAATTACAAATAAATCCACGGCAGTAAAATACAAAATACCGCCGTATTAAATTAATGTACAACTACGGCAAAGAGAAATATAACGACGTCTTTCTCGTATAGTTCTACGACGATATCTTTAAATCTCACCACGTTGGGGTTTTCATTTAACGACGTATTATAAAATTTAACATCGTATTTATTCACTTTATACGTCATACATTATATTTAAACCGTCGTCTTAATAAGAATTTCTTTTAACAATTTATTTCTTGGATTTTGTTATCCTACGTCGGTAGATCTACTTAATGAGAAGAATTGAAATAACCACGACGGTTTATATAGAAAACCGCCGACATAATCAGATTTTTCTGAGATCACAAGGGTTAGGAAATCTTACAAGATGAAACTCTGTTCCTCATCATAATTTTACCAGAAAGACAATAACGCACATACACATTAACATCCAAAAAATTGCCTCTGAAATTTGACGACGGCAGCCTCAGATTTGCAATCAGAGAGACAATTGTTCGGAAGTTGATGATATGTGTGCGTTTGTGTATCTACACAAACGCACACACACATCAATATCCAAACAATTGCCTCCTAAAATTTCACGATGGCAGCCACAGATTTGCAATCAGAGACACAATTTTTTGAAAATTGGTGATGTGTGTATGTTTGTGAATCAGATACACAAACATACACACACACCAACATTCAAACAATTGCCTCCTAAGAGATGAGGTGAGACAGAGAAAGGGGCAAGAAGAAGTTGAAACCCTAATCGAATACTAAAACTGAAAGAACCCGTGAAAAAAAACCCTATTTATAATTAAAAAACCAAATCCATGTCAGTTATATTACACCTAACGACGTTTAACAAAAAGAATCCACGTCGCGGAAAAAATACATTATGTCGTCTTAGTCTTACTTAAGATGACAAAAAAAGACGACGGTATAACAAAAAGCAGTCGTTGTTTTTATATTCGTATTTGATTTAAATTAGTCACCCAAAAAAGAAACTTTACAAATTCTAGAACATTAATTTCCTCGGGAAAAAAAAACTCTATTTATAACACACTGTTTTTGAAAAATAAACTGAAAGAACAAGGGAAAAAAAATTCTATTTATAATTATAAAAGTAAAATCCACGTCGCGAAAAAAAAGAATCCACGTCGCGAAAAAAATATTGCATCGTCTTAGTTAAAAAAAGACGACGGTAGAACAGAAAACTGTCATTGTTTCAATTTCTTTAACCGTTCTCTTTCTGCAGGACTTGGATAGTTCAAAGCATTGACAGCTGAAGCCATCTGATTCGATTGCTCAGGCTGTAGAGGCCATCTGAAGCCATTTCTATTCTTTATCGCATTCTTGTAAACCCATCTTCTTCTTCAGAAGCTCTACGGATAAAGGAACAGGCTATCACAAATCTGACGGATCTTCTTAGCCAAGAAAATCGAGCAGAGGAGCACATCTGATCTTCAGGTTTCCCTGAGAAGCAAACTTTCCTTCGAAAGCGAGTGGAGGCCAGGCTTGCATCTCTTTTGATGGAAAGCAAGGAGTATTCAGAAGCACTAAGTCTCTTATCAGGCTTGACAAGCTTCCTCTTGTGGACATAGATTTGTTGGAGAGTAAGCTCCACTTCTCATTGAGAAAGACATCCAAATTATTGTCTTTGAGATGTGAGAGAGAGTTTCTGTGTGAGAGGAAGAACTTGGAAATCTAAATGAAAACTGAAACTGAAAGAAAGCGACAAATTTATACAATAAATTTTTAAAACCCACAGCGGTCCTTACACACAAACCGCCGTTTAATTCTAAAATCCACGTCGGTATTTACAAAAAAACGACGTATATTATAAAAATCAACGTCGGTATCTTACAAAAAAACGATGTGTTAAATACTTCTACCATGACGCGAGATATTAATTTATCGACTTTTATTTTGGAGTTTACTACGACGGTACCTACAACACTACTGTCGTATTTATTTACGACGTCCTAAGTTCAAATTATCGTCGTAGTTTGTTTATTTATACGTCGTCGTTCTATGTAAACCACTGTCTTATTTTTATGAAACGGTTTGTATATATATACAACTTTTCGTCTACCTGACTTACACATGCACTGTTTCCAAACTCGAGAAAAAAATTTCAATCTCCCAGAGAAAACTTTTCGTCTTTTTTTCCTTGTCAGAGCACTGTTAGAGTATCTCATCGTCTTCCTCTCGTCTTCGTCGTCGTCTCTGAACTTAAACACCAAACTCAGAGAGAAAGCTTTCATTGCATGCAAAAGGTAAGCTTTCATTTCTCACTATTTTTGTTGCTACTTTGCATGCTCATACGGTTTTTGTTTTGAAAATATTTTTACCTTTTTTCTGGCCAAAATCATTTTAATTCTTTCCAAGTTTGATAAAATATACAACAAAGAGGGAAAGTTTCCAACTTTGAACACAACTACATCAACTAAATAAGACGACGGTAGCTTCTTATTTACGTGGTTAAATATGTAGACCACGACAGTTTGTCAGTCGTCCTAGCGTCGTCTGAAAATTGATCTAAGTTGTTTTTAAAATGACTGTCGTTTTTTTATTTGCTTGTTTAATTGCAGGTTTGATTTCTCTGAACCATGGTTTTTATTTTTCCTAATTTGATAAAATACAAAGCCAAAGAAAGTAGGGTTTGGTATCTTATATAGATGATGGTATCTTATTATTCACACCGTGTGTATGTTAATACCACGACGTTATACTAAGATACCATCGTCTATATAAGATGCCAAACCTTTCTTTCTTTTTCTTTGTATTTTATCAAATTAGGAAAAACAAAAACCATGTTTCAGAGAAATTAAACCTGCAATCAAACATTCACAGAGAAAGAAAAAGGTTTTTGGATTCTTATACAGACGACGATATCTTATTATTTACGTCGTGTGAATGTCCATACCACGACATTATATTAATATTAACGTCGTGTGAATTTAAATATCACGACGTCGTGTAAATATCGCCGTAATAAGTTCTTATTACGTCTTCTTTTATATTGTTTCGTCGTTGTTTAAGTACTCTCGTTTTAAACATTTATTACGTATGATGTTATGTTATTGTGTCGTGTAAAATCTTATCATACGTTGTGTTTTATAAATAACCATCGTTTGTGTTCTTAATTTTTTCCTGAAATATTTTCACTTGCAGGTTTGTTTTTTCTGTAACCATGGTTTCTCAAGACCAAAGTAAGGACTCTGGCTCCAAAAAAAATGGAGGTAAGGAGCTTGGAATGGTAACTCCTCAAGACAAGCCCTTGAAGAAGATGAAGTTTGTTTCATCTGTTGAGACAGAACCAACCAGCTCAACAACAATTTCTGAGGATTCAAAGTTAGGTCGAGGTATGAGCACAATGCCTCGTGTTGTGAAGAGAAAATTTCAGAAAATCAAGCCAGTTGTTGAGTACAATAAAAGGGGGAAAGCCGTTGACATGGCTTTTGTGGTAGGTCAAGGGGGCAAGAACTCGGTGTTATCTTCTGCTGCCAAGAAATGGAAGGATTTCAAGTCTACACTAACGAGGCATTATATCCTTCCATACATCAAGGAGAGGGAGAAATTAAGCCAACCCCCTGAAATATATAAATTCATAGAGAAAGCAGAATGGGATGCCTTTGTAGCTTCAAGGATATCTAAAGAATTTGAGTCTGTGCATTCTCAACATTCACAGATTAGGGAGAAACTTGAGTACAATCATCGATTGTCTCGAAAAGGATATGCTGGTTTGGAGGATCAATTGGAGGAAACCATGCTTGGGGTAGAAATTGATCGATCTACCTTATGGAAGAAAACTAGACAAGACAAACATGGTAACATCCCAGATCCAAAGGTGGCAAAGAAAGAAAAATTAATTGTAAGCCTACACACTATGTTTTAAATTTTTATTAAACTGTGTATAATTCTTATTACGTCTTATGTTATATTTTGCGTCGTGTGAATGACATTACTAAGTCGCAATGTTTTAAAAACGTCATTAAAGGTCTATTTTGTTTTATTAAACTGTGTATAATTCAAATTACGTCATATGTTATTTTGGCGTCGTGTGAATGATACTACTACGTCGAAATTTTTTAAAAAACATCGTGAAAGGTCTAAATCTGGAATCACTACTATGTTTCGTTAATTATAGCATAAGACGTCGGTGGTTAATTTTTGCGTCGTGTGAATGATATTACTACGTCTAAATGTTTTAAAAAACGTCATTAAAGGTCTGAATATGGAATCACTGCTCTGTTTTCTGTAATTATAGCATAAGATGTCGGTGGTTTATTTATTGTGTCGTTTGAAATGAATAACCACGTTGTTAGTAACTAACGTCGTTATAAAATTATAATAATGTCGAGTTCTATGTTATTGCGTCGTGTGAAATTTTATAATACGTCGTTTGTTTATAAATAACCGTCGTGTGTTTTCTTGTGCTTACTTTTTTATATATATTTGTTTTAGGATGAATTGCAAAAACGAGTCTTGGAAGGCAGTCTCAGTGTATCTGGCAGCAATGATGTGTTGACCATGGCTTTGGGTCCCGAGCATCCAGGGAGAGTGAGAGGGGTAGGTGCTGGGATTTCCCCTAGGCAGTACTTCAATTTACCCAAACAACAGAGGATTAAGTTTGCAAATCATTTAAAGGAAAGTGTCAGACTTGTCCTTCAAGAAGAGACTAAGAAGATGGAAGCTAGGTCAAGGGAAGAGACTTTAAGGATGGAGGCTGAGAGGGAAAATTTACTGAGTCAGCTTTCCCAACTCATCCCCAATTTTGATCCAAGCATGCTTAAACCTAAAACTAGCCCCTGTCAAAACCAAAGTCCCAAAAATCCAATGTCTGACAAAGCAAGCTGCTCTGGGGCTGATGTGAGATCCCTACATTTTGAGGATGACATTGCCAAAAATGGGGAACAACAGTAAGAAACGGTAACATATCTGAACTTTAAATTCTCTGTTTTTTTAAAAACTATTAGACGTCGTTATTATGAAGAAAACCGTCGTTTGAAAATCATACCACGATGATTTTATAAATAAACCGTCGTTTGAATTTCAATACCACGTTGTATTTAGTGTACTTGATTTTATAAATAAACCGTCGTTTGAATTTCCATTAGATGTCGTACTTTTGTGGTTTTTAGACGACGGTTTTAGTCCTTACCGACGTAATAGACAAATCCCACGACGTTTATTATGTACCATCGTTTAATAATTTTAAGACGTCCATAATTCTTACATACCGTCTTATGTTATGCCTTACCACGACGTTTTGATTTAATTTTTTTACTTTCTGTACAATCTGTCTTATATATATATATTTCTTTATTACTTAAAATAGAAATCTGGGGATTTAGAAAATCAAGATGAAGAGAAGAAAGAAGAAAGAAAAGATGAAGAGAAGAAGGAAGAAAAAAAAGATGAAGAGAAGAAGGAAGAAAAAAAAGAAGAAAAAAAAGATGAAGAGAAAAAAGAAGAAAAACAAGATGAAGAAAAGCACGACGAAGAGGTATATTCTCATAACTTTGCCTTTTTTATTTGTTTTTCAAATTTCAGACGTCAATATTTTTCTTTAAACCGTCGTTTGTTTTCAAATTAGACATCGGAATTTGTTTCCTATGACGTAATAAATTATTCAACACGACGGTTTTTTATTACAGTCGTTTAAATTATTATCAGACGACGTTGTTTTCTTTAAACCGTCGTTTTTATTGAATTACCACGTCATTTTATTTTGCTTTATTTCTTTAAACAGGGTACTGAAGTAGTTGATTATTCAAATGTGGAGGTGCCATCTTCCTTACAATCCCTTTGTCGTTATGTGGAAACGACACTAAAGCCTCAGGAGAAGATCATGACCTTCACAATTGAGAAGGAGGTGTTTGGTGCAGATCGCAGTACCTTCGTCTTGCATGAAGATATTACACAGTTAGCAGGCATGGAAGAAATTGGGGCTACTGTGGTTGCAGTATATATGAGGTTTGTCCTTATCAAATATTTATTTCACACTCAAATTTGTGTTTGAAAAAAAAAAACATTATAGCATAAGACGTCGGTGGTTTATTTATTGCGTCGTTTGAAACCACTAACCACGTCGTTCTTTTTTTACCGTCGTGATAAATTAGTTATAACGTCTGTTTCTATTTCAGTTCGTCGTGTGAAATTGTATAATACGCCATTTGTTTATAAATAACCGTCGTGTGTTTTTTTGTGCTGACTTTTTTTATATATCTTTGTTTTATATATTTAGGTGCTTATATGATCGTTTGAGAGAAGCAAATATGTGCAGCATGGTTGGCTTTATCGACCCTGCTCAAGTTAGTGCCAACGCTGGGTCACTAACTGACAGATCACGAATTGTAGCCAGTCGTCTTTAGAAGACAGATGGTGAACAGATTTTCATGATGCCTTACAATCCCGGGTTAGTCTCCTTAAAAGGATTTTGTTTGTATGATTTTCACTAACTCACTGCGTATAAAACTGTTTAACTAATTTTGTGCCGTTTGAAACATCTAACCATGTCGGTTCTTTATTTATTGAGTCGTTTGAAACAACTAACCACGTCGTTAGTTAATTACCGTCGTGATAAATTTATAATGAAGTCGATTGCTACTTTATTTCGTCGTGTGAAACTGTATAATACGTTGTTTTTTATAAATAACCGTCGTTTGTTTTCTTGTGCTGACTTTTATATTAACCGTCGTTTTTTATGTTAATTTTGTGCAGCCGTCATTGGGTCTTGCTGATTGTGAGAGCAAAGAGGGAAACTGTCTATTTTCTGGATCCTCTGCCCGGAAATCGTGTGGTTGATGAGGAGGGCAAAAACATCGTGAACAATGCTTTAAAAATTTATAATTCCCACATAGGCAGACCAGGCCGTAAAGCACCAATTTGGAAAACTCTGCCAGGCACACCAAAGCAACCCAGCAGTGTCGAATGCGGGTATTATGTGATGCGCTTCATGAGGGACATCATCATGGATCCTTCCTTGGAGTTTGAGAAGAAGGTAAGAAGAAAATTTTCAGAAACATTTTATGTGGTTTTTTGTATTATCAACGACGGTCCTTTAAAATTACCGTCGTTGAATCAATATACTACGTTGGTTATGAAAAATAGTGTCGTCTGTGATTGAATTTCTTTTTATTTTGTAAAGCTTAATAATCATTGTTTATGGATTGCAGTTTGCCAAGGGAAAAGAGCAAGCGCCATACCCCCAAGCAGCCATTGATGAAGTCCGGAATGAATGGGCAGAGTTTGTTTGCCTTCATATGAGTAGAGGATTTTTGGAACACTTGATATTTTTATATAATGTAGCAATTTTGTCTATAATATATAATGTACAAATTTTGTCTATAATATACATCCTTTTTTTCCCTAAAAATTTGTTGAGGTTTTCATAATTTAAAAGAAAAAACAAATTGCGTAACCGACGTGTAATAACTTTCCAACGACATAATTATGTCAAAAACCGACGTAAAAGGATATTTAGACGACAGATATGACGTGGTAATTAAATTACACGGCGACACCTTTTTTGTTTAAGTCGTGATGTACCGTTTGTACGTCCATGGGACGTCGTTTTATTGAAAATTTCGCCATGGTTTCACTTTGAAACGACGTCCTTTGAACAAGTAAGTCGTTTATTATATTTACAACGTCGTTACTTTCTTAAAGTCGACGTGGTTTGTTGTGTTTGTAGGAATATTTTATTCTATTTCATTCAAAATATTCATAATAAATTTAAAATATGTCAAAAAAATGCAACGTCAACTCCTATGAAGTCATTGATATATTTTCTTCCCCCTAAACCTTAAAAAAATTCAGTTTGAGTAATACAATTTTAAAATGAGCACCCAAAAATAAATTGTTTTGATGAGTCATAACATCACTTATAGTTTGAGGTTTAGGGTTTAGGGTTGAGGGCTTAGGGTTGTTATTTATTAGGGTTTAGGGTTAAAGGATAATTTATTTTTGGGGTTTACGGTTTATGTTTGTTATATATTAGGCTGTAAAACCATAAACAATTTTATAAAATTATATTTTAAAAATATATAATTTAAAGTTTAGGGTTTAGGTTATTACTTTTTAACGACGGTGATTGAGTCGTGGAATATTGAGTTTACGTCAGATGGAGAAACATCCGCCATGGTTTCTCTTTTAAACGACGTCCTTTTTACAAGTGAGTCATTTATTATTATTTACAACGTCTTTAATTAATTAACCCCGACGTGGTTTGTTGTTGATATAAGAATATTTTATTATTTTTAATTCAAAATATTCAAAATAAATCCAAAAAATGCAATGTCAACTCCTATGAAGTCATTGATATATTTTCTTCCCCCTAAACCTCAAAAAAATGCAGTTTGAGTAATAAAACTTTAAAATGACCACCCAAAATAAAATTGTTTTGATGAGTCATAACATCACTTATAGTTTGATGGTTTAGGGTTTAGGGTTTGGGGTTTATGATTGTTATTTATTAGGGTTTAGGGTTAAAGTATAATTTTTGGGGTTTAGGGTTTATGTTTGTTATATATTAGGCTGTAAAACCATAAACAATTTTATAAAATTATATTTTAAAAATATATAATTTAGGGTTTAGGGTTTAGGGTATTACTTTTAACGACGGTGATTGAGTCGTGGAATATAGAGTTTACGTCGGATGGTGAAACATCCACCATGGTTTCTCTTTTAAACAACGTCCTTTTTACAAGTGAGTTGTTTATTATAATTTACAACGTCATTAATTTATTAACCCCAATGTGGTTTGTTGTTGATATAAGAATATTTTATTATTTTTAATTCAAAATATTCAAAATAAATTTAAAATAAATCCATAAAATGCTACGTCAACTCCTATTGGTTCAATGGACGACGTGGTTTCTTCAAAATAAACGGCGTTATGTGCAGTGTTTGAGTCGTGGAATACTATATTTACGTCGGTTTTGGTAGAACTTTCGCCATGGTTTTTCTTAGTTTTGACGACTTCTATTTGATTTTGCATCGTACATAGTTTTACCACGACGTCTTTAATGTAATAAGCATCATGTTTAAAGTGAACTTTTAATGACGGTTGTTTTTTCCGTCGATGTTTTAAAGAGCACGCTTTCTAAAAATATTCGCGCGACCTAAAATTTTCAGATTTGGCTCTTAGTTTTATACTTTTAACCCTGAACCCTAAAATTTTCAGATTTCGCTCAACATAACATTTCGCTCTCTCACTTCATCTCTAATTCAAAGTTGGGCTCTCCAGGCTCTGTCGAATCCAAGTAGGCCATAATCTGTGAGCTCTGCTAACCTGTAAGTACAAACCCTCTCTTCCCCTTGTAAATTCATTGAATAATATTAGGTTGTTTTGTTAAAGGGTTTTAGATATATGTTTTGCAATCTGTTAATAATGTTGTTGGAGGTATGGGTTCATGAAGTTTTTGTTTAATGTTTTCTTGATCACTCTCTGTTATGTTGAATAAGGAATGGATTTAATTTTGTCGGATCTTTTAATCACTCTCTGTTATGTTGAATTGGGAATGGATTTATTGTTTTCATGCTTAGTATATGTTGGTTTCATGTATATGTTGTGTTTTTAATAGGGTTTTAGGATCTTGAAAATAAATTGGGATATCGACGCGTTTTTAGGCATACGACGACGGTTTTTTTAATAAACCATCGTTTGTATTACTTATACACGACGGTGTTCTTTAACTACCGTCGTGGTTATAATTAGACGACGTTTGTTGAAAATCCGTCGTCTATATATGTCAAATACATCTGTTTTTGTTTAAAAACCGTCGTCTGTGTTGTATATTACTTGCTATTAGAACTTTATATAATCTGCTATAGTGATGGTCATTGCTTGTCTTTTCACTATATTATATATAATAGGGTATAGTGTCGGAGATGGATAAGTCATGGATGCACTCGGATAGAAGATCGAAGGCATATGAGTTAGGGGTGGAAGCATTTTTGAACTTTTCTGTAAAAAATCTTCTAACTACAACACATATCCGTTGTCCATGTGTTAAATGTGTTAATTTGAAATTGTTTGGGGTTGGAATTATAAGGGATCACTTATACTTTAATGGAGTTGACCAAATCTATAAGAATTGGACATTTCACGGAGAACCTTGGAAAGCAACTACTAATGCTAGTAGAAATGTTGAAGAAGATGATGACCATAGTAGGCACAGTTTTGTGTCTGAATAAATAGAGATGGATGATAATGATTTTGGTGATTTTGGATCTGATCCTTATGAGTTTGCCAATGTGATTGGGGATGGAGATCAACCATTGTACCCTGGTTGTAGAAAGTACACGAAGTTATCGACGTTAGTGAAGTTGTATAATTTGAAGGCAAAACATGAGATGAGTGATGTATGTTTTACAGAATTATTGATACTTCAAGGCGATTTGCTTCCAGAAGGAAATACAGTACCGGCCTCTATGTATGAGGCAAAAAAGACTTTGTGTGCAATGGGGCTGACTTATGAGAAAATGCACGCATGCCCCAATGATTGCATCTTGTATAGGAAGGAGTATGAGGATTCAACTAATTGTCCTACCTGTGGTATCTCAAGTTGAAAGAGGGTGTGCCAGCGAAGGTGGTGTGGTATTTTCCTCCAATTCCAAGGTTTAAAAGGATGTTTCTATCACATGAGACAGCTAAGAGTTTGACTTGGCACGCTACTAGAAAATCAATTGACGGTCAGATGTCTCATCCAGCGGATTCCCCGTCTTGGAAACTTCTTGATGATAAATGGCCCGAGTTTGGTAATGAGCCGAGAAACTTGAGATTGGCTCTTTCATCTGATGGATTCAATCCCCACAGTTCTCTAAGTAGCAGATATAGTTGTTGGCCAGTTATCTTAGTTACATATAATCTCCCTTCATAGTTGTGCATGAAACGAAAGTTCATGATGTTAACCTTATTGATTTCCGGTCCTAAATAACCACCGGAAATGATATAGACGTCTACTTGGAGCCTTTGATTGATGATTTAAAATCTTTGTGGGATGGGATTAGAGGAGTATATGATGCACATAATGGAGAATACTTTACACTCAGAGCTGCATTAATGTGGACAATTAATGATTTCCCCGCCTATGGAAACTTATCTGGTTGTGTTGTTAAAGGATATAAAGCTTGTCCAATATGCGGCGATGATACACCTAGTCACAAGTTCAAAAATGGCCACAAAATTTGTTACATTGGGCATAGAAAATGGTTACCAATCAATCATCCATATAGGAGGCAACGTGCAGCTTTTAATGGGAAACCTGAATATGGCACACCTCCGGAGCCATTAACCGGAGAAGAAGTGCTGCATATGGTTGAAGATGGTCATAGAGTTTGTTGGAAGAAGAAATCAATATTCTTTGATCTCGAGTATTGGAAATACCTTCCTGTGAGGCATGTCCTAGATGTTATGCACATTGAGAAGAATGTTTGCGATCGTATCATTGGTACATTGTTGGAGATCCCTGGAAAAAATAAAGATGGGATTGCTGCTCGATTAGATTTATTGAACATGGGGGTCAAAATTGATTTGCAACCCGAGTATGGAGAAAGACGTACTCGTTTGCCTCCCAGGCCTTGGAATTTGTCAAGAGCAGAGAAGAGAGAGGTTTGCAATTCTTTCTATGGTATGAAGGTCCCTGAAGGTTATTCTTCAAATATAAAAAATCTTGTATCTTTACAAGATTCAAGACTTCTTGGCCTTAAATCACATGATTGTCATACCTTAATGCAACAATTGCTCCCTGTGGCAATTCGTTCTGTTTTGGAGAAGCCTGCAAGGTATGCAATAACTCGTTTGTGCTTCTTCAATGCTATATGTGCAAAGACTGTTGATGTTTCCAAGCTAGATAAGTTGGAAGAAGATGTAGTAGTTACTTTGTGTTTGCTTGAGAAATACTTTCCCCCTTCATTCTTTGATATCATGGTTCATCTAGTAGTACATCTTGTCAGAGAAGTTCGTCTATGTGGGCCAGTATATTTTAGATGGATGTATCCGTTTGAAAGATATATGAAAGTGCTAAAGGGGTATGTTCAGAATCGTACTCGTCCCAAAGGTTGCATTGCTGAGCGGTATATAGCTGAAGAAGCTGTAGAGTTTTGTACCGAGCATTTATTTGATGTTAGTACAGTTGAAGTGCCTTCAAGCCAAAAGATGGGAGTTTCAAGGCCATTATCAGGTTGCACAGTGAGCGTAGTTGATCGGGACCTGTTGAACCAAGCACATCTATATGTCTTGGAGAATACGGAGGAAGTCCTACCTTATATCGAGTACGTATGAGTTTTATTCTTTAAGTTTCCATTTTAAATTATTTCTTATGTTTATCTTATATGTTTGGGACCGTAATGCTTGAATTTTTCGTGTCATGTAGGCAACATATGATCCACATCAAGACCGCTTATCCAAAATTTAGAAAGAGAACAAAGTGGCTGCAGGATAAGCACAATAGCACTTTCATTCAATGGCTACGCTTCAAGGTATATGTTATTGAATAACATATTGGACTTTTAATTTTCTTCTTTCTATGTTAGATTGAATTAAGTTATGATTAATTTGCAGGTTCAAAGTTAACTTAATGAGGAAGACAATCATGGCGTATCAGAAAATTTAAGGTGGTTAGCAGCTGGTCCAAACATGGCAGTGCCATTATATAGGAGCTATCTTATTAAAGGTATTAAATTCAACATCAAGGCACAAGGTATTAAATTCACATACCATGCAAGTTGCTAGTGCCAAGGATAAAAACCCAATTCTCTCAAATATGGGTTTCTATGGTGTCATTCAAGAAATTTGGGACCTTGACTACCAAAAGTTTACAATCCCAGTCTTTAGGTGTGATTGGATAGTTCTGGTCTTGTAGTGGACGAACTTGGATTTACCCTTGTAGATTTGAGTAAAATTGGACATAGGAATGACCAATTTGTTTTGGCTTCTCAAGTCAAACAAGTATTTTTTGTTGACGACCCGATGCATCGTGGTTGGTCGGTAGTGTTATCAATGCCTAATAGAGAATATAATGATGTTATTGGTGATGATGTCTTAGGTGATGTGAGAATTGAGTGTGAGCCATTTACTAGAGGGATGCCAAATGTTGACACATTTGATGAAGTGGTGGGTGAGTTAGGGAGTCAAAATATTCGAGATGGGTGTGAAGATATATGGATTGAATGATGCTTTATGTAATTGGCAGTGTATAACATTAATTTTGTAATATATTTTAATGTGATTTCTTCACTTTCATTATACAGGTTTTGGCCACAAAACAATCAGTACAAAATTACTGGTTCCAGATTACAAACACGACGGTCTTGATAAAAATGTGAAAACAAACGTCTGTTCTAATAAAAAATGACGTTTTGGAGCATTCAACGACCGCAATATATTTACCGACGTCTTAAAGCAACGTAACAATGAAGAACCACGACGCTATTGTGAAACAGTTATTCAGGATAACACGTCGGAGAAGCATAAAGAACCGCCATGTAATTCAAAATAACACGACTCCAATCCTATAATACCGACGTCTAAAAGACGAGATCTCTAACCTGAAAGTTACAAAAGACGACGTCGTCATAAATTTACCACGTCGCATGTTCTTTCATAAATGAAGTGGAAAAGGATGAATTCACAATGGTATTTGAAGTCCATTGGTAAATTTGTCGACGTTAAGATATATTTGGACGTCGTTCCTTTAAAAAAACAACGTTATATTGATGTATCCACGTGTCTTTTCTTATGATAATGTCGTTAAAATTGCTTTAAACGGCGAATTTCGGATAAACAACACCGTCTAATATGAATTAGACGACGTTAATTTTGTTAATGATGACGTATAAATTATGAAACACGGCGGTCTTTTTCATGGTAACGACGTTGTATATATACGACAACGTCGTCTTTATAAATTAATGTGTCGTAATTAATGACCCCAACATTTTTTCCACGTCGTTTATTTTCAGATCGCGTCGTTAAAATTATTTTACACGGCGGTGGAATGAGAAACGATGCCGTTTTAGAGTCATTACAACGATTATATTTTAAATATGACGTATAAATTCTGTAATATGGCTCTCATTTATTTGGAACCGACGTTGTTTATGTATTTCAACGTCGCCTCTGTACATACATGCGTCGTAAGTAATGACCCTAACATCTATTTCCACGTCATCATTCATAGAAAAATCGAAGTGGAAAATTTATTTTACGACGGTTGTTGGAAATGTAGTGACGTAGTAGGTGTCAATAACGTCATCTATTATGTATTTAAAGACGTCATATTTTTATTTGTTGTTAAAGGTTTATTTAACGACGTTGAGTTTTAGTTCTCGTCATTGTATGTGTATCTTGCGGCCATATTCTGTTAATATATGTCATATGTTTCCTTTTTAAACGACGTTTTTTTGTTAGAGTTGGTCGTCTATTCTCATCCTCGACTGCTTTTTTATGTCTTTTTGCAGTACAAAGACGTCAGTTTTTATTTGTTGATGATGTTTTTTGTTTTAACAACGACGGGTATTTACCGTCGTGGTTTTGTTATGGAAAAGATGTCGGTGGATTCTACGACCATTTGAAAACTGAATACACGATGGTGAATTCCCGTCGTGTTTTTCCTTTTTTGTTTTTTTTTTTTTTTTTTTTTTTTTTTTTTTTTTTTTTTTTTTTTTTTTTTTTTTTTTTTTTTTTTTTTTTTTTTTTTTTTTTTTTTTTTTTTTTTTTTTTTTTTTTTTTTTTTTTTTTTTTTTTTTTTTTTTTTTTTTTTTTTTTTTTTTTTTTTTTTTTTTTTTTTTTTTTTTTTTTTTTTTTTTTTTTTTTTTTTTTTTTTTTTTTTTTTTTTTTTTTTTTTTTTTTTTTTTTTTTTTTTTTTTTTTTTTTTTTTTTTTTTTTTTTTTTTTTTTTTTTTTTTTTTTTTTTTTTTTTTTTTTTTTTTTTTTTTTTTTTTTTTTTTTTTTTTTTTTTTTTTTTTTTTTTTTTTTTTTTTTTTTTTTTTTTTTTTTTTTTTTTTTTTTTTGGTGTGCGCTCCAACATGCGCTTCGATGCGCGCCTACGCATGCCTTTGAAAATACTGTTCAAAGCATGTGGGAAAAATAAACGAATTAACCAAAGTAATTTTGACTAATTGAAATTTAATTATCACCAATGGTAATTTAATCCAAGACCCAAGATTTATTGGTTTAATATTTGCCCAATTTACAATCTCTTGACTAGAGATAGTTGATCACCACCGTGCTCAAAACATATTGGTAACCTTGAAGCTAGAAAGGTAAAAGCAGAATTCACTTTAAATCAAAAGCCATAGCCATTGGCCTCCAGGAAAACAGGTTGTGTACCTTTCATCAATATCCATGTAGTTTCATTAGCAGGATAATTGATCCCGATTTACAAAGAACGGGCAGGAGGCATTTAGGGAAATTGGTTGGCAAAGAGCCAAGACTCATCTTATTGTTCCAATTGGCTCTTGAACTTTCCATCCCAAATAAATATGGCATTGTAATTATATATATATATAAAAAAAACATTCATAGATAATTGGCATGAGGCATCATATGGGAACTAGTAGCTATATACATAAAGCATTCAGATGTCTTAAAAAGAAAACCATAAAAGTTATAACAACTAGTGAAACAGAAAGGAGTTTCATAGTCTCCTCCACAGAGAATGATAGAAGTTAGGCAGTAGCAGTAGGAGTAGCAGCAGGAGTGGCAGTGCAGTAGCATTATGACAGATGATTCGACAGATGTCTGGAAGCAGGAGTAGCAGTGGCCGTAGCATTAGGACCGGAGATTCAGACGTGCAGGAGTAGCAGTGGCAGTAGCGTTATGGCAGATGATTCGACAGATGTCTTTTCGTTCATTTTTCCAAAACAACAACAAAAAAGAAAAAACCACAACAAAAAGAAAATAAAACAACAACCAAAGCACAACCAAAATATTGAACTTTGCCTTTCAGCTCGTCTACTGCTTTTCTCATTTGCTTCTCGCTCTTGCCTCTCCACCCATCTCCTTATATCTTCCATTGATAATGGAGTATGAATTCTAAACTCTGAGAAATGAAAATATAGAAAGATGTGGTGTGAGAGGTATGAGCTGAGCCTCTGGTTTTATAGAAAATTTTGGTCAGATAGAGATTCCACGTGGCTTGATTTGATAGGATGAAAATCTTATCTGAAATTTGAAATTCATCCGAAATTTGAACCCAAAAATTTATCTGAAATTTGAATTTTGAAATTCATCCGAAATTTGAAGCAAGGAAAATCTTATCCGGAAATTTTAATCTGATTATGAATAGTCTTGACACATAAGAATCCGAAAATATTATCCAAATTAATTATTGAGGTAAAAAAATTTGTGGAAAAACAAAAAAAAAGGAATAGTAATTGTCTTTTGCCATGGAAACGGGTGGAAACGGAAATGACTTTTTTCAAGGGCAACCACTATTCACGTGAATAGTGGCTGCCCTAGCACCCCCTTGCCATGGCAAAGGGCAAATGGGGTGGAGTTGCTCTTATATTAAACTAATTCCAAGTAGTTGTAACATTGAATATTGGATTTTTCATAGAGACGATTCCCTTGGTTATGATAATGAATTGATTATGATAATGAATGAAAAGAGACTGACAGTGAGAGGTGGTGTTTACATAGAGACGATTCCCTCTGGTTTGTGAGATTGGATTTTTCTTCCTCTTTTTACCGAGAGACTTTGTTGATTCCCTCTGGTTATTCTTACCCGGTCTTGTGGTTTGCTTGATGCGGTTGGTCTTGTTGGTGATTGTTTTATCTTTGTCTTTCAATCAAGTTTCACTTATTAGCAAACAAAAAAAACTAGATTTTGTGGAAATGGGAGATGATTCTTTGTGGAGCCCTGAAAAGAAAGGGAAGTTGCAGGATTGAGTTGAACTCTTTGGAGTGTCAACTATTGTTGAGATAATTATTATTTATTTATTTTCAATGTGAAGTGTCATTTTTCACGCCTTTAGATGAAATTTAAATGTGTCAACTTTCAAACATTTTACATATAATTATAAATGAAGGCGGATCTGGGGGTGGAGGCAGATCTGGGGGCATCGAGGATGAGATATGTGGTTAAGATGAGGGAAGACATCGGAGAGAGAGAGAGAGGCAGAGAGGCAGAGAAGAGAGAGTGGGGCAACTTTTTAAAGGTAATTACATTTTGGTCACTAGGATTAGGGTTGGGATCAAATTCGCAGCAGAGATATATTAGGAGCAAGGTGAGAGACGTCTATGAAATGAGCCATAATGATGACATGGCAAGGAAAATTGCCGCCCTCAACAAGAAGATGGATCCTATGATGTCCAAGAACGTCACTCCTAAACCGGTTGAGGTTTGTTCAATTTATAATGGTTTTGGTCATAATTTTGATTCATGTCCTTCTAGTAGTGAATTTCCTGGATCTGTGAAAGAACAACAAATTACAAGATGCATTTTAGCCGTCATGTAATCTTCCATGTGACGGTTCTTACAAGTTATGTAATTTTTAATTGACACTCATTATATGTCAAATAACGACAATATTGATACTTAGAGCTATCAATGAAGTGTTACTTGATGGTTAAAAGGCGTCAAGCAGAAAGATTACTTGACGGTTAAAAAAAGTTCAATAAATTGGATACCCCTTTCTGACAATGGTACTCTTGACGGTTTCTTAGCCGTCAAGTATTATGTTTCTAGACACTTTTTAGCCATCACTAAAGGGAGTTTTTCTCGTAGATGTTAATTGTCATAATAATTGTGCTTTGATAGAAAATTGCAAATACGCCCAAAGAAGACAAAAGGGCAAAAAATTATAAAAAAAGTACACGCGCTTGCTTGATAATCCACACTACTATATCCCAAACCAATAGCTACTATTGGAATTGCATATTTCGACCCCAAAAAAAGAAAAGAAATTGCGTATGATATGAACTCATTAATTATGAATTAATAAAGGGGGTCCTACTATCTGTATCCGGCACATGCATATCATACCATGTTGATCTATATGTCTATGTATACAGTACAAATTGGATGTTGAGCTGATGAGTTTCGGCATTAAATTGTTACTAGTACAATTAAGTTGGTTAGGTATTGGTCCTTCTCCTTGGACAAGACTTTCGTGTTGCTATCCTAATTCCCAAGTGAAGGACACTAGACTAGAGTATCTACATTATGCTCTC